CCCTCACCCAACCCGCATTACCCCTTCACCCCATTGGAATTACCTCTTCACCTTTCCAGCATTAACCCCCCCCCCCCTCACTTCTGCCTCAAATCACTTGCATTAGCCCCCCACCCTCTTACCCTTTCCGCATTATCCTCTCACCCCTTCCGCATTTCTCCCCATTCCTTCCCCTTCCACGGCATTCCTTTTCCTGTTGTGGCAGCCCTTCCACGTATTGTGACATTCTTAACCCCCTGCCGTGGTGTTCCTTCCTCTTGATGTGGCATGCCATCTTCCTGCTTTAGCAGTTCCTTATCATCTTGTGACATGCCTTCCGCGTGCTATAGCATGATTTCATTTTTCATGTGGTATGCTTTTGATGTACTGTGGTATACTTCCCATTTGATGTGACAAAAGATAAAAAAAATATATATAGGGCAATGTCTAGCGTACATAGAATGCAAGAAATGGATGTGGCCTAATCCTCTTTGGAAAAAAAAAAACATGTTGGAGGATTTTAAACTTATTTTTTCTACTAGGAAATATTCCTGTCATGAAGCGAAGCAGTCGCGGAAATTGTGGCATTTATTAACAAATTCATTATTATTGTCCCTTGCTAAATTAAATAAATAATAGGTTGCAGTTTCCTCAATTTATTATATGGGTCTGTAGCTATTCGTGCGCTAGAGATATCATGTTCATGGCTATCTACTCAGGCAATAAAGTGAGAAACATGGTTTTAGACTATTTTGGTAAATATAGAGTAACACTGAGTGGGCGTGATGCAGGATTCTGCAGTAGGCTTTAGAATCAAAATGAACAGAAAGTAATAAAGAGTCCACCCATACCCATCTCCCACACTCATACACACCTATACCCACCCACCCCAATCCAAACACACCTCCCACACTCATATAATCACATGTTTGGTGGGAAATATGTTTTGGGCGGTAAGTCAAGCACACCGGGGAAGGCTGATTTGGCGGGAAATAGAACAAGGCAACAATGGCGCCCAGCATAGGCTATTTTGTAATAGAAGTATTTATTTTAACTAATATATAAGTTAGGATAATGAACGTATATTTGACAGGTTCAGTGGGTGGAGAAAAGTTTTTGTAATGAAAATTGGATACTGAAATTTTCAGGTGAGACTAAAATTGGCCTATGCATTTTAGCAGATCGACATCGTGGATTCAAGTTCAAGTATATTTAAGGATTGTCGTCCGGTCAGTCCTTCCCGGCCAGGATCAAAGGGCTTGTAACGGTTCTATTGTTACGTAAAGTATGGTGACAAATAAATACAGACACTAAGATACTATATATATATTTGGTTGAATATACAATAGTACACAGGTGATACTTTGGTGAGTTGAGCGTACTGAGCGTCGGTACAGTATCTCGCAAGTGTCTGCTCTAGACCACACTTGAAAGTAGACTAGTTAATGTTTGATTGATGAAGATTAAGCCACCCAAGAGGTGGCACGGGCATGAATAGCCCGTAAGTGGTGGCCCTTTCGAGCCATTACCAGTATCAAAAGATGATACTGGAGATCTGTGGAGGCGCAACTGCACCCTGCGTGAAGGGAGATGTCTCCCGGACCAAGTGGTGACCAAATGGTGAGTTAATGTTTGCTATTCTGCTGCTTATATGCTCGGGCAACACCTCACCGTGTTGCCCGGGCAACGCCTCACCTCATTCATCTCCAAAGGTTGACAGGAATATTAACAATGCATTTGGAGCGAGTATATTATTGGGATAATCTACTCGCTACAAGCGTGTAGGGTTCGGTGTTCTATGAAGGAAAAGGACATGAGTAGTTTAAATTGCGAACGTTTATACATCACAGACCATAAACGTAGATATGATAGAGCCCAGTAGGCACAGGAATCTGCAAACCAGTTGATTGACAGTTGAGAGGCAGGACCAAAGAGACAAAGCTCAACCCCATAAGCATAATTAGATGAGTACACCAGAAGTGGGAATGGAAAATTACAATTATCATTAAAATTTGATCAGACAATTCTGGTGTCCATGGCAATGGGATGGATACTACTAATATAGGACGTACACTATGTTATGTGAGGAAGGGATGGTGCCTGGTGATAGCTAATAACTAAGTCTGCCACAGGGAAACTGTGAACATTAACATCAGAGGAACTATGAGCATTATGTGACACAAGTACTATGGTATCCCGATGACAGGTTGTACAATGCGTACATAACTCGGAGTAAGCATCACTACAGTTATGCAGTGTGTAGGAAAGGGACACAGAATTTGCCAAACAATAGGCAAAGGAACACTTCACTATGACAAGCTGCAGCACCACATCCATACTTGAAACACTCATTGCAGTGGCATGGAGGGAGAATCTATTCCTTCACTTGTACCAGCAAGAACTACAGTACTGAAGGTGGGAGGGCATGACCTTCAAATGTGATCTTAACAATTTAGAGGCATTAAACGGTAACCATGAGGGGGGGATCATGTGAACAAATCAACTTGGAGAACAGAATGGCCCTGTAACTCCAATATGCCTTGATGTCTCTGACAATCTTGAAGGACCCTGGTTCCCACTGTAACATGGAACGGGAGGACGACAGTGCCAATACTGGCGTTTGTGAGGAACCGGGACCTCACCGACACATGAGAGGGGTAGCTAGTCAGTCGGCAGCAACTTTGGAAGGTGCTTCAACAATGTGTACAGCGGACCAACTGGGACAGAATGTGAGCTTAAAATCAACTAGGTAATTATCAAAGAAGGCACCAAGCCGGGAAGGCTATGTAGCAACAATCAACTGATTAAGCTAGCAGTGCATCTAAAAATCATCAGGGGACTTTTGGAACTATGAGAATATGCTAAATCAAAATACCCAAGTAGATGGACCAAACAAGTCATTGAAGGGACAGAGGAAAGCTGATTACTATTAAGACGCTGAGCCCACCAGTAGCTAGAGGGTCATAAGGTGCCATCACCACAAATAAGGAAGGGGTCACATGGGATGACATCACTGCCAAGGAAACAGAAGTGGTAGGGAGAGAACCGGAAAGGCAGCCGAGGAGAGAGCACAGGAGCTGTGGAGCCAGCAGGGAGGACCCCCTCAGTACAGGAAAAAAACTGATCTTCCAGTTTCAGCCAACTCAAGGGCCTGGTCACCCACCACATGAACCTGAAAGAGAGGAGGGGAGTGATGAGAACCTATAAAATATAACATAAAATAGATTCATTTCCTGCACCCCTATCCACCAAGGAGCCCAACAAGGGAAGGTACAAGCACTTGGGCAACCTCAGGGAGGATGGAGGGGTGGGGGGGCTGATGTGACAAGGAGAATCTGGATGACAACCCAGGGACCAACAGGGACACCAACACCCCTAAACCCTGACCAAAGTTACTAGTCAATCCAGCTGAATGATTTTAGATGGGATCGGTGAATCTCCCATTTTGCCCCCTTATACCCTTGCCAAAGAAGGGTGTTGCATCCTCCCCCAGGGGCCACAGCTGTTGGGTGGGCTCAACAATAAAGGAGCACTGGAGTATATGGGTCTTCATGCACGGTGAAGACACGGATGGCGAAGACACGTGTCCATAATTCACCATCACAGCAAGCAGGATACGGGAGCAGAAGCCACCCCTAATAGGGTGTGAAGGATAGATGAAATTGTTTATGTAATAATCTAAGATGAGGTCTGATCAAGACCTTTTGTGCCCTCTGTAATGCTTTTTGCGCTACTGCTCACAGGATGAGTATGGGGTGCACAATAAACTAGCTGCCTCTGGCGGCAACAACCAAAAGCCACCCCTGCCCCATTCCCCCATCTGAGGAAGGCACACAAGAACTCTCTGACCACAGCAAGGTACTACCCTTCAGGAGAATGCATTTGAATATTTATATTAGTATTGTACTGTACTGATTCTACATATCGAGCCAAAGGAAAAATAAAAAGTGGTTATCCCTCTTATTTCTTGCCACAATTTTTAATATAATTTTTTTTTTACATTCCATACCCTTAATGTAACTATATTATCTTTATTATATTTAATAACTTTTAAATACCCAATATTATAGAAATTTGGTTATGGCAAAACAGTTTGAACACAACCTTAGTTAAGTAAAATGAGCAATAAATAAAAGCTGCGTTATTTCAATTCAGATCTTAAGTGGGAAAAACTGTCAAGTTTTTAATTTTTTATAGCATTCATTTGAAAACAAATTTTTTTAACTAAATAAGTGTCCAATGAACTAATGTCAAACTGAAAATTCGCAAAAGAATTGAAACATTGACAGCTTGTAAACTAGTCAGCCTAATAAACTTCAATTGAGATACCTTAAAGCTCTGAAAAAAAAAAAAATGCTGCATTTCTGGCATAATATTCAAGATAATACCAAATATACTAGGTGGCACATTTTATGTATTAACAGAATATTTTAGGTAAACATTATTAGCTAGTTCTTGCAAGTGAGCATCTATCAAGCAATGTGCTCTTGTTATAGAGTGTAAATGTCTTCTTAATAATAATGATTATATTCCCTTTCAAAATGTTTTATCTTAGCCTACAAAAATATGAAAAACGTATCAGCATATTGAGATCACTTAACCATAACACAAATGACCCATACAGCAGACAACACTGCAGTTACTACAGCTGACCGAGGGAGCAAGTGAAAGCCGAGTCTCCCTATCACAAAGTTGATGCTGGAAAAGCGGATACTCCTCTGTGACATGGACACCAGACCAGGGGCAACATTCACGAAGCAGTTACGCAGGCACTTACGAACCTGTACATCTTTTCTCGATCTTTGGCGGCTTTGTTTACAATTATTAAACAGTTAAGGAGCTTTGAAGCACCAGAAGGCTGTTTATAACAATAACAACAGTTGATTGGGAAGTTTTCATGCTTGTCAACTGTTTAATAAATGTAACCAAAGGCGTCAAAGATTGAGGAAAGATGTACACGTTCGTAAGTATTTGCGTAACTGCTTCGTGAATCTGGCCCCAGAACCCCAGCTTAAGTTGTGTTCCAAAATGCAAAATTGAGGACCTTTTTTTTTTATTTTTAATATGAAATTAAAAGTATTACTTAGGTTCATTATTAGTACTCCTTTAAACTCAAAAAGAATTTTGTCTTAAAATCACTTCCTCAATGTTACACTCCAACAATATTAAATAGCTAAGCAAACTCAACTTTATTCACAAACTTAAGTCACTTAATAACTAGATGGATAAGCACCACTGCAGGGAGTGAATCACATGAGGAGGACACTAGCTGTCAATGCCTCTCTGACTGTAAGCTAAGAGGCACTAGCAGCTAGCGATTACACCTGCAATGGCACTAGTACAGTAAATGAATTGCCTACCTGACACCACTTACCCTACGTAAGCCCCCCGTTCAGAACAGATACAACCTTGGATCATATTTTGACTAGGAAAAATTCATAACCAAGGATCCAAGCTTGTCCGCACACCAACATTATAACACATTACACATCTAGGAAACCAGACCAATCAAACAAGACTAAACAATTGAAACACTAACAGCTGTAGATTGAACTTATAATAATCTCGTAACTACAGCCGACTTACGTGCTCTTCACTTAATAAGATGCACCTCGATAAAGGCAAACTATACCTCCCTCAGCCCATGGATGGCACTTTTACAGAAAAATAGGGTTTTTCCGACACCTGCTTTACCATTATAGAAAAATGCTATCCAGATATTCACTATTAATATTGAAATAGTCTCATTGTATCAAAGTTTATATTCAATATACCTAAAACAGTGACGAGTTAAAAAAATAAGGAAAAGATTTAAAAGTTTGGACATTTATCAAGTTTGGAAATTTTTTGGCATATTGAGGAATTACAACATGGCTAACCTATCAGAACCTCAATACATGACCAAATATCAAAAGAAGTGACTAGTTAAAGGGCATTCAGAGCACTATACACAATAATGCTGGACAGGTCACTCAGAAATTTAAAATTTACGACTCGGTATTTTATCAATAAACACGACTTTATGCAAAGAAAGAGTGAAAGAGTGAGAGAAAAGGACACTGAAAGAATGAAAGAAATTAACCAATCAAATTGGTAAATAAGCTGGAATTTATTTTCTTGGCTTAAAATACTGTAAGTTTGTGGAGATCTATTTTCTATTACATAATTCACCTACAAATCATCACCATGAACTGTCATAAATATTGCCATAAGCCAAATAGAAATTGTTTCGCCATTACCTAATAAAAATGAACAATTATGAATAACTTAATTTGAAACAATTTGTAAATAATGACATCTAAACGATAAAACTACAGCAATATACGAGAGCCATTCCTTCAGTGGACATTAGAGTTACGTAACCACAGACTACTAGAAGATAAGACATGAATCTGCGCAATGATAAATCAAGTAATATCTTGTCCAATTACTCCTTTACCACCATCACACCATAAACATTAGAGGCATTAATTACATTCTCAGCTTAAATACAAACAAAAATTTATGTAATAAAACAAAAATGTGTGAAAAAACCCTTGAAACATAAACCAGTAGTGCACGACTTGATTTATAGAAGGCACTTTGTTTTTAACAAATTTAATATACTGTATATATATATATATACAATTATATATATACATATATAATCATATAAGTATAAACATTTCTTTCAGTCAACAAGTGAAACTATAAAATAATCACCCACACACAGTTAAGATTTGTTCTATTCTGACATTCAGAGCAATTTAAACATTATGCTAACTGACAAAAGACTACAAAAATAAATGTAAAGGTACTGTGAAGTATTTAAATATACTGCATGTGGTGGGGGCTGCAAGTGAAAAGTAAATAATGGCAGTTAAATGCTTGTAGTAGATCTGTTGCTTATAAGTCAGCCAATAAAGCATTATGGCGCTGTATAAAAAAATGGCACCCAAACCCTTAGTCTTTGAGTTCATTCATAACGTCGTGCCATTTTGCGGCCTATTGTCTTTTTCTCTATATTGCACCTTTAATAATAATTGTCTCTTAATTCTATTTTTTTTTCTTTTGGTAACCTCTGCCTTTCTGCCCGTCGTGTTTTTCTCCTTCCACTTTCTCGTCCTGTACATGTTGACCGAGAACTACGTTTCCTTTCCCACATTCTTGTTTATCAGTATTGTACAAGCATGTGGTGATGTCTTCCCCCCCCCCCCCATTTGATAAGAATGAGACCCATGTCTACAATACTTTGCTCTATGTTTCATATATTCCCTTTAAGAGATAATTTTAAATCCTGAAGAAATTCAGTGTTTGAGAAATAGCTCATTTGTGACAGGAAATTAAAATGACAACAATTATTAATTTTTATAGAAGATTGAGGGTGAAAATGTTGGCGGCCATTTACTATCCTCAACACAGAAAAGAACACTCTATGACAACAAATAATTATAAGAGCATAGGCATATACAGACTATACATTTCTTGAGCATACATAAATTTGGAGGAATTCTAAATGAGTTTAGTGTAATGCCAAACATTCACTGAAATATACACCTATACACCACAGGCAATAATTATGCACTATAAATAATATATATGGAGATATTAAGACGCTTGGAAAGGGCTAGTGTTTGTACGTGTGTGTGTGTGTGTGTGTGTGTGTGTGTGTGTGTGTGTGTGTGTGTGTGTGTGTGTGTGTGTGTGTGTGTGTGTGTGTGTGTGTGTGTGTGTGTGTGTGTGTGTGTGTGTGTGTGTGTGTGTGTGTGTGTGTGTGTGTGTACACGCTTGTGTGGGAGGATGACTGGAGTGGGGTTGGGGGATTGGATTGGGGGAAAGAGGCAGGGAAGAAAGGAAGGAAACTTTCAGGGGGGAGAAGCGCCAATCCATTACGATTGGCGATTGGTTACAAGGGATTGGTGGGGGGAGTGGGGTGGTGGTCATGTGGAACAGAGGTGGAGAGTGTGTATATGTATATATATGTGTGTGTGTTGTGTGTGTTGTGTGTGTTGTGTGTTTTGTGTGTGTGTGTGTGTGTGTGTGTGTGTGTGTGTGTGTGTGTGTGTGTGTGTGTGTGTGTGTGTGTGTGTGTGTGTGTGTGTGTGTGTGTGTGTGTTTGTGTGTAGCACAGAGCAGAGCTACACAATATAGTGTCCCACATACGCACGCGATACCCCAGGTGATATACAACAAAGTTTTAGTGTGGTAATGAGCAGTCTCACTTGTTGACTTTGGTTTACTAAATGCATAAAATCCTAGACCATGGCAGTTTATATTACAAGTATATATAACTTAAGATAACATTTAAGAATTTGTTTAAATTTTAATTTAAGTAAAATTTAACAATATAATAAACAAATTTGCACTTAAAAACACCATATAACTATTATATGAGATAATAAACATTATTTGAACTCAATGTCAGGTAAAGAATCACAGCATAATGGAGGTGCAGTTATAGTGCTAGGTCACTAGAAGACAGTCAAGAGTGAACCAAACTAAACACCAAAGACCCATATATATCGAGACAAAAAATATCAGTATTTAATCACCGGGACACAGTATTACCTCCCCATGAAAGCTAACACAATATGTCAATTTTTCTTTTTCTTTTTTTTTTCCAAAATAGTCATTAAAACTGCCATACTCTAATTCAAGTTTAAGAGGCGCCTTGACCTTGTGTACACACACATAACCCAACAGAAGATGACTACTATAACGAGCTGATCATACTTAAAACTCCCCATACCGCACCAAAATGTCATATACTGCATGTACATAGATATAAATATATATAGAAAAGACTCGTAACCATCTTCTAACAACCTGTATAACTGCCCGCTGCACTGAATGGATCACGGGAAGAGTGGGCGACTTTCACGGCCACGGGATCACGGTAAAGATCGGAGTCGTTTCCCCCAAAATAAAACATTTGTGACCTAGTTAATGCTTGCTAAAAGACAATGTAGCCCAAAACACCTAAAGAATGCTCCTAACCCTGTGCCATTTCCTACCCACATAAAATACAAAGTACTAAAATAAGTCTTAAGAAAATTTTCTTGGGCATTAGTTAAGAATGTCAATTGCACTTGACTCTAGTACAGTCTTTATCTGTATTACTGAATCTTCACTAGCTTATATGCATTTTTGTACTCTTGGGATGTACAGTACATCCATTGACTGAATATAATGAAACTGTTGCTTATTTACATTTAATACTGAAAAATAATCCAATTACAACAATTACAGTCTTAATATGTAACAAATTATAAACAAAATTGGATGCACATTTGATACAACTTCATCAAAATGGATACACTAAAAAATTGACTTTTGACGATAAATTCCTAACACAGGTTAACTACCCAAATTCATTGTCCATATCTTGGTAATTCCCAGAAAATGACAAGAAATACTGAAACATAATAAGTTGCCATTCAGCTGTACAATCTTCAGGAATTTACATGTTCAAACTAATAATATAAATATGAAGATTTTAACTAATTCATCCATATATTCCTGAATATTTATCTCAAACATGATTATAATATTACCAGCGAGTCCTGCTCTTACGACCCCGATTTATTTAACTTACATTAGATACCTTGACTGGCCATCATCTGAAGCTTCTTCAGGTGTCTTAATGCTCTTTTCGCTGCTGTTGACTTGGCAATACGATAATTGCGGCCAACTCCAGAGAACGAACCCTTTCCAAATATTTCCACCGATACCCTGACCTTACCATCTACTAGTCGCTCTGGCTTGCCAAACTTAGCTGTCTCAGGTTCCATTTCCAAGAGCTCACGAATGGGCGACTTGGGAACTACGCCACTGAACTGCTCAATCTCTCGACACATCATGGTATAGTACACGGACCAGACAGCATCCAAGGAGCCACCCGAGTCCAAGAAAATAGCTCCAGCTACACTCTCAAACACATCACCCAGCGCTTTAGGAACTTCAATATCTTCTGCTGCTTCACATTCATCTTCTTCCATGAAGTAATACTAGAAAGAGAATGCATGTATTTATATCACTGCTGTCATTGTTGTTACTAGAGAATGCAAGAAAAAATTGAGCATCAAGTGTAATGAAATGCCCCCTTTCAGGTTCCTTCATGACTAGTTCGCCCTAAGTTTAAGCAATGGCTATTACTGGTAAAACTAGCTAATATGAGGTACTAAGGAGACTTTGCCAACCTGGGACAAGGGCCTGAATATCTTCTTACCATGCCCCCCCCCCTTCCTTTATGAGACAAGGAAAACACAAGGATTGCAAATGAATTCTCTCTATGATACCAAACTGCCCTTAATGGCAAAGAAGGAAGGCAACAAGGCAATAATTGCATTTAAGAAATGTTTTTAAAATATGTGGAATGATGACAAAAAACTGACAACTATTGACCAAGAGATTCCCAAGACTTGCTCTAGGTGGCGGCAGGCTGGTCCATGCCTTGCACAATGTAGAGCCCCGGGAAAAGAAGGAAGAGACAGGCTAGGAACAGGGAGATACCAAAGGACCCAAAATGCAATGTTTTTTTACATTCAATACTCTATTTTTTGTGGCAACCAGTCTCAGTCGCTTCCCTCAGTTTCTTACCATTGTGCCTTGTAAGAGGACTCTGCAGATATAGAAAGAAAGCGACTAAAGAGGCAAAATAGGAATTCCCACATTCAGACGACAAATCTGAATCCACACCTTGCCCGACTCCTCACTCATGCGTTCTCACCTCGTAGATGGGAAAGGGGTAGATCATAGGCCCAAGTTCCTGAGAGTGAAAGTTTCTCAGGTACTTGACATAAGCTAGTACAGTATGGCAGGAATGGCAGTGCTTAAACTGGGAGAAGCAACTGAGGTAAGGGGGTGCCCAGAAAGAAACAATTTCAGACCTACTGAAAAGCACCGTACTATAGTATATCTGAAAGTATATAGCTAAAATAAAAGGGGATAGGAAACAGGGAAGGAAAGAAGGGGCGGGGGAAAGGGGGGGGGGGTAGCAGGAGGGGAGAAGAAAAAGGAAGGAAGGAACTATCAGGAGAAAGCACCAAGCCATTACGACTGTATAGCACTTGGAAGGGTGTCTAAGGATTTGGAATGGGACAGGATAGGGGGGGGGGGAGTAGATGAGGGAAAAGTAGGAGTGGTTAGATGGAGTGGAGGAGGAGGAGAGCAGGGAGGAAGAGAAGGAGTAAAAGAGAGATGGAGACAGATGAAGAGTGTCGAATGATATATTATAATACTCTCTACTCTTAAGACAGGAAATAATATGCTGCACAATTAGTGATTGATACAGAGCAGCTAACAATTTAGTACAATTATGCATTTTTAAAAGTCTCAATAAATGCTATCATACTAGCATTTATCATAACTATCATACTCCTTTTCAGAGTACACAATTGCACATAAACACTCAACAATACAGGTTAAACTTACTTCCTCGTTGATCTTATGGCCATTTTCCTCCTGCATCTTAACAAAGTCCCTCACCACACGGTCCAAACCCGGGGAAAAATGGCGAAAATACTTGTGGAAGTCATATTTCACCGCCAAAGATGCGAATATAGTGTTGTTAACCAGGGCCGAGCGCAGATCCGTAAGAGCGCCTGGAGAGTGCTGTCTCTTATCCTCATACAAGTGGCGAGTTATCAGGTAGTCTGTAAACAATATATTCATAATCAGAGTACAACTGAAACAATACCAACCAAGTCAACACCCGAAAGTGAAAAATGATCACTACTCTGATAACTAGAATCGAGTACAAGTCTAGCAAAGGGTTCAGTTTTAGACAAAACCACAAAGTGTTTAATGTAGGTCAGTGATGAAGCAAACAATAAGTCACAATAATGAGACTGAAAATTATTCACGCACAGTACGAAAAGAAATACAGTACACTTCGAGTTATATTCAGGAATACTTTCCAGAGAGCTCCTGTTGAAGTGTTTCAGAACTAAGAATTTAACGGTTTATCATCAGATGACCACACATAATTAAATGCCCGTTTTGACTCAAATTTTAAGGTTCGTGAACACAAAACCTTTAAATGTAATTCAAGAATCTAAATTCTCATTAACTCTGTTACTAGTGTATTTAAACAATTCAAATAATTTGGTTCAAACTTTCAATGAAATTCAATAATTATGCATTTAAAGCAAAAGACAATAATAAAGTTTGGAAAATAAATGACACTGTTCCTGCCGAAAACTAACATTTACATGCAAACTCGCATAAAACTGACCATTAACCAAGTTAAATCAATACATCATCTTCATTTTAACCTTGCATAAATACAGTCTGCATTCAGTCCGTGTGGAACATTAAGAATGCTGTATTTGACTGCGCTTACTATCCACTATAACAAATTATCTGTTCACAATTCCATAGTGATACAGCAGTTGAATGTTCTAATCTCTATACATAAGTTTCTTGCAGCTCATAAGATCTGGCATTGAGTCGTCAATTAATGCTGCAGCTTCAACTAACAGCATTGGGATAAATTGCCAAATAGTTTCTATAAATATGGGCAGATCAAATATTTTCACAACAGCATCATTAATGCTGTAAAAGCTGCAAATATAAAATGTACTTCTAATAAAAGGCCTAACAAACAACAAATCTCATTACAGTAATTAATGTTGAAAACATGTGACTAAAAATACAAATAACTTACCAAGAACAGCATCTCCTAAGAACTCGAGTCTCTGATAGCAGTCGGTAAGACGATTCTTGTAATATGAAGCATGAGTGAAAGCTTGAAGCAAATACGAACGGTCCCGAAATGTGTATCCAATCTTGTCCTCAAATACCGTGTACCCACTGAGTAGCAACTCCAGCTGCATGTAAGTATCCGTTACTGGACAATGATAGAGAGGTGACTGAGGTGGCTCCAGGTGACCGTAAGTAATTTGCAAAACCGTTTCAGATTCCTCGTCCACTTTACACGGTAATACCTTGATTCCAAGCCAAGACATGAAAAGTAATGCACCACGTGGACCACAAGTTGTAAGATAAGCACCAATTAGAGCCTCAACACAGTCGGCAATACTTTTATCAGGAATACTGTGTTGAGTGAGCAAATTGTATGGGATAAAGATGGGTAAATCATGAGGATTTTGTGTGGCCATTAATTCACTCGTTACGTGCTCCGTTTTACTACGCTTTATTTGTTCCGACCGCTCTTGAACTAATCGCCGTATCTCGTCACTAGCCAAATCATGAAGTCCTGGTAAATCAGCCATGTTCCAATGACCAGCAGGAACTCCCGAGTCAATCAATGCTTCTTCTAATTCGCGTGGCACAAAATAGCCAGGAGGCAACCAATTATCATGAGGTTCAAACTTGGTAGCAACCATGCACTCTCCAAGGCCCTTTCGCTTACCCAACCGATACAGATTTAAGTTACTAACTTGCTTGGACCGCAGGTAACTGAGCTTGCCTTCGTGACGTTGCGGATACGTACAGTACAAGAACGTGGTGATGGCATACTTCAGGAAAGAGTCCCCTATTGTTTCAAGCCTCTCAAGGTTGACCCCATCATTTGCATTAGACATTGTGAGTGCCTGAAGGATGATGCTGGGCGGTGGGCCAGGATGGTTTATGAGATCTGGCTGGTAATCAAAACTAAAGGAAGCTTCACCAGAGTTATTCATCCAAGAGGAAGAGTCAGCACCATTGTCTAGTTTAACAACAGAAAGAGTCTCAGTACGGTTGACAATCCTTGTGGCAGGTGAGGTAGTTTGTTGAGCGTTATCACAGCCTATGGAATATATTTGTTCACAGCCTTGTAAGGTATATTTTCCTACAGGTAAATTCTCTCTTTCTGTTGATAAAGTTTTATTTTCATTTGTTATCTTTCTGTGTGCCTTCTCTATGATGAGTGGGTCATTCTCAGCCAGGTAACATGGACTTCCTAATATTGAACTTTGTTTTTCATTAAGAAACTGATGGAATTCTTCTTCTTTCTCTTTTCTAATTGTTTCATCCTCATAGGGCCACTGCAAATCAATTTCTTCATCAGAGGAACCTTCATCAATGGCCATACTTGCCCGTCTTTTACTCCCTTCCTCATCCCACATCTTCTCTGCCTGACTTTTGTCATCATCATCCATATCGGAAGAAACATCCGATTCACAGCCTTCAAGATCATCCGCCAAGCCCTGAAAGTCTCCATAACCTCCATAAGCATCATAGGAACCATAACCATTGTAGCCTCCTCCATAACCAGAGCTACCGGGTCCACCAAACATATCCCAACCGTCAATTTCAAAGTTTGATGGCGAACCCACTCTGAAAACCTCTCCACTACTATCCTTGTGGCAACCGTTTTTTGACTTGCGTTCCGTAATGCCAGTACCCCAGTCGGCACCTAATTCTCCTTCTGTATCGTCGTCAACAGTCGTAAACCCATCCAGTAATGTTAAATTATCAGGGAGAGCCACATTTGGATCAAAAGTATCAATCTCAAAATCATCTGTAGTATTCATATCATCTATGCCATACGGGGGAGTAGGAGGATCAACGGCCATGTCGTTAGACCAAGTACCTATTTCCATGTCGATGCCATTTTTGGTGATCTTTTTCTTTATGGGCGGGGATTCACTACCCAGTGATTCGGCTTTCTTCGATTTTTGTTTCGAAATGTTTTCCGTTTTGGTTTCGGCACTCTCCTCCTGCATTTGGTTATCCTGATTCTTCTTCAGCACATCAGCAAGGCTCCAACCAAAATCCAAGGGAGGCCAGGAAAAGTCTAAAAAAAAAAAAAATTATGCACCTCAGTAAAAAGTAAAATATCAGTTCATGCCATCTACAAAGACAATCAAATTATTACAACAAAATATTAAATTAATATATAAATATACATATTGTATTCAAATATTGAGTAATATGACCAAGGACATCAGTAAAGCTATTACTTCTATAAAAAATCCTGAATTATACTATAAGAAATACTGTAAGTATATTAAACCAAAATACCGAAGGTAATTAAAGTATTTATATTTATATGTCTTAGAAAATAAATATTTCTCATATACTGTATAAACACTATCATTTTGGACAAAAATAGAGCACCGAGTGTAATAAAATGGCATTTTTGGAGCAGCTGTGCACTAGCTGCCCTAGGCCTTAGCACTGGACCCATCCAGGTCATTGTTAGAATGCCAGCTGCTGTTTGATGTTGAGCCCATGAGAAGTATCATTGTAAATTGTGATGGAAAGACCCAATACACGTGTAAGTTAATTAATATCAAATTTTCAGATAAAACCTACATCCTTTATCAAGGTGCTGTAAACACTGGGTCATTCCTTCACATTCTTTCAAGCCTTGCGGCATTGTAGCAAGCTTCTTTATTGTAAATTGTCTTGTCCCTTTAAATTAGAGGCTGGTCCCCACTCTTTAATTTAAGGCGAGTTCAGAGTTCAGTTCAGTTCTGATTTAAGTCAGTTTAGAGTATGCCTCAATCCACAACCAACAAAACCCACAATGACTCCCAAGAACATCTCAAACCATAATACAATTTCCAAGGATCCGTGGCAACCTCTTAAAAACTGCCAAACTCTTTCAAAGTTACAAAATACCAAATACCCAACTAAACCAAGTGGCCACACAAATGGACAGCAAAGTCAAAAGAGACCTCATTTAGCACAGCCTACCGAGGCAGACTCGGAAAAGGAGGGGAATTAAAGGGTGGTAATGAGGAGCTACTGTTGTTCTGCTCTTAAATGGGGTGATTTATTCCACTCAACCACTCCATTAAATCTGACAATTGTAGCAACATAGATTATAAATAAATTATTATTAATGAATTTAAATGTCAACCAAATCATGTCAGGGACTGTTTTGTTTTTCTTAACTAAATCAAGCCTGGAGGCAACATTCTGACGAATCGGGATGGAAATGAGAGAGAATAACTAATGAACAAATTCACAAGGGCCGTGATGAGGGTTTGAACCTACACACACGGGATGTTCCCAGATGGGCCTTAGTCAACTGTGTCACGACACGGAAATATCTAAGGCGCATTTGGAAACATCCCGTGCGTAAGTTCGAACCCTCATCACGGCCCTTTTGGATTTGTACATTTGATATATCACGCTATTGTGATTTCTGTGTGTAACAAACTAATCACTAACAGTAGCCCTCATTGAAAGAAAATATATATATGCGATAGCTTGTGATAAAAATATAATCAAATTCTCTGACGACATTGAAATTTTGACTAATACATGGACGTAACTGCTAGAAAGTACAAGAAAACTGAAGAAAAACAAAATATTCAAAAGCACATTAAAGTGTGGAATGAATAATACGAAGGTCAATCAAATATATACAAATACAGTACTGTACAATACAATGATTATTTTTTTTTCTTTACCTGAAGGAAGAATGTGAAGCCCCAGGCCAACTTCACTCGCCACACATATCCGCAGCTGGTCAGCCAAGAGTAAAGCATTTATGCGATATAAAATGGTGGGCAAACACACAGCCTTACGCCACAGAGACGCTGGGAAAGGATGGATTGTGCACAACTCGGGTACCAAAATTTGTTTTTGCTGCAGATTTTCGCGTTTAGCACGCTTGGTCTCCTCTGAGGTAGTGGGCAAAGCAACGCCTTTTCTGTGAAATATGATAAAAACTAAATAATATTCAAATAATAAAAGTAATATTATTGCATAAAGAAATCACTAGAAGGCAGCTCCTAGTGATTCACAAATGAGTATGCAACACATTAAAAACTGATATTTAATGTGCAGATGACCACAGTGAAAACTGAAAAGACAACAGCTATTAGCTGTTATCTTTTCAATTTGTGGTTATTCTGCACAAATTAATATATTTAGAAACATATAGATGTGGTTTGATAACATAAAGGTGATTCAGAGTGACATCTATGAGCTGACTTATACAATAAAATTGAACATGAAAATTGAACAATAAAATTGTTCACTGCTCCTCCTTCCATTATCCATCTGGCAAAATTGTATTTTCCTATTGTACACTACCCTTTCCACTACCACCCACTAGATGGCATGGGGTGCATAATAAATGAGCTAAACTAACTTACCTGTTAACGTGTCTTGGTGTGAGTAAATTCAGACGGCCCGACGTATGGTCGACATCAAGCAAAGGTTGAGATAAATTACAAATCTGAAGCCCATACTTTGTTAAATAGTATTTTTCAAAAGTCTCAAAACCAGCATCTGGGAAGTCACTCTGAGGGTTGAGGTGAGCACATATTTCTGCCACATAGAAGTACTGAAAAATAAACATTCCAATAATATTGTATTTTGTGTTGATGGGTAGCTCATGCCGCATCTCGTATACTCCAGCTATACAAAAAACAGTATTCAGGGCATAAAATATACAAGGCAAAAACTATGACATCACTGTACCTGAGGCTGATCTTGATTTCTATACCACGGCATAACAACAGCATCTTCGTACAGGCTATGTTCGAACTGGAACTTCTTTCTATCATCATCAAGAGGAGGAACTGGTCTCGGGTCTCCTTCCAACTGAATTTTTGTAACAAACTCCCAGTCAATGTCCTCACACCCATCAACTACTGCAAAAGATATTCTGCATGTCCTATAGGTAATAATGTTATCAATGTAACTACAGTATACAGATAGTTGTATGTCTATCTTACGAACAATCCAGGTAGTATCCTGGCACCAAGGTTTTTTCTATTGAAAGATAATGAAATGATATGAAACAGAGTTAAACAGTTGAAAACAATGTCAATTCATAAACATTTAAGGAAAAAAAAATGTCTTTCAATGACACAGATGGGAAATGTCTCGCGTTTTGCAGTGCATGAAACAATTTATAAATTAATACTGACAACAAGTCAGACGTTGCCAAAAATTGTCAAGCACAATGTCAACAAAACATTAATGTCAAGGAATATATGCCAACTTTTCAGAAACACAATTTGTTGCACTGTCAAGATGTCACCAGGAAGCAAACACCTCTCATATGCAATATATTAATTACACAATTAATTTAAAAAAACGTACCATCAACAGAAACCTAATGCAATACACTGCATGACAAGAAAGCATTTCCGAGTCACGTTCTGCTCTTCCTACGACATGACCAAATAACGGGCAAGCCAGCACGACCTTCACTTCCAAGTACATTAGGGATCTTTGCAACCATCCCCACCTTACTGTAAGTAGGGAATAGGAGACACTGAAGATGTCCTAATCCAGCCCAAAATGATACCTGGTTGACACAATCATCTGCACTAAATATTGAAGGAAATTTTTGAGTCTGCAAAGAGATCGAGTAGCACTCGTGTAATTGTTAGTTGTCAACTCGGCTGCAACTCCAGACCACCACTATGCGTTAGCACCTTTACTGTCAAGAAAGTAGAGATGAAAAGCCAAATGTCTATGCCTATTGGTTTTTAGATATCACTGAAGGATTCACCTTTTCCTACAATAGCCCAACCACTTGGGCTGGAAAGTCGAGCGACGGTCTCGCTTCATGCAGGTCGAAGTGAAATCCCCGACCCTCCAAATGGTTGGTCACCATGCCTTCCACCGGTCCCATCCTAACTCCTTTTCCTGATCCCTTACAAGTGTTATATAGTCATGATGGCTTGGTGCTTTCTTCTCATAGTTCCCTTTCCCCCTACAATGTCACAACAGTTATGAAAATCTGCCATAAAGTTCCCTTCCTTGCAACCATTATACACAAGTCTTCAAAATTAAAGTCAATATGCATTCTCCAGTAATACACATCTATTGGACAGCAAATAAAAAAAGCGGATTATTCTGGAAAAGAAGACCACAAAATAATTACAAATCAGAAAAATATTCAGATGCCGTTAGTAATGTACAGAGAAAATTCTTATTGGACGACTAAACTGATAGAAAAAAACAGTAGCAGATCCCCTTCAGAACTCACACTTGTTAAGCGGAACAATGTAGAAAGCCGTCTTTGCATTAGTAGGGTCAAACTTTATAGGGTACTTCTCCAGTCGCAACACATGAGTAAAGGTAAACTTGTGGAAGCACTGCAAAGCTGCCAGCTGATCTTGCGTATACCGCTCTCTCCTCCCTACTTGACGCACATGGACAACAACTTCCCCTGATCGCGTGAACACCGGAAAACCGCTAACCTGGAATAGAAAAATTAAGTTTTGTTTTTAATATGCACATATGAATCTTTTCAATTTTTAAATCAAATTTGTTGTTTACATTAAAGATAAGCTTTCTATTACATAAGGTAACTTTTATGTATCTATAACAAAAACGTACTTACTTTTATTTTTAGTTTTTTCCTGTATTGTTCACTCACGTGCAATATTTAACCCTCTTAACCCCTTCTACCCAACAGATACTCTAGCTTGAATACAATAGTATTTTGCTGCTTAAACTCATTTCTATAAGCTTACACAACATGGTTTTCTCCAAGTAATAGCTCCACACTTCGTAACTGTTGGTTTCAAATATACACATGTTTACTCCATGTTCAAAAAGAATTATACCAATACCTGCAACATACTTCAAATCAGACTAATCACCTGTGAAATGGGTTTGGTTGTGACAATGCCAAACGAGCGTGCAGACTTTTCGGGTCGATAAATCTTACGGCCACGCGTGTTTTGCTCATCTGGTATAGGGCAGGTCAGCACCATGTCTAATTTGTACACATATAAATCCAGCTCCTCCTTTGGCTGTTCTCCTGTCAAACATTCTGCAACCTGAAATAAACACAAAAAGTTGTGTGTGCATGTGTGTGTGTTGTTGCTAGATCACAAAAACTTGTACAGCACAAAGCTGCCCGAGGAATTAATAATTATTTACAGGCAGCCCCTAGTTTGTGCAGTACAGAGATGACGATTTACTGACTTTTCATTACTGGACTCTCGAATTAACAAGATATAAATACATTTATTTCTTCAAATTAATTTACCAAATTTGATCAAAAATTGATTTATGCAATTAACCATTTCCCAAACAACCAGCTCATCTAGGCAGATCAAAACTCCCATGAAAAAATAAGAAATAGCCTTACCTAACCTAATTAAATAGGCTTATTCAATCTATTTCACCATAAATCAAGTGAAAGTAGTAAGATATATATTTATTTAAATGGCACCTCCATTGGTTGATTGCTTCTCCATCCACCTCCCTTCCTGCTTTTATGCACATTATCTACATATCCACACTATTTTATCCTATATAAATAAAATTAATTATATATACTCTCATATACACAGCTCCATTATGACAGGAGCCGAGAAAAACAGTAATTTGTTTCAGGTAATAAGTGAACACCAGGCTAGCTCTCTCAGCCTCTTCAACAAATGCAGGGTTATTGATAGCTAGATAATGTTTACAGCCATCTCCAAACCAAACTAACACTATCCAAACATAAACCTATGACAGACAGGAGAAATGCACTACTGTACGTATTAAATGCAAGAATTATAATATCACATTATATGTGCATATACATATGACCTCTGGCAATACTGTATGATGACTAAACCAAACACACACACCAGAAGATGAAGAGACGACGACGTTTCGGTCCGTCCTGGACCATTATCGACTTGATAATCTGTCCACGATAGACCGAAACATCGTCGTCTCTTCATCTTCTGGTGTGTGTGGTCTGGTCACCATATTTTCAGCCACGTTATTGTGACTCATCTCCCACAATACTGTATATCCAGAAATGGTGGACAACCTAGGGAAGGAAGAGGAGGAGACTGGTGAATGGTGGCGGCAGGTTTGCCAGCTGGTCGCTGTAAACCAGCAGATAGAAAAAAACAATTACCAGCTCCTATCATAATGCAGCTGTGTATAGGAGCTGTATGGAGCTGTGTTACATACATGTGATGTATGTAATGTTTACATCACAAAGACATATTGTAAGCAATTTCACCTTATATGAAGTCAGAAATGTGAAAAGTAGATTACCATACTTAGTAACGTGAGAACTGAAAGCAACACATAAATTTGTACAAGTTGTATTACATTTCTGGGACACAAATTCTCCGTGTCCCAGAAATGTAAAAATATTGTGGGAAGTAGTGCATCAGATAACAAGAGCACCTAACTTTGTTTCTTTGGCCCAAACAAATTTATAAGGTTGTTGTTGTTGTTTCATTGTAAATACTGTGCTATAAGGAAGAAATAGAATGTTTGTATTAATGCTAGCACAGAATCAATAACAAAAAGTCCTGTTTAGTAAGTGTTGGTGTGTAGTAAGTGTTTAGCAAGATGATAATTTGCATCTACACCAAAATGATTATTCTCTATCACCACAATACCTTCTTGTAATAATACTGTCGTCTCTTGGTAGTTCCTGGACGAGGCATTCCTTCAGGTACTTGATCATCTGCTGGAGGTGCACAAAGATGGTCATCAAGTTTCATGCTTTCCTTCCCAACAGGCTGTAATTGGTCATCCAATTCCCCTATCTGATGTAGGATACGGCAACATTCTAGAGCAGCAGACATTTTAGCCAAGGACATCTTTTCTTGCCATGGGCCCTGGTGGCAAAAAAGTCACACTCAAATTACCATAGAAATTACACTGTGAAAGATTTCCTTCCCATTAATACCTATCCAGACCAAAAGAGAGATAGATAAAATACAAAAAAATAATATATCTATAATTTAATAGGTACAAAATGGTTTTTTTTTCTATACAAGCGGGCAAAAATTTGTTTATCATAGATATTGTGAGAGTTAAGGACTGATCGAAGGAAGTTATTTATTCAGATTCCTGACGCTACAAAAGAATTTTTATTGCACGGTTGCTTAGCAATATTTCATCATTTTATGCCCAAAAATATATACAATTTCTTTACCACAAGTTATAGTACACACTTTTTCACACATTTTGATACCAAAATCACTTGGAAAATGTCACAATGTTTATGTAAAAATATAAATAAATTGTATATATGTATATTACTGACACCACATTCCAGTTCGGCAAATATGTGCGCTCACTCTAAAAGAAGTCTTCCACTAAACTATAATGATCTAACGATAAAAAAAGAATCCTTCCATTGCATCTAAATGCCCGGTTCAGGCAGTTCCATTCAAAGGGAACTCCACTGGAAGTAATAATACTTCAAGGAATGTCAACAATGAGATGAAGTATATCAAACTTAACCTGGGGTTAAGAGTAGATAGATTAGAAAATCCACAGGAGTCATGATGGGGGTTTCAAACGTGTATCTGGGAACACCCGGTGCATGGGTTCGAGCCCTCATCACGGTTCCTGTGGAGTTTCTCACTGATATATCGAGATAATGAGATTGCAGGAGATGAGTCACAATAACGTGGCTAAAGTATGTTGACCAGACCGCACACTAGAAGGTGAAGGGACGACAACGTTTCGGTCCGTCCTGGACCATTCTCAAGTCGATTGAGAATGGTCCAGGATGGACCGAAACGTCATCGTCCCTTCACCTTCTACGTCCCTTCACCTTCTAGTGTGTGGTCTGGTCAACATGATAATGAGATTTCTCTGTATTAGATAGATGGATAACTTTAATATATATGACATTGTAAGTAACTGAGCTCAGTCTGTGACAGTTCAATAATTTCTATATACATGGTACCAGTTCCATTATTTGACAATTAAATTTATCTCATGCTAAACAATACACGAGGAAGAAATATTGAATGCAATTTACCTGAATAGTTCCTTTAAGGGGCGAGTTAATTGGCAACATTATCCTACAGCAGTATTTGCCAGAATTAGTTTCACTTTCTTCAATTTCCCACATGGCTGTCAGACGAGTGAAGGTGTCGCTCGGCAGCTTTGCGCAATATCTAGAATGAAATAAATGTAAACCTATGATAAAATTCAATGAAATGTAACTGTAAAGATAAAAACACAGATAGTCTGTGTATTGATACAGTTATTCTTAATACAGTACTGTACTATGTTGTATCCAACATCTATGTTTCACCAGATGTACAAATGTAACTCTTAAACCTCTTCCCTAATACACCTAAAAAAATTGCCAATTGCATGAAACTAACTGCATTTTAATATTCCTCTTCATAAAGTTTAAGTTGTTTTTTGTCTGAAAATGATCTAATTTGAAGAAACCAAAGTTGAAAATGTTGTTACACTCTGAACAACATTCCCATCGTCACTGTGACCGAGATTAAACTAATTTCGAGTGTCCCACATACTTGTTCAGAAGCCCTATTGCTGACGCCATGGTAACAGCAGCACTGGCAGGAGTGATGTAGGGAGGATGTGCACTATTAGCCTCCTCGGCCATAACTTCTACGTCTGTGCCCACTTCCACGCTTCCACACCGACTTACCAGCACCTGGGCCAGCATTAACATGATCAGAATGCAAGGAAAATAATATATCAAAATGAGATGACAATAATCATTGTCAGGCCTTATCCTATTCATCAGTCCTAATATTTAACCGATGTAAAAAATATTGTGATACCAGGACAGACAGAAATAGAAAAAAAAAATAATGACAAAGAAATCATGTTAAAAAGACAACCATCCTTACCTGCTGAAAGGCAGAATATGTTGCCATATCACAAAGGAAACTGTCTTGTTGTGTTTTGGTGATTAAATGAAAATAAAACGTATCCTGGCCCCTTGCACGACCGCAACTGTGCACGTATGATCGATAGTCAGTGGGAGGGTCAAACCTGTGAGAGAAATTACTTTGGTATTTTAATGGTTATTGTAATGAAAATTAAAAACCAAACATCAATTATATCAAACTGATTGCTAATGGACAGAACAAGTTCACCTTGCTTCCTTTCATATAAAAAAATAAAAAAAATAAAGCAGCATTGAATGTAATGAAACACCTCTATCCGGTAGAGCCCCGGCGAGTCCCTGAAGCTATTTCGCCGGGATGGCTCCCCACTCCCGAGTCACACGAGTCGCAGAAGTTCTACCTCAGTGGACACCTTGTTAGTGTCAACTAAGGCAGAACAGGTGCATGCAGTTAGCAGCAAAGCACTGCCACCGGATATGACAAATTATGCAACAAAATTATTAGATTCATTTAATTTTCATTGCGAGTTTTACATTATTTAGTCTAAACAAAAATTGTATACTGTATATGGGATTCAATCAAATCTACATTGGATCTGGAATGATGCAATCTAGATTTTTGAGAAAGCAATGTACAAGACTTATATATATCCCATTAATTAAACTTTATTAGAGTAACAGTCATTTGCAAGCAATAACAAATGTGGGTTCTGCAGCTGTGGTATAGAACCCTAAATCTAGATGATGGACCACAATAAATGCAAAAGCTCTCAAATACATTATGCAATGCAAGAAACTAAAATGAAATGGAGGACGACCTATTAAACTTTTACTGTACTAAATGCAATGATCAAATACCCCTTCCTGGGTTGCACCTGGGTAGGGGCACTCAGCTTATGTCACAAGCACATAACCGGGCAGTGGGGACACAGCCCCGAAATCATCTCACAATAATCTCAAGATAGCACATGCAGAACAAACATCTTTCCCAATTTTCTTGTCTCAAGAATGAGGCAGGGAAGCTCGTGTGGCTGAGAGATTTACCGACCATCAAGATAAACCTCACACAATCGAAGAGAAATAACATAAAATTATCTGGAAACAATTGCCATACTGAGTCTCTGTCTAGTAGCCTCTGAACTACCCAATCCCCATTAATCTGACTATCCTAACTGCCACCAGGTGCAAAGCTTTATTTCAACACCTGCAGAATGTCCCTTAGCATAAGACTAGATTACCATGGGGGGATTTCCACTTACCGTAAGACAAGATTACACTGGGGGACATCAATTCCTTCTTCAAGAACACGTGTGGATACTAATACGTTGCACTCATGATGACGGAATCTATTGTAAAACAAAAAATTGCAAATAATTATGGATACCAGAACAATACAAACATTTCTTATACATATAACAAACTTCTACATATATATACTGTATTAATAATAATTGACAGTACTGTCTCCCAAAGGCTTCATAAGATTATCCAACACAAATCTTCAGCACTCATTTTGCAATACAATTAATACAATACCACAATGCTCATGCATTATGTAACACAGCTTCCATCTTACTCGTACCTACCTTGTGGCTACCTTGTGGAGGTTCCGGGGATCAATGGCCCAGTCTCCAACCAGACCGTGCACAACTATTTTGCGTTCCCCATCCAAACGTAACACTCTAATCACTCGAAGCAAAACACAACTCGGATGTCAACAATCTGCTCAATACAGTATATACTGTACATTTATGTACCTCATACTGGATATCTAGAAACCACAAGGGGCCAAGACTACCTAATCCATATTGTCAAAATAGTGACCATTCATTGTGTTTTACAGGTGTCATATATTGAATGTGTTCCTGTGATGGATTTTGGTATCTACAGTAAAGAAGTCAAACCGAGAGCAGTTGTATACTTAACCCTTTGGCTGTGGCAACACAAATGAAGCAAGTTTGGAAGCCTAACACAAATTAGAAGCCTAGTGGACCAAACTCTCACAAGTCAAGCCTGGCCTCGGGCCGGGCTTGGGGAGTAGAAGAACTCCCAGAACCCCATCAACCAGGTATCAACCAGGTAAGTACTTTCATACAAAGAGTAGAAGCATAAAAATGTAGAGCAGGAAGCATAGGAAAGAAGGGGGGAAAGGAGAGAGAAAATAATGAAGACCGAAAGAATGAGGCCTAGAGAAATAAAAATAAAAGTTAATTTAATAACCTATTGACCAACAAAAAATTAAAACTCTGCAATTCCCTTTAAAACCACGCTTTCCAGCTCCTAAATCATCCCAGTATTATTTTGTTGATAATTAATCAATGTTAATATTATTCACACTCGCTATCATTTCATCCTTTCATGCTGCCCATGAAAGTAAGGTGACAATGAGTAAGGTAAGAAAGGTAAAAAGGAAGGAAGGTAAGGGAATCGCATATGAACTACCCAATTTCTTAATTACGCATTACTGAGTGGGACATGTCAAGCACGCTATGTTTACATTTGGGAAAGCTCATAGGAGAATAATCTATTATAAATACACCTTTGTTTTTGCTCCTCTTCTCTAGACAAAAAAAAAAACCTGTCAGCCCCCCAACTCTGTCAGAGGACCTGACAGCCGAGTGGACAGCGCTCGGGATTCATAGTCCTGAGGTTCCGGGTTCGATCCCCAGTGGAGGCAGAAACAAAGGGGCAGTTTCTTTCACACTGATGCGCCTGTTCACCTAGCAGTAAATAGATACCTGGGAGTTAGACACCTGTTACGGGCTGCTTCCTGGGGGTAACAAAGAAGACACTTGGTCGAGGACCAAGCCACAGGGGCACTAAGCCCCGAAATCATATCGAGACAAGATCATGATAGACAATTCATTTATAAACATCAAATACCAGTAACTTAGAAAATGTAAAAATGATTGTAAACATTTTTTTTTCCATCACCGAGTTGTCCTTGAACAGCCCCACAAGCCCAAAACATTTATTTATGGTCAGGAACACGAGGAGCAGCCAGGCCAGTAAAAGTGTCAATATAAGAGTTGTTACATTCTTGTACAACCACTAGTACGTGTAGCATTTCGGACAGGTCCCTGGAATACGATCCCCGATTACAAATATCTTTCAACACGTACCGTCTGAGAACTTCCTCCTGCTTTTTATGCTCAGCCTCTGCAGCCCTCGGGTCATCCTTCACGCTTTCCTTGGCTTCCACGGTGTATTGAGGGAAGATCCAAGCGTAATCCCCACCTATATCACTTAGCTCCTGTAATCCCATCAAAATATTGATTACAAAGTGAATCAATGTGATTCATCAATATCTCTAAACATTATAATGGTTCAGTTGGGTCATTGATTATCGGTGAACAAACATGCAAAATAAATTATTAGTCAATAACTTTTAAAACAATTACCACACAATCTTCATGTCACTTGCAAAGTATTATACATGTAATGCTGTTCATATAGATTTCATGCCTAGTTAGTACAAAAATTTAAAAAGAAAATACAGTATTAAGCTAATATCTAAAGCATTAATTACAAATGTTATAAACCAACTGCCTTTCTGCATACCTTAAGGAGTCTGTATATAATTTTGGCCATATTACGGTGATGCACGAAGATTAGTCCACACACAGAGTCGGGATCCTCCGGGTTATGGACTTTTACCTTCTCCTTCACATCGTCACGTCGTTTACGTCCCTTACCACCACTCGGAAGCAGCAATGCCAGCGTGTCAGCCATGGCTGCGGCCTCCGAGGACACCGCCGGGGCAGACGATCCAGCCTGATCTTTTTCTTTGTTTGAATTTAAACCAACACCCGAGTTAGCTGGAAAATTGGTCACACTTGCTGTGCATGTGTTTGGTGTTGAGGTTATCTTTGATTCCTCTGCATTAACTTTGTTTTCTTCAGAGTTATCTGAGGCATCCATTTGCTCAACATTGTCATCAACAGTAACTCCATTATGAGAATTTGTTGTGGCATTGTCTGGCATTGATGTTACCTCTGATTGTTCTATATTAACCTTAGTTTCTTCCATGTTATTTGAAGCATCCATTTGCTCAATATTATCCTCAAGCATAACTCCATTATGAGAACTTGTTGTGGTACTGACATGAGTAGCAGCAGCAGCAGCAACTGCCTCAGTGGGCAGCTCAGAGGTAGCAAGAAAAGCAGAAGTTTCAGCTAAGGAATCTTTGTGTTGACAAGTTTCCATGCAAAACTGGTTTTGTACTGAGTCACAGCTTTCAATACCTGCCTTTGCTACACACACACTATCACTTCCATCTTCACAACCTGACTGATGCTCATCTAGGTCAATGTAGCCATTTAATTTCAAATCAACATTCTTCTTTGAGATTCTAGATGTCAAACATTTATGACCGCCTTGTGCAAATCCATTGCATAGTATTACATTTTTAATATTTTGTAACTTGGCAGTATCTTGAGGTTCGCTTTTGGCACTCAAATGTCCATTACATGGATCACAGCCCAATAAAATTTCTAGTTCACAGCCATCTATACAAGATGATTCCTTAATATTAAGCCTACATAAATCGTCTTCTAAGACTGAGCCATCTTCACTCTCCTTATTGTTTATAGCTTCGTATATATTGCAAGAGATTTGTGTTGTATCAGGATCCATTTGTACTGTACTTTGCATACTGTCAATAAACATAGTGCTACCATTCTCTACACTATCTCCCACATGCTTGATACCATTCTGAAATCTGCTACTTTCTTTGAACTTATTTGCAGTAATTTCTTCCATAGAACCTGACAGTGGGACCATATATTCATTAATATCTATTCCATTAGTACAACATTCCAAATCACTTGTATGTGACTCAGACACAGCCTTGATTGTACATTCTGTGGAGAACTTTGAGGCAGGTGCATCCGACTCTGCATCAGCTGACACATCGCCCATTTCATCCAAAACATCACAAGTGTCATCCAACACATCGTTAGTTTCACCCGACACATCATTAGTTTCGCCAGATGCTTCACTAGTTTCACTCGACACATCATCGCTGATTTCACTCGACACGTCGTCAGTCTCACTTGACTGATCACCAGTCTCGTCTGACCCATCTCCAATCTCATCCGACTCATCACCAGACTCACCAGACACACCATCACCACACTCACCAGTTGCACCAGAGTCCTCAATGACAGACACACACACATTGCACGAAGACTTCCCACCAGCTTCCTTCGTCTTATCGGCCCCCTGCCCAAGTAATCTTGACGACACAACACTGGACTCACTGGCAGCCGAGTCCAACAGGGCTAATTTACCAGGGGACTTGTGCACACTCTCACTTAAAATGTAATCACATATCTGATTGTTTTTACTAGGTGACTTAGGAACTGTCTTACATACATTTTCAATGACTAAACTACCATCAAATTCGGTATTTTCAAATGAATTTTTTGAATTTTCTACAACAGACTGAAAAGTTTGGCTATTCATTTCTTCATGGACCGAGTCAACATTATTTAAAATTTTGTCTGGGGAAAGAATATTTGTATGATCTTCCAGAGCTATATTCTCAACTGATGGTTCCCCTAATGTGACATTAGCATTGGCTTCTATAATCAAATTCTCTTCTTTTACATCTTGGACCATTGCAACTTCATTTTCTTTTACTAAAGATCCATCATTCACAGTTTCACCTCCAGTTGGAGCCGCTTCAATTCTAGCCATTTCGTTACTTTCCACTTTATCTTTTCTTTTGCGAGGGTCAATAAAATTGAGCGGCCGCACCTGACGAAGAATTTCAACTAAACGCAGAACTTTGGGAGTAGAAAATTTTAAGATCTGATCCAATTCTGTGTATTTATCAAATGCTTGTTCCACAACAGCCCTGAAAAAAAAATATATATATTACCTAAAAAGAACATTAATATTTCCTTCGGGATATTAACTATTGTAAATTACTAAAATACTGCATAAAAATTTCTTCTACAAACGTCTTGACATCTGGAAAACCAGTAAAGTTACTCCCAGTGGACCCCAAAAGATAGCTAGTTTCAGTTGGTGTGGTTGAAAAGGTTTCTTTAGCTAATTTATTTAAAAAGAACCCAAGTTAAAAATATAAGATTATCTTAAATATATATATTTATTTAGGGAAGGGCCTGCCTTTAACTACCCATCAACAGCGATTCCCAAAAAGGTATCAAGACGATAAATATCAAGATAAAAAAAAACAACGTAGAGTGTATTTTCTACACTACAAAAAAAAATGTATGCCACCAGACTGCACCTTATTCGTGCCATGACAGTGAAGATCATGCAGAGGAGGAGGTAGTGACGATCATAAGCCGTTTTCTTCTTTAATTTCTCCACTTCTACTAAAGCGTACAAAGCTGCCCTATCAGCACACCACAGCCCTGAGGGAAAAAAAACAAAAATTAAGTATCCACACTTCTGAGACTTTGAATGTTTACAAATTTGTAAGAGTTTTGCGTTACAAAATAGGTTTTAACGTAAACAGTACACAAAAAAATCAGCAAAATATCTGACAAATTGGACAAAAAAGAAGTACAGTATACTTCAGTATACTTTGAATAACACTGCTGACTATTTCAAGCAGAATTAATATACTTAACACTTTCGCGCTTTCCGCAAAGGTCACTCAGCCAACCGAATGTGCGCGCAGCGTTTTTATCGCTTAAGCGTAAAAACAAAAATGTGTATACTCTTTTTACTCTTCTGACCTTAGTTCTCATGCTACGTATTTCATTTTGGTACCAACGTGTTCGCAATAAAATTCTCTAGAAGAACATCAGTAAAAGAAGTCACGAAACGTATAGGGATACCAGCACCAAATAAATAACTACGAAGATGACTCGCCGTGAGCGCCCATCAGCAACAAAATGTTTTTACTCTTGGGATTGTAATCACCTCCACACTTATTCTACAGCGTTAATTTTGGTATCAATGGACTCGCAATGAAATTCCCAACACGGTGATATGAATATAAGCGTAGAATAATGATGCGGCCCGCCCGCAAGAGTGTGGGAAGTGGTGAAATTGTTACCCGGTATCGGTGACGGGACGACGCACGGCGCTTTGAAAGTTTATACTTATTTCACTCTCATGACATTAATTTTCTATGTACGTCATTCATTTTTGTGTCAATGTGTTCGCAATAGAATGTTCTATGTGCCCATAGGTAAAAAATATCAACAAAGCGTAAGTTAGAATAGCGCCAAATATAAAACAACGCTGGAACATATCAGTGAGCGTCAAACACACACGAAATGTTTTTACTTTTGTTATGTTTGTCAAGTTTATACTTGTTGCACACAGTTATTTTTGGTTGTATATTGATCGGAATAAAATTCCCTAAACAGACATATGCATATAATACATGATATGGGGGAAGCATTACCAGTATAAACGGCTAAAGTCACCCACCTGCAACCCGTTTGGGACAAAATACCATTTGATCGAAGTTATCCACACCTTTCATGAACTTATTGTACCATGCAGCCTAGTGGTGAGAAAGAGAGCCTCATAGCGCGCAGTTTGAAACAAACCCAAAGTAAATCGGATAAAAATTGAATTTTATACAAATATTTTAAAAGAGGACTCAACTTTATGTCCACTATGCGTTAGCGTTAGACGAAACGGGACGCGCCGGCGCGTCCAGATAGCGCGAAAGTGTTAACACTATTTTTCTGTAGCCATTACTAAGTTTGACAATGAAACCAAAAAAGAGCAGGTAAAAAAACTCAGAAATGCTGCAGGAAAACCTAATCAGACTTTCAAAATGAACTGAAAATTGGCAGATACAGTTCAAAGCTGACAAGTATATGGCCATAAGGCTAGGAAAACCAATGCACCATATGCAGGCGATGAGTCACAATAACGTGGCTGAAGTATGTTGACCAGACCACACACTAGAAGGTGAAGGGACGACGACGTTTCGGTCCGTCCTGGACCATTCTCAAGTCCAGACCTGGACCAGACTTGAGAATGGTCCAGGACGGACCGAAACGTTGTCGTCCCTTCACCTTCTAGTGTGTGGTCTGGTCAACCAATGCACCAGTTATAAATAAATATTATCAAACTTACTAAGTGAAGAGTATTGTGAAGAGTACCTGGGGGTTATGATTAATATAAATTCAAAGCCAAGAAAATACATATAAAATAATTTACTAGTAACTAATATTTACATCTAGAAATAAAATCTCTAATAAATCCCTAACATGGTCAACAGGCTAATTAGACGGATGTTTCTTGCAATGTTTAGAACCCCACAAAAACAGTACTACAATGGAAGGTATTCCATAATCTTGACAAAATATTTGTAGCATGTCAACCACAATTTTAAACATGAAAAACGATAAAATGTACATCTTGGGTAACCTTTCACACAACATTATATATATTTACTGTATTTATAAATCACACGAGTTTACCCACTGCATTCCGATTGTTTTTAAATAAAGAACTGTCACTAAAGAAAAAGGGGTAATACTTTTAAACAAAACAAACAAATTACACTGCAAGTTAAAACTTTACCTAAATTATTGAGCACATCCAGGAAGTCCATCAAGATTTGCCTTGGTTCATTATTAGGATCAGGTAATCCATCACAGAACTCTTGATATTCCGGACCATAAACTTCTACAAGATCATAACGATGGTCACCAAGGAAACCCAGAGCATCCGCCACTAAACGTCGGACTTCCAGCTCCACCTCCAGACGTTCCTCTGGAGACGGATCACGACACATCACAATTTTCTCAACAGGCTTATTTACATACCTGAGATACAGAAAAAAAAACAAGCGGGTAACACATTGAAATAAAATGAACGAATGGTAAACTTGTCGATCAAACCACACACACACACACTAGAAACTGAAGAGTATGTCGTTGTCTCTTCAGTTTCTAGTGTGTGGTTTGGTCAACATTTCTTCAGCCACGTTATTGTGGCTCAATCTGCAATGGTTAACTTTATTTGTTGATGTATGTGCAATTTGTTACAAGTAACACAGGTTACTTCAAAGCTCAAATTAAAATAAAATCCAACTTAGAAATCCAAAATCTTCAGTATCAAGCATGATTGTTATTTGTAAAGCTTAAGAGAGTTTGTCAAACTGGATTTAGGTCAATATATAAGCATATTGCACAAGCACTCTTCAAGCCCTGAGGCTCAGAGACATATATGGTACAGTCGCAGAAAAGTATTCCTTTACCCCCCAGCCACAAAAAGTACAGAATAGCAATGCTGCATTTGCTGTAGTAATGGATTAGATTATGAATGAATAGGTCCTTTGTAATGAAAAATGGTATCAATTGTCCCATACCATGTCCTGTGTGCTCTCCACATACCATATCTGTTTCTTCGTGCACACTTTCACTCTCCTATTACCCTGCAATTCACCTTAATGCACTCTCTACACCAATTCACCAATATCCATTCATTCAACATGAGCCAAACCATCTCGGTATTCTTTCCTCAATCTTGCAATTGATTGACTTTAGCATTCCCCATCTCTACACGATATTTGAGTTATTATTTGATCTTCCTCCTAACACCAAACATACTTCTTAGATTGTCCACTTCTACTGCCCCTCTCTTCATGTTTTCCCCCCTTTGGAGAACCACTTGAAATTTTTGCCACAGAATTTTACCTCTGTATCTGCCACGCTAAAATTTATCCTAATTTTGTAATTTCACTACAGTATTGCATCTACAATACAAATAGCACTTGATTCAAAGCCATGAAACATTAAGATTTACCAGAGATAATCAGTCTTGACCGGTATCTTGGGTAAATCTAACCATAATACTGCGGAAATTGAGTGAGGAAGTATATTATTCAGTCCTCACCTTAATACAGTGACTATTTCTGAGGCAGTATCAACTTTACAAGAGGAGGCTTTCTGAAGGTGATTAAGAAAAGACTCAAGTTGTGGTGGAGAGCAGGTATGACTCAACACAGGAGAACTCATGCCTAGGATTCGGCAATTTCCACATCGACTTAGAATCTGAAAAAAAATATTGAGACAAAAAAATAATATTCAGGACAAAAATAAATTTTGTATATACAATTATAAATACAAATGGCAATGTGGTATTTAACATAATACTTGGGGCCTCAAATAAAAGGAAAATAGACTGGTTAACAAATGCTTCTCAGAAGATATGTGGAAGAGAGATCTATCTATCTATCTATAAGAGATATCATGAAGAGCTAGATTAGTGGACACGGCACACTGTGGCAAAATATCAAGGAGCCGAGACGACAAGAGTGTAACAAAGAAAAGGAGAAACCAGAAAAGGCATAGAAAAAGTAAAGGGACATGGGTACAAACAGTCAGACACTAGAGTACTAGAAATGAGTACACAGGACAGCAGTTAAGAATATACTGCACAGAGATTAGCAACTACGTTAAGTAAGTACCCGAAATAAAAGGACTCATCGTGAAGAGAAGTAAAGGGTACTCAACGTCACAACCCTCAAGAGAAGAAACGGTGAATATGATCAGTATACACTTGATACTGAAGAAATGAACAATGTGGACGAGAGTATCCTATTTAAATTGAAAAGCATTAAGACAAGCAGACATCAACAAAAGCTGGATACACAATAGATACATAGAGATGTAAGGAAAATTTCATACCCTCTATGGGTGGTCTGCAAGTGGAATGCATTGAAGGACGTTGTCAAATCAACTTCCAATGACAATTTTAAGAAAAAAATATGATGAATTTTAAACATCAAAAATGTAATTAGTGTGGACATGGAAATTACTAAGAGGCATGGCATAAATGAGCTACATCTCACTTCTCTGTAGTCACTGATAGGCATGCACCAATAGGCAAACATGGAGGACAGAAGAAAATGTATATATGCTGGTTAGCACTGTAAATGTGTGGCCACGTCTGTGGTAGACAATAATAATAATAATAAAAAAAAGCACTTGGGCCTCACAGCCGAGTGGACAGCACTCGGGGGTCGAAGTCCAATTGGCCCGGGTTCGAGTCCCGGCAGAGGCGGAAACAAATGGGCAGAGTTTCTTTCATCCTGATGTTCCTGTTCACCTAGCAGTAAACAGGTACCTAGGAGTTAGACAGCTGCTAAGGGCTGCTTCCTGGGAATGTGCGCGTGTGTTAGAGAGAAATATATGTAGTAGACATAACAGAGAAAAAAATAGTGTGGCTAGAAAGGTGGGGTCCTAGAGCTAAATAGCTCAATTCTGCAGACACAAATAGTAAATATAAATAGAAAAGTAAATACCAATAGGTAAGCACAACTACTCTGCTACAGCAGTGCTGTAGCAGAGTAGTTGTGTCTTTGGCAAGTTCTGACAGAGTTGTCAGAACTAGTTGTCTAGTTGTGGCAAGACAGTGACAGAGTTGTCACCGTCTTACTGAGTAATCAGCAAGACAGTGACAGAGTTGTCACCGTCTTACTGAGTAATCAGCAAGACAGTGACAGTTGTCACTGTCTTACTGAGTAATCAGCAAGACAGTGACAGAGTTGTCACTGTCTTACTGAGTAATCAGCAAGACAGTGACAGTTGTTACTGTCTTACTGAGTAATCAGCAAGACAGTGAACAACAAACTACATACCTTTGCAATAGTAGGAGAAGTTGCCATTCGGTGAGCATCAGTAATGACAAGAAGGTTGAGCATGTCTAGTGGCAATACTCCTGCTTGCAATCCTTGCTCCATCACATCTACGGTCATTATTAACACCTAGAGAAACAATCAACTTGTATTTCATCATCCCTTACACAGAACAGCTGACCAACTCTTCTAATGGATATGTAATAACAAAAATTATTTATCTTTTTCATTATGCTTACTCAGTTTGTAACTTAACTGAAAATCAAATTCACAGTTACCGCTTACTTCGTGCATATGCGCGGAGCTCACGCCCGGGGCGCAATACTGTTAAGTAGGCCCTCAGTTGCTCCCCGTCTTTCCTTACATTTCAGTGACAATTTTCGGGGTTCCAAATACTGTAGGTTGATCATGAGTGTTGGTCCGAGACCCGGATACCCTAGCATACCATCTGGCGGCCAGCTGCATTAAGCCGAGTGCGTTCACCATTGGCAAACTACTGATTGGCTTGTTTGCCTCCTTTTTTCTAATTCTTTCTTTCAAGCAACAGCTTGTTGTTTTTTCATCTAATCTGTCTTATTCATTTCTACAATTTTCATTATATCTCTTATCCCCAAGACTCCCTTCACCTTGGTGACAGCCAGATTTTGATCTTATCGAGTTACTTAGGCTATATTGCTTATAAGAAAATTTACTTTCTTTAACCATTTATACATATTTTTTCCATAAGCACACAGCTGGAAAGAGCAGGTCTTTTTCCTTACAATAAAAGTGAATATAAAAAACTGATTGATCAACATTTTCACCAAATTTGTTCACAGAGGTGAAATACAGTGTTGCAATGAAACTTCCCCTTCAGTACAAGGCATAAGAATTTAGCTCATGCACAAGAAACTGCATCAACTTGATGTATCAAATGAGAAAATCAGTAGGAGCCATGTGGAGGATTCGAACCTATGCTCTGGGTACTCCCAAGCACACACCTTAAACCACGACACAACCCAAAAAGAGGATTTAGTTGAATCCCAAGTTGCATTAGTTTTGACTATGTCATAGTGTAGTGGTTTAAGGCAAGCACTTCGGAGTTTGCAAAGCATAGGTTCAAATCCTCCTCAATTTTTTGCTCCTATAATTTAGTTAAAATTAAAATAATAAATTAAAAAATTCAAAATTTAGTGGGGCAAATAATATTATACTGTATATACTTAAAAGGATAATTACCTGAGCCTCCCTAAAAGCTTGATTCCAGCGAGATGTTGGCCAATTATCAACCTGGTCCAGTGTGGTGTAGGTGGTGACGACTAGGTTGGTGTTCTGCTGAATGGCTTCCCCGGCACGAACAAGGCCTGGGCCTGACCACCCGGTAATCAAAGTTCGTTGCCCCTTGCCTCCTTGGTCCTTGCTACGATTGTACAAAGGATTTATTTACTTAATAATGTGCACTTAGCATTTGTTCACAACCATAGTATTGCAATAACGAAGATAGTAATGATTTTTGGTGTAAAATATAACATTAATTGCGGTAAAGTTTACCATAGGTAAATTTATCTTCCTGTAGTTTCCAGGTAAACTGCAGGATATAAATTTAAGATACAGTAAACTCTTATTTTGCCTGACTTAGAAAATCTTGTGCAAATTTAATTTCCACATATTGACTTGAAAGCTATAAATGGAAAAAAATGGATGCATTGCAGACAGACCCAGGAACTGCAAGGTATCCCTTCCAGTAAAATATTTATCAATAATGGGCAATGAAAAAAAAGAGATGCCAGTAGTGTGATGCATGTGCAAGTACTGTGCTTATGTTCAACGACAATGAACGAGAATATCAGTTTTTGTTTCCTCAACCAGAAAAGTCTATACACACACACCGCATCTTTCATTTAATGCGTACCTTCGGGTGAGGTGAGCAAGCTCTCGGGTCACCATGGTGATCAGGAATGTACGAGTGGAGCGAGATGCCAATACCGAGAGTGTGTTTCGTCGCAGGCAAGCGTCCACCAACTCCACCTGATACTCCCGAGGAGTAAATATAGTGGAGTGCACATTTTCTGGTTGTACCCGGTTCATCTAAAAAAAAAAAAAAGAAGAAGAGATTTAGATTATTTAGCAATATAGAATCTATATCAGTTTTATAGAATATTCCATAAAAATATGGAATAAATTATCATATTCAAAATATAAATTTGCCTTATTATTAGTTTTGCCTTACTCATTATTATTTCAACACAGCATTCAGTTATGAAATATTGAGCTGGTATTTAGTTACAAGAATTTATCATGAAATTTTACAGACTTTGATCATTGCATTAGACATTTATAGCAAGTGAAGGGAAATCAAGTAGAAGAAAATAAAAAGCATTCACTGTAATGAAACATTTCTTTCTGGTGGGTCCTGGTGACTCCTCCTCGGTGTTCAATTCCACCCAATTCAATCTCCACCAAGTCCTACATAATCATCAATAAAGCCTACTAGGAACTAGAGATCAAAACCTGGTCCTACAGAGGGATAAGGATTTACAAACCAATCGGTAGTTAAGCAATTCTAAATTTAGCTTCACCTTCCCACCACCAGGGCATGCACATCTTCCTCCTGGGAATCACCGACTATATTCCTTCAGTCACATAGTCAAGGACAAGGAAAACTGAAGCCCAAATCAGGAAAGTAAGGGCTCTAAGGAGTCACCAGAACCCACCAGAAAGAGGCATTCCATTACATACAGTGCTGGTTTCCTCGGAAGGATCCTTAAGTGGTTTCTTGGTGCTATGCCCCCCCCATGGCGAAAAATAGAGGCAGAAGACAGCCACAGAAGTAACCCCCCCCCCTCACAGGAAGAGAAAATTAGCAACAAGTTAATCCTCCCAACTGTCGTAGGGGGGGGACACGGTGGTGGTGTCCAAGCCTGGTGTGCACCAGGAATGTTTACTAAATAAGGAGCTGCCAGCACCCTACTGGAACACCAAAACACCCCAGCCTAGACACGATAAAGCATCTAAACTACTGGGATTATCTCAAAGCTTTCAAAATATACCCTCTAGAAAAAAAGATGAGAAGGGTACCAAATTATACATACAGTACATGGAAAATGCTGGAGAGTCAGGTCCCAAATATGCACAGTAAAATAACAACATACTTTACTGGAGTGAAGGATATGGAAGGATATAGAGACAGTCTAGAGATGCCAAAGGCACAATCAGAGAACACTGAACATCAGAGGTCAACTGTTGTTCAATATCTTCCCAGAAAGTGTAAGATAAATTAACATAACAAAATTGCAATTCTCCAAGAAAAACCCTGGACAGTTTTCTGCAAGAAATGCAGACCAACCAGGCTGTAGTGGACAGTGGCCTGCAGGCCTCTCTAAGCAACAGCCTGTTGTAACTAATAGATATAGTACAGTATCTATATATAATACAGATATATATATAAGCACAATTTAAAAATATGATGCATATAATGTATAAATTTACAGAAAACACTGAAGCAATATTTCACATAAAGTACAAGAAAGGACAAGTTTACAGTAGAGAATGACAAATAATATATCAAATGATTAGTGAAGCAAGTCTAATATCAAAGCCTCTTAAATAATGATCAATAATATTTATCCTCTAAACAAAAAATTCTGGGTGTCAATTAAAAATTGGTGTGTGAAGTTCTACATTATGTGCCTAAGTATATAAAAACACAAAGCTAAATAGACTCCATTTCTTGGTTCGCAATATCATCATCATCTCATTATCTTGAGGTTATCTTGAGATGATTTCGGGGCTTAGTGTCCCTGCGGCCCAGTCCTTGACCAGGTCTCCACCCCCAGGAAGCAGCCCGTGACAGCTGACTAACTCCCAGGTACCTATTTACTGCTAGGTAACAGGGGCATCAGGGTGAAATAAACTCTGCTCATTGTTTCTCGCCGGCGCCCGGGATAGAACCCGGAACCATAGGATGACGCGTCCAGTGTTCAGCGCTGATTTCAGACGGCGCTCACGTACCTTTCGTTTCCGCCTCATTTTCCTTATTGGGATCAAAGAGCAGTTATGGCTAGAGGTTATATCCCTGGAGAACAGAGCACCAGAGCACACACGAGCACGCACACACTCGCCACCACCACCACCGTGTCTCCCCTACTACAGTATCACAGCCTCTGGCACAATCACATGACACTCACTCGAGGGATAAGCTTACCTATGCAGTGCAAGAACCCTTGTTAAATACGGACACTTACATTTCAAAATAACGATACCCATTTTTCTAGACAAATCAAATGACTAAATGACCTTCATTAAGTTCATTACCAGATACAGTATCAATTTACCAATTATTCCAGCAATTAAAAGCAGCTGGCAATGCAAATTTATTCCTAATGAAATTAAACACCTTAACAACATACACATCACACAAGTGTACCAAAGGATTTACAACACCTCCCACAGCGTATGTAATCTCATACTCAAGATCCCAAATGATGGCAAAAGCACCGAGACCAGTAAACAAATAATAATAGAGAAAAATAATAAGGTAAACAGCAACTCTTGTAACAAGATCTCCAGAATTCCACACCCCAGGTAGGCTTGTGGCTAACCTCGGGCTACACAGCCACTATAATATCCATCCGGGCTCTGGCTCTGGCTTTCTCCCTCCCTCTGGCGCGCTCTCTCTCTGGCTCTCTCTCTCTCTCTCTCTCTGGCTCTCTCTCTCTCTCTGGCTCTCTCTCTCTCTCTGGCTCTCTCTCTCTCTCTGGCTCTCTCTCTCTCTCTGGCTCTCTCTCTCTCTCTGGCTCTCTCTCTCTCTCTGGCTCTCTCTCTCTCTCTGGCTCTCTCTCTTTCTCTGGCTCTCTCTCTCTCTCTCTGGCTCTCTCTCTCTCTGGCTCTGGCTCTCTCTCTGGCTCTCTCTGGCTCTCTCTCTCTCTGGCTCTGGCTCTCTCTGGCTCTCTCTCTCTCTCTCTCTGGCTCTCTCTCTCTCTCTCTCTGGCTCTCTCTCTCTCTCTCCCTGGCTCTCTCTCTCTCTCTCTGGCTCTCTCTCTCTCTCTCTGGCTCTCTCTCTCTCTGGCTCTCTCTCTCTCTCTCTGGCTCTCTCTCTCTCTCTCTCTCTCTCTCTCTCTCTCTCTCTCTCTCTCTCTCTCTCTCTCTGGCTCTCTCTCTCTCTCTGGCTCTCTCTCTCTCTCTCTGGCTCTCTCTCTCTCTCTGGCTCTCTCTCTCTCTCTCTCTGGCTCTCTCTCTCTCTCTCTCTGTCTCTCTCTCTCTCTGGCTCTCTCTCTCTCTGGCTCTCTCTCTCTCTGGCTCTCTCTCTCTCTCTCTGGCTCTCTCTGGCTCTCTCTCTCTCTCTCTCTCTCTGGCTCTCTCTCTCTCTCTCTCTGGCTCTCTCTCTCTCTGGCTCTCTCTCTCTCTCTCTGGCTCTGTCTCTCTCTCTCTCTCTCTCTGGCTCTCTCTCTCTCTCTCTCTGGCTCTCTCTCTCTCTCTCTCTCTCTGTCTCTCTCTCTCTCTCTCTCTCTGGCTCTCTCTCTCTCTCTCTCTCTCTGGCTCTCTCTCTCTCTGGCTCTCTCTCTCTCTCTCTCTCTCTGGCTCTCTCTCTCTCTGGCTCTCTCTCTCTCTGGCTCTCTCTCTCTCTCTCTGGCTCTCTCTCTCTGTGTCTCTCTCTGGCTCTCTCTCTCTGTGTCTCTCTCTGGCTCTCTCTCTCTCTCTCTCTCTCTCTGTGTCTCTCTCTCTCTCTCTCTCTCTCTCTCTCTCTCTCTCTCTCTCTCTCTCTCTCTCTCTCTCTCTCTCTCTCTCTCTCTCTCTGTGTCTCTCTCTCTCTCTCTCTCTCTCTCTCTGTCTCTCTGTCTCTCTCTCTCTCTCTCTCTCTCTCTCTCTCTCTCTCTCTCTGGCTCTCTCTCTCTCTCTCTCTCTCTCTGGCTCTCTCTCTCTCTGGCTGGCTCTCTCTGACTTTCTCTCTGGCTCTCTCTCTCGCTCTCTCTCTCTGGCAGAGCAAAACTCCTCGCCCAACACCCAAGGAAGGAAGGAAGGTGTCTTCACCATGTAAATAAGACACACGGTTCTATCTTTTATCCTAAAATTATCCTTTTCTCTATTTTATCTTCCAAAATATTTTATGTAGCATCTTTTTTTCGGTGTGTGGGGCAGGTAGGTGTAGGTTCAAACAAAAGAAAAAAAAATAAGAGACCCAATGGCGCCTTCGAAATTTAGGCAGTGAACCGAACAAAGAGGCAGTCTGTATGGTGCTGGGGTGCCAAGCCTCACTGGAGATGGGTGTGTTTGAATACTACTGTATTTGAACCTTCACTAACTCCCTTTTGTATCTTCTGTGAGCTCGTTGCAATGTCAACAACCACAATCCTTGGCAGGCATGGCCCAAGCCAAGGTACAACACATCCATGTAAAACTCGAGCAAAAAGAGCAGAGATGCAACCTCGAAAAGCCCTACCTCCACAAAAAAAAGACACAGTATGTAATAGGTCTTCAGCCACCCCTGATCCAAGCTTAGACCACACAGGCTAAGTTGCAGCATCCAGCAGCTGCTCGAGCTCATATCAAGTCTTTCATCAGGATAGACACGTTTACGTTCATGAATATTGAGACAGTGTTAGCCACTTTCCAGGCAATACAGGCTATTCCAGTATTGACCAATTGACTGAATATGCTTATCAGTGGCTCACAGAGTTCCAATCTGCACTCCTACAAGACTCTACTAAACACTTCATTTGGGCCTGGTGATTTATTAGACCTTGTATTTCTGGCTAACCCTTACTTTCCATAAAAAATTTAAAGTAGGCCTCTGCTCTTTTGTATCTTATATGAATGACTTTCTTTTGTCCTTTTAAATGTTTTACTTTTGTTATCTATTTGGGATCATTATTATACAAATTAAGTACAGTACTGTAGTCTGATAGTAATAATGATTTCCAGTGCCATTTTAACTGTTAGTGAGGAGGCTGTAACCTTTATCCATTGTGGTTAGAGCAAACCAAAGTCAATTCCTCTTCCAATGTATGATCTTCACCTCTGACCCGGCTTTCCCAGTTGAATCAAGTCTCAGTGGGTCACCTTTTTGCATTCCAACAATTTGAGATAACCATATTGTTATATCGTTATATTTATCTGAAACGCTTTGCGTAATAGTGGCATCATCAGTACTGTATGTGTAACTCCTGGCCCCACAATTTTACATTACTTTTGTGTTCTTTGTACATACACTCGGAATAAAAATTTGAATAACTAATACAATTCTTCCATGTAGTTGTAATCTGAAATCTAATCTCTCGATAATCAGTGTCTCCTAACTCATTGCAGATTTCCAAATCATTGATCAGCATTTGCCACTTTAAACTCAAAGCTAGATATTTTCTCACCTATGGTCCTGAATAAATTATGCCCTGGAGGGATTTTATGAAGCCTACACAGAATCTCCCCAATTCAAACGAGCCCAAGCAATATGCAGTACGTAACTATATTAAAATGCAGTTGTTTTACTCGGCTTACATCAGCATAAATTGGAATGTTGTCCCCAAGTAGATAGCTTTATGCACCACTTAATCAAATATAAACCTCTTAAGTCATGTAAAATCTCATACTGTCTATAAAAAAAAATGCTGAATATTACAATTATTAAATTTGCAATCCTACCTTTCAGACCATTTTAGCCACATACTTACCATCATGAATCTTCAGTTAGGGAGTGGGGAAATGGTCAATGAAGAAAATGCATCCTTTTTGTTTTTTACACTTTCATGACTGGCTGTTCTGAAATAGAATGTGAAAACAAATATTGATGAAAATGTAATACAGGGTAAATTTACTTGATCAAATAACTGGTTAATTGATAAATAATTTTAGTGTGTCCTATAGAGCGGTGTTGACCAAACTACACACTAGAAAGTGAAGAGACAACGACGTTTCGGTCCGTCCTGGACCATTATCAAGTCAATCACAATTGACTTTACAATAATGGACTTGATAATTACTGAAACATTGTCGTCTCTTCACTTTCTAGTGTGTGGTTTGGTCAACATTTTTCAGCCATGTTATTATGACTCCTCATCTGCTGTAGAGCAGTGGTTACCTTGCAGTGACTTTGCATTGATTTCAGGAGCTCAACGTCCCCGCGGCCCGGTCCCTGACCAGGCCTCCTGACCCCGCACAGCCACCTCACTACCAAATGATCCTGGGTTCATTTCCACGCAAGTTCAAGTACACTGTAAGTTGCATCCTGGGGAAGGTCATTCGTTGGCCTCGGAAAACCTTGAAAAGCCCAAAAACCTTCCAGTCCATAAGAAAGGGAAAATATTCATCCAACTTAAGGGTAAAATCTATAACCTCAGGTCAACTTCCCAACAGAAAGATTCAAAATGGAAGGGAAAACCAGTCCCTTAACAGGACCAGGACCACCAAACTTATCCCTGGAGGACTAAATACTCTAAAGTTAATCTTATATTCTCTCCCTGTTGAGAGGCAATTACTCTTTTTTCCAAATCATTGGCTAGTATGCAAATCTGCTTTATACCATACATTTTTTTGTGTAAAGAAGTGCAAGTACGTACTTAAAAATACAAATAATAATGTTTAAATGGGTGTTTTATCGAGTCAGAAGTGGAAAAAGGTGGACTTTAGTAAGTCTGTGGGACATCCTTTTTTACCATACAACCTAAATTTTGGGATTTGCAAATTTACATGTACTAAAGCTTACCCCATGGTACACCTCTCAAGAATGGAGATGGTCCATTTATTTCTATTTTAAAACACAAAATACTACAGAAACAGGTAAATGCATCAATTACATGAGAAGCCAAATGACCCCATTTCCTCGAAAAATAACTTCAACACCATTACTTGGGCAGTACCAGCACTATATATATACTGTACTGTACTAATCTACCATATTCTAACGAGGCTACACGGGCCTCTGGTTGAATATATGTGATGTAGAGTATGCAAATATGCACATGTTACTCTCAATGAGGTTGACCACCACAGGTAAGGGGGGGAAGGCAACTATCAGGAGAAAGTGCCAAGCCATTAGGACTATATAGCACCTGGAAGGGATCAGGACAAGGATTTGGGATGGGACGGGGAAGGAAAGGAATGGTGCCCAACCACTTGGACGGTCGGGGATTGAACGCCGACCTGCATGAAGCGAGACCGTCACTCTACCGTCCAGTCTAAGTGCTTGTTCGTGACCACCAACAGGGTCTAGCCTGTGGAGGCTAGTGGGAGTTCAATAACCATAACTGGCTTCCTGGTATACTAGTACAGTATACAGTACCTGAATTTATCCGAGGGTCACCGTCTCTCTAGTAGCCTCAACGGGGACAGGAAGCCGGCAGCTCATGAAACGTCTCCCATTTTTCCCAATGATTTTTCCAGCTAGACTTTGACTTGTAGTCTTGTGCAATTCAATATATTTTATTAAATGTCTTGGCATTTACAGCTTCAGCAGGTAGGCAGTTCTGTATAGCCGAGTACCAAATAACATAATATTATGCAACATGACCAGACATACACCGACTAATTACGTCCAAAATGATTAGAAAACATGGTTAGCTGGAATTATTTAAAACAATTTTAAAATTGAGCATCTCACCGTGACAGCAATGGCATCACTCTGCCCTCTGTGGCGACTAACTGGGTAATAATTATGCCACACCCCAATAGTTAAGCATTTAAATACTGCAAAACATTTCAATAATGTAGATACACGACTCAAATTTTTGCCATTTAACATGATTGAGAGACATTCAAGAGTAAATGAGAGGGGGGGGGTGACCTTTACCAAGCCACCGGCTTCCTGTCCTCATCGAGGCTCCTAGGGTTAGTGGCCCTCAGGTAAATCAGGTAAAGATGCTCACCATCCATGAAAGGGCGCCTGACAGCTGGGTGGACAGCACTTCGGATTCATACTCCTGAGGTTCCGGGTTCGATCCCCGATGAAGGCGGAGACAAATGGACAAAATGTTTCTTTCACCCTGATGCCCCTGTTACCTAGCAGTAAATAGGTACCTGGGAATTAGACAGCTGTCACTGGCTGCTTCCCAGGGGGAGAGGGGGCTAACAAAAAAAAAAAGAGGCCTGGTCGAGGACCGGGCTGCGGGGACGCCAAGCCCCGAAATCATCTCAAGATAACCTCAAGAAGATGATCCCAGCGGCCAAACCCTCGAACAATTAGACGAACACCAAGACCTACATAGCCACCTCCTATGCCCAAGGTGAATCGTCCTTACCCTTCTTCTACACAAGTAATTAACCTCTCACAACACGCGCCTCCAGCCACCAGTCACAAGAGCGAGCCCCCATTAATATAAACTCACATATACACATATGTACAAGCCAGATGCAGCACTACAACATACAGGTCAGTGACACAACTCACCAAAACCCTACACTAATCACATTATTATTCCTTCAAGGCCTCTTCTTACATACTCCTTCTCTTTCTTAAATAGTACACAAGATATTCAAGTACACGCTGAGGAAACATGTGATAGCAGGAGTCTACATAAGCCTCACCTGTTTAAAATAAACACTCCGAGGGAAGCTGAGGCCCACCAAGCTAATGTACCATCATTTTACATCCAGGTTACTTTTAGTATTGAAAACAATAATATTACCTATTTGTGATCATTTTAAATACAAGTCATTTATTATCAATGTCAAAGGAAGCATTTTTAATTTTCTTGTCGTTAAATTAATCTGTGAAAAGATACTGTAGAAAAAGTGAAAAGTTTTTTATTAGTATATGATGCGTATTTAGAGATTTCTTGAATCTAGAACGAAGGTTATGTTCAAGAAATTGTTTTAATTATTTTAATCAAACCACTTACTCTGTTAATTAAACAATACGATAATTCATACACATCTAAAATAAATTTGAATACCTGAAAACTATTAAAGCCAACACGGAAACCGTTGAAACCAAAATGGAAACTCGTCCATTAATTTTTTTTTTATCGTTTTAATTTATATATAGGAATCCAGCAGTATGCTGCTACCCTATAATAATTGACTTGGGATTAATGAGAATAGACCATGAACTGGCTTATGTTCACCTGCTATCCTAATCCTCACGAAAAAAATTTATGGATCGGTCATGGATTGCATGGATGAGTCTATATGTATATGACATATATCTACATGAACTTTTTTTATTTGGGTAATAATTCACTTATGCGGCTTCCCATGCATATAGTTAGTGACGGAAACCTGTAATGCTTATTGAGGTTCCTGGTACTAGGTCGCCCTTTGGGCAGGATACAATAAGACCCATTTGGTGAACAGTTGCATTAGATGAATGGAAACGTTTCTCCAATCCTTCTCTAAAACTAAAAGACACAAAAGCCTCAGGTGTGGACGGAATTCATTCCGAAGTCGTAAAGGAACTGACAGATGAACTATGCCTACCAATAAAACTTTTTCAAAAAATCTCTGAGCCAAGCTAGAGATTTCCCCTCTAAAATTGGAAATATGCAAATGTCCCCTATTTTCAAAAAAGACAGAAAGAGCTCAGCAGAAAACTATCGTCCTATCAGCTTGATCTTACACATTTGCAAGCTAACGAAGAGAATTCCAAGGGAGAGAATCATTCACCATCTTAAGTTTCTTAAAAAATAAATCTTGTCGTCCTAAACATAAATGAAACTTGAGAAATGTGGTGAGTGAGGTACCTCAAAGGTTGACTTTGGGACCAAATCGGGGCATAAATCGGGGCATAAATCAGTGACATGGATGTGGATATTACAAACTACATCACCAAATTTGCAAATGACACTAAGATGACCAGATCACATATCAGAAAATGGAGAAACGACAACGTTTCGGTCTGTCCTGGATCATTAAATCCAGGTCGGACCGATCGACGATCATCGGTTCATCCAGGTAAATCAGGTAAATTATCAAGTCGTGAGACACGATAATGATCCAGGACGAACCGAAACGTGGTCGTTTCTCCATTTTCTGATATGTGGTTTGGTCACCATATCTTCAGCCAGGTTATTGTGACTTATCTTCTGCATGACACTAAGGTTTACGGTAAAGTGAGAAGTGAAAATGATACTGAAGCCTTACAAAAAGATCTCCATGAACTCCACAAATGGTCAGAATACTGGCAAATATCGATTTTTAATGTCGAAAAGGGCAAGACCTTGCATGTGGGGCATAACAATCCACGTCATAATACGAAATTAACAACAGTACCTTACAGCAGATTGATGAAGAAAAGAACCTTGGAGTCAGAATCCATCATTTACTATAAGTTGCTGGTTGATCTCGTCGAAACTTTTAAAAATACTGAACAATTTGGAGGATGTTGATCCAGAGAACTTCTTCAAGAGGTCAGATGTAACACAAAGAAGGAAAAACAGTTTCAAGCTCAACGAGCCACAGTGCAGGATTGAAAACGAGATTGATTGATGGATGAAGATTAAGCCACCACAAGAGATAGCACGGGCATGAGTAGCCCCGTAGGTGGTAGATGTCTGGAGTGAATGTGACCTTTGGTCGTGTAACATCTTGAAGTGTCTCTGGGCCTGTAGAACGAGATTTTTTTTCACCCACAGGGTTCTAAACCCATGGAACCGCCTACCTGCCGAATGGTAAATGCTAAAACACTATTGAACTTTCAAATCCAGCTTGAAAAAATTATCAGGACAAATAAGGGGACCATCGACAAGCCACTGGCTTCCTGTCCTCGTCGAGGCCACTAGAGTGTTAGTGGCCCTCAGGTAAATTCAGGTAATATCGATCCTCTCGCCACTTAGGAAGGTCTGGGCAGATTAATTGGATCGCCATCCATGGAGTGAAGCACTCTGCTTGTCACGGAACTCTCGGGCCATCTCGGAAGTTTTATTTATTTTTGTCTTTAACTTTGATATGCTTTCATTACAGAGAAAATAATGAATGGTTGTAAGAGAATAGTTGATATGTCTAATATTAAGGGAGTGTCATCATTCAGGGACAAGGCATGTTGAACCTCTAAATCCCGGTTACACTATGACTAATACCAGACACATTATGGAATATCCAGCAATAAAATTATCATTTTATAATACATTCTTGATAGACTAACACAAATTCTGCTATTATAAGTACAAATCATTGGATATTAATGAAGAATGACAATAAACATCAACATGAGGGGAGTAGATTAAGGAGTGCGGAAGTAACGAGTGGATGAGCAAGATGGTGGCCAGGCAGTAAAGGTGTCTGCTGCTCTTGACACATCGCTCCTGCGCAATTGAAGCCAATATTTTCGGGCAAGTTTCATGGTCGAACCCAACTAATGGCGAGCTTGAGACCCGGTGGGGATAACCCTGGTGACCCGGAGACAGCCGAGTGATGATATAAACGGTGTAGGCCCAGGAAAAAGGTTTTTTTTTAAGATGGCAGCTCCCCTTCTCTAGGTGGGCTGTGGCGTTATGGTGGCCCGTGAATCCATTTGCTTCAAGGGATTTTATTTTGTGGTGAGGAGGGGGGATGAGAAGGAGAGGGGGGGCACGCCCCCTGTCCGTGGCATACCAGGAGGTGTGTTCTGGGTACTGAATAGTGTAATAAAGGACTAGAAAGTGTATTAAAATGGAAGTGTTTGTGAGGGGGCCGCTCCCAGTAAGGGGGCTGGGTCGAGGCACTTAGTACAAAAAGGTTTATTTTTCAGCGTTTCGCTCATTAATGTTAATTATATTGACCTCCCGTTAATCTATAACAATTGTTGTGAATGTTAGAATGTCCATTGTACCGCCGCTGGAGTCCAAAGGTGTCATATATCGGTTTAAAACTTGTATTACCGTCTATTAAGTGGTTGGGGCACCATTCCTTTCCCTCCGTCCCATCCCAAATCCTTATCCTGACCCCCTTCCCAGTGCTATATAATCGTAATGGCTTGGTGCTTTCCCCTGAATAATTAAAAAACAAAGAATTATAACTTGGTGTATTAAAGGACACGAATTTCTGGTAAAATGGGGGATCTATTGGTCACCCCTAATCATTATTTTCAAGATTGCAGATAATTCTGGCATCATTTGGTGTGGGAATTGCAGAATATTTTGTCACGGCAAACTGCGTCGTGTACGACAAACGCCGCTCCATCCATATAGCAAAACGGATATTTTTGTGTGTTTGAAAGTTGCCTAAATTTTGGATAGAGGTAACTTTCTGGCTAGGTAAATAGTCTTGGGTAAAGTCATACCCAAGACAGTTCTCGAAGGGATTTTAAAAATGGTTTAATTTAACCTAACGTGGCCTAATTTAACCTAACACTATATAAAAGGGTATTTGTGATGGCTTATACAGTGTTGAGCGAGTAAATGATGACATAATATACTAGTAATAGGGCTCAAAAAATATGCCTGGTATTCTGTTTTGTTACAGTTTGTTTCCTAAAGAAAATATGGCCTGGTTTAGTATTTTTTTGCCATGTTAGTGGCAGACATTAATTTGGTGTCCTTGGTATTTACCCAAGGGGCCACTATCTCTCCAGTGGCCTCGACGAGGACAGGAAGCCGGAGGTTTGTCAAAGGTCCCCCCCCACCCTCCCCCAATTTGCCCTGATGATTTTAGCCATTTAAATGTTGGGTTGTAGCAGGGTTTTGGCATATTTTAAAGTTTTGATGAGATCAGCCTTGTCATGTTTGGTTTGTAATGTTTGTGTTCTTTGGATAGGGGTTCCATTAGATATTTTTAACCCTTTTGCTGTGATAACTGGGAATGGCTGTTGTGGAAAAACAAAAAATTGTTCACTATGACAAATTAGTGCACCAAAAAAATATACAAATCCACAAGGGCCGTGACGAGGATTCAAACCTTCATCCGAGAGCATCCCAGACGCTGCTTTAATCGACCGAGCTACGTTTGTTCATTTGATGCATCACGCTATTGTGATTTCTGTATTGCCCAAAAAATGGTTTCGACATCATCGAATGTTTGTCGAGACGTCGGGCCTTCAGAACAAAGTTTATACCTTTGTAGCTTCGGTCATTTGGAGGCCAGGATCGTAAGACATTTTAGTTATTATATATGATAATACTGTTGTAATAATAATATAGTAGGTATAAATATTAAAAGCTTACCATTACTACCACTTCCCATTACTATAACCACTGTCTCGACTGCTACCACAACTTTTATTTCTTATTTTTTTTATACGCCAGCAATATTAAGCAATTTTTCATACTTGTATATTTTTCATACACCAGCAATACTATTAAAAATATTTTTGAAATATCAGTTTTATCACAGTTAATGAAAGTAGATATTGAAGATAACTATAATCTTTAAACTATGGCATTTCAGGTGTGTAGTTAGCAGGTGTGGCGCTGTGGTGGCGGGGGTGAAGGACGTGACGGGGGACGTGACACTGGAGTCGACACGGACGGTGGTGGTGGCGCCACCCTCCCCCACCTCGGATATGTCGGGAGATCATAAGAAGGTGAGAGAGCCTTGCCAGATTTACAGTACCAGTGTGTGTATATGCCATTTCCTTGTCAGTGTGTCTGTCCATCTTATCTAGTCAACTTATCATCATGTTTTGTACTCTGTACGTGGTTTGATATATTGGAGCCATTGCAGTAGGGTAGAGCTAGTGTGGTTTGCCCTTCAAAAATATTTGGATCTTTAGAGGTTCTTTTTTTTTTCTTTCCTCGTATTGGATTGTTTTTTCTATAAAACTTTAGGATAGTAAAAGGTACTAAATAAAAAATTGTATATTTTTTAATGTAAATGTAATTACTGTAAATACTTTTGTTTTTTCCTCCAAATATTTATGAAAGGGTGGGGGAAAATAGTAAACATTTTTGAAAAAACAATTGCTGGTATTAACGATGTCTGCGTCTTGTTTGGATGTCCTGACTACATTTGGATGTTTGGGGTACTATTCAAAACTTTCAAATAATGTTCCAGTAGTCAAGAAGTTTTTTTTTAGGTATCTGGTATACTGAAGTTCGGCCTTTCAAAGTTGGACTCTTTAAGGAGTTAGACAGATTAGATAAGCTTTTATTTTGCCCTTGTTAAATATTTGTTTAATACGGTAGTAAGGTTGTTCTTATTTGCAGGTCATTAAGGGAAGTCCATCGCAGTATGTGAAGTTAAACGTTGGTGGGTCTTTGCATTACACAACAATTGGCACACTCACGAAACATGACAACATGTTAAGAGCAATGTTTTCAGGCCGCATGGAGGTGCTCACAGATTCGGAAGGTAAAAAAATAACTGTGGTTTGGTTTTGTATTACTCTGTGGTTTATATTATGTTATAAATTTTGATACAAACACGTATACTATGAGAAGTTTAACTCAATATATAGAACAGTAATATATATATATATATATATTTTTTTTTTTTTTTCTTGTCATATATTGGTAAGAGATTACTGAATGTTAAAGAATTTTAGGATTTTTGTAAAAATGTTATTTATGAACATCTGGCAAAACTGTATAGTTAGTGCTAATATGACATGTTGATGTATATTTTTTGAGAGAGAGAGAGGTCTATATTGGTACATGATTTGTTCTTTACTGAGCACCATCTCGTGTTGTATGCTATTGTCTCGTATATTTTTTTAATCATTCTCAATCGACTTGAGAATGGTTCAGGACGGACCGAAACGTCGTCGTCATCCCTTCACTTTCTATAGTGTGTGGTTTGGTCAACGTATTTCAGCCACGTTATTGTGACTCCTCGTCTGCATTGCCTCATATAGTTTATCAAAGCACATAGGAAATGGTCCTATGTGCTTTGATATGGGTTTGTTCTCCTCCCATCATCTTCAGCTTGCTCATTCTCTGCTGGAACTTTTTTTGATCCTTGGTTGGGGTGCCCAAGTTCCTATTTTCGGGCATTTCGCATTACATGTGTTCATGGTGGGCTGTCCGCTAGGGGTGGCCTTTCTGTTACTATGGGTTTCTGGGTGTTGTTATTGAGCTTCGTGCTTTGCATCAGAAATGCATTACACTGTGTTCTTTGTTTTGGGCTGGGAGATCACTTTGTTTAGCTGCCTAATGGCTTGCATCTTCTCCAGTAAATTACACATCTGCAAATTTTAGAGAGGAGTTTGACAATTAGTGATTTCTAAGAAATTTCTGTATGGGGCTGTTTGGGTACTGTCATAGTCAGTGTAATGATTTAGGTTGAGGGGGATCTGCCAAGGTATAGCCCAGAAAGGAATTTTTCATTGCATTCATTGCTATATTTGCAACATGACAGGTTGTAGTTAGGGCATACCTCTGTCTTGGCTACCTTGCAGTTACTGTGCATTGGTTTTGGGAATCGATGTCCCCCATGGCCTAGTCTCTGGCCAGGCCTCTTGGTTGATGGTCTGGCCAATCAGGCCATTTGGATGTGGCTGCTTGCAGCCTGACATATGAATCGCATCCTAGTTGATCATATCTTTTTGGAAGTGTTTCGAGAGTTCTCTCTTGAACACTGCGAGGGGTCATCCAGTTATGCCCCTTGTGTGTATTGGAAACTTTAACGGTCTTGGGCCTCTGATGTTGATAGTTCTCGGTACCTATTGCACCTCTGCTTTTCAATGGGGGTATTCAGCACATCCTGGATTGCCTTCTGGTCTTGTGTCATGATATTTCTGTGTGCATGATTAAAACGTACATTTTCAAATGCATTAAACATGTAAAGTTTTCAACTGAGGCCAATTTTTAAAGGTGTCGGCACAAGGCTACGATTTCACTTGGTTAACTTCATGGTATGGAATATTTACTACATGGTATAAATTTAGTTTTCCCCTAATAGCTGTATTGAGTTTGCACTAAATTGTGTATGCAAACTTATCTAATGATTTGTCATCAGGTTGGATTTTAATTGATCGATGTGGAAAACATTTTGGCACCATCCTTAACTATCTGCGAGATGAATGGATCCCAATACCAGAAAATCAGCGGGAGCTACAGGTAAGAGTAATGTTTTTTTATGATATTCATGTGTAATGTTGCATTTTTATGAACAAATCCACGAGGACCATGATGAGCCCCTTTTGCATTTTTATATTTTATAGGTAATTGTTAAATGCAAGAGGTGCAATAAAATTGAACTGAATTGTAATTACATTGGAAAGATAAATGGAAAATTTAGATTAAATTTTGCAAAGGTAGTGTTCATGGTTTTTTTTAAAGGCACTGTAAGAAAATGGGAGATATTATTGATGTAACTATCCAAAACGAAGTGTAACTCACTTGACCAAATGTCACCGAGCTGAGAACATGTTTATTTTGAATGAGAAACCGAATATTGTACATTATTGTTGGATGTGGTGAGTTACTTTACGCGTAAATTAAAGATACTGTAGTTTTTGTCGTTATTTCCAAGCTTCAACTTTGGGCAGCTTTCTGTGGCAGGATTCTACTTGTTGCACGATTTGAATCGGAAGGTCAAGGCAGGTTCCCATTCTACATTAGCATGGGAGGGATCTTCACAAAATGCCTCCTGCTGAATCATACTAGTGTTAGTGAGAGGTCTCTTGGTTGGTTGTTGCTTCTAACTTGCCAGATCTTCTGGTTTGTGCTCTGTGTGAATTGGCAACGAGTAATCTCCTGAGATTACCAACAAATTTTGGTTCCTAGAAACTGTTTCACGACATATTGTAGGCATTTTTGTTTTTGTTTACCCCTTAGATCACAGCTGTGACAAGTTGTCTATGACAAAGCAGTGCAAATATGGTTAGATAATTGAACCGCATTACATGTCATCTGTTGCAATAAATCTTGATAATTTTTGACAATGTTTAGAATTTGTGCCATTTTGGGGGGGGGGGCCTAACAAACCGAGCTAAAGGTTACCCAACCATGGTAAACACTGATTAAAAGTTGAAAATTTTGAGTTTGGAAGTTAATTTAGCTTTTGCCATAGCAGTTAATGAGATTGGTTTTTGGTTTGCTGAATACTGTATCTAGTTATAGAACACATTTTGGGGAATGCATTGTATTCATTAAAAGAGGTTTTGTACCAAGGCCTGAACTAGTTGGCAATCAGTGCCCTGTTCATTTCTACTGTTCATAAATTAACTACAGATTCAATTTTACATATAGGGTTACATATGTGGTTTGATGCTGATATGTAGGTAAAATTATAACCACTTGCATGAATGTTTTTAAGGATATGCATGTTTGATTTGGTCCCATGGACTTCACTGAATGAGAAGTTGGAATCATAGCATACAAAGGTAAATATTCTTGAATACATATGTATTTTAAGTCTATTAAAAACTTTAATAAACATGATAGACTTAATTGTCTGTTAACAGGAGTTGCTGGCAGAAGCAAGATATTACTGTATGACTGACCTGGTGGAGGTATGTGAAGGGGCAATTAAACAACGAGAACCAGAGAAAGATCCTGTTTGTCGTGTGCCTCTCATTACGTCGCAACGAGAGGAGCAGATGCTTATACAATCTACTAGTAAACCTGTAGTGAAACTTCTGGTAAATCGTCATAATAACAAATATTCATATACGAGGTAAGAGTAAGGTAAATAAGTGTGTTGGGTCTGTACCATATATCTTGGATAGTATTTTTCCCTTACACAGTGCTGATGAACTTCCCGAACTTTTGCTCGCAAATTCTCAAAAGCAAACAAATGAAGATGATTTATCCTTCTGCTCTAATGTCTAACTAGGTTTACATTAAATTTTTTAAAGTGGTTTTTGTGAGGCAGAATGGTAGGTTAGCAGTCATGGTATCCTGTTGACATATAGGTGTTGCCTAGTTGTTGCTAAAGGGCAGTTTGGCCAACTTGCGAAGAGCACAGAACTAGTTCCGTGTTCTCTTGCTCAGTGTACCATATTTGGAAGATCCTTCATTTTAGTCTCGATTCGGTATCATCCATACCTTGGTATCGTTCTTATGTCTCATTCTTGGGGAAAAAGGGCTGTTAGAATTATTGAGGTCCTCCCCCCCCCCCAGGCCAACTGTTGACCTTCCCTCGAGGATGCAGCTCAAACTAGTTGTCAGGTTCTTGGGTGCCTATATACTTCTAGGTGAACAAAAGCATCAGGTGAAATAAAAAAGTTTCCTAAATGCTTTTGTGCTGTTGGAAAATTGAACCCGGGACCTTTTGTCTGTGCAGATCCAACTTGTCCTCTGACTAAGTTCATTCCATCCAGCGGTCAACCCCAAAGACGCATTCATCAATTTTTAACATGCTGTTCATTCAAAACAGGAATTTTCTCATATAAATGATTTTATATTGCCATATTGTACATATTTAGGCACTGGTTAGGTTAGGTGTTTAGGTTCTGATGGGGATTATTTGTATTTGTAGTACGTGGGTGAAGCATTTACAATGTTGTGGTTCGAACAAAATTCGTTGGTGAAGCACCTGTTCCGGAAGTGTTCGAACGTCAGCAGTTGTGAGTTGTGTGTAAACCCTTTTTCATTCATAAACGGGATTTGGTGGGTGCATGGAATGGACTTTTGTGTCTTTGTTTGGAGGACGGGCTGGCAGATTTTATCCATGGGATCAGCAGTACCTCGGAAGCGAATATTTTAGTTACTCTAGATACTTTATTTCTCTCCAACTTTAAAAGTTATCTCGATAAAGAAAAAATATTGAGCCCTTCAAATGTTTCCTTTGGAGAAATTTAGGCCTTCCTGTTTTCTTGCCAAACACATCCTTTTAAAATAAACCTTTTCTAATTTTAAAAATATTAAGAGCCCTGAACTCTGATGACAAGCCTAAAATATTTGGAAGGCAGAATTTTTATTTTTGTTATAAATTTGAACAAATATTTTGTAATTGTAGCATTGTGTATAGAATTTGCATGCTCTACTTGCACAATTGCATGCACCCACACTCTTATACATTGACACGTGCCAACAATTTTGGGACTATTCAAATTGTTGACCAAACCACACACTACAAAGTAAAGGGACGACGACGTTTTGGTCCATCCTGGACCATTCTCGTTGTCGTACCTTTACTTTCTAGTGTGGTTTGGTAAACATATTTCAGCCACGCTATTGTGATTCCTAGTCTGCACTGTTCAAATTATTTGATAATCAAAATAGGACACTGACCCTATCCGCACACACACATTCAAAATATTGTTTAGCATACATAATCTCGGTCTGCATGTTACAGCAACTGTAATGTCAGTAAGACTGTAGTACTACTGTATTGGGTGTGCCTTTGAGAGCCTTACTTTAGATTTATAAATTCCTAAAATTATATAAATGTAAAGATATATTTTTCAATATTTAAATAACGTTTAATTTTTTTTTCCAGCACATCTGATGATAATTTGTTGAAGAATATCGAACTCTTCGATCGTCTATCTCTAAGATTCAGTCGACGAGTATTATTCATAAAGGATGTAATAGGCTCAAACGAGATATGTCTTTGGGCCTTTTATGGACATGGAAAGAAGTTAGCCGAAGTGTGTTGCACATCAATTGTTTATGCAACCGATAGAAAACATACAAAGGTGAGAATCTCCTTGGTCAGTGGGGAAAAATACAGTGTTGATAATATTGTACGGTAATATTGTAGTAATTTGGAGAGGTGTCTTAAATTCTTTGTTATGTGGAGGTCTTTCAGGTGTAATGTTAGGCAGAATTTTGGCTGTAGAATGGCTATTATATGTTGGAACCATCCGATAATGGACCAATTATCGGATGGTTCAAAAGTTTAAATTTCCCCGAGGACCTTCCCATTTATATGCTTAACAAATATAAGCTATTCCACTTTATTCACTTTTTAAGGTAAGATCTTGCTTGCTCTGCATGGAATTGGGAAGAGTCCTTGCTGGTCACCATTTTGTAATGACCTAACAGGAGCTCTTTCAAATTGTCTTGGTTTTGTTTGTGTCTGTATGTACTTGTATATACACTTGCTTTTTGTCTCTGTGAATGTAATTGGCATGAATTCTAGGATTCATTATTCATTTATGTGGCTACTAGTGATTTATAGATCTAATCGAGTTCTAAAAGTGGTGGTGAAAATCCCCAAAAACCCTGCATTACAGCTCAATTTTTTGAGGATGCTCTTATTTGTGAATCTTGAGCTGCTGCAGTAAGAATGATTCACTAAAAGAGAAGTGTACCCAGCGAGGTAAGGCTTGGCATCTCCGACGAGTCTTCAGTTGGGTTGTTTAATAGTCAACCTACCTGCTGACCCGTGGTGGAGGCCAGGTCTAATAGTCTACGTATAGAACAATTCTGCCTAGTTCATCATTGTAGGTAAATAAGGTATTGATGGAGTAATACAGGTATGTATTGTGTATTTAAAAGTATAGTAAATGGATCAACTGTAAATACTGTATAAAGACATTTAGAAGATGGTTCTGCTTCCTAACTGAAGTACACATAAAGGGAAACATTAGAGTTCCGGAGTATGTGGGTAAAAAGGCTCTCGTATAGATTGTCCCTCAGCTCTGTTGTCTTTCATTTATCCCATGTCCATAACTTGTATGTTGAAATTGGTGTTCAATCAGAACAACATCACTGTGATCAGCATTGCCTTCAGTACTTCATGCAATCTCTACTACACCTTATTCCCACTTATTCTGTACTTTGACTCTACCCTTCTGGTAGGCTCTCTCTTTACTGCAAAAATGAACTGTTTACAGAATTCTTTCTTGGTATATGCCAAAATGGTTTCCCCTTGTATTGTTCTCATCTTTCATCTGTGAAGGGATACTGCATGTGAAATTTTGCTGACCTGCACAGTGAAGGCTTATTCTCCTCTTTTTGTTAGGAAACTCTCTTTCCTCAATTTTTTTGTTTTTGTTTTACCATTAAAGTTCATGCCCTACTGCTCTGTTCACGAATTGGTCGTAAACTGCCGATGGTGATGGTTATTCTATTGTTTTTCCCCGTCAAACTTTTCTATACCTCTGCTCCTGGAGAGGAACATTTTCACAGCAGAGCTTAATGCAATTTTGCATGCACTATGCCAGCTGCCTTTTGTGTGCCAGTGTTCTGTTGCACACAGACATCACATCACATTATCATGATGTATCATGGCTCCTACTGATTTTCTTAATGATCTGTTGTTATTGTGGTTGACTGTGCACTCGTGGCTTAAACTCGTACAATAAGAAATCCAATACTGGCTGTTTTTCATTAACGGATTTAAGTTAAATTCTACTGGGTACCCAGTCATGTTAGTATTGCCTAAAATTAATATGTGGACACTGCTGCTAGGAAAGTTGTGTGTGCTTGTCCCATTTCTTATGAAAGATTTCCTTGTTCAGAATTTTACCCAATACTTCACATTACCAGTAACAAACTACAGTACGTGCTCTTAAATGTGATGTATCCTCGTGTTCGTCTTTAATAGCCAGTGAGGTAACTGCTCTGATTAGGCTGTGTATCGGCCACATCGCTTAATTCATTGGCACCTAATGGAACGGTACCCTACTTATTGTCCAAACTGAATTGTCTAAGTCAAGTGTGGTACAAGACTGGTACAGTGTTGTACCACTTCACTGATTCGTATGATTGTAAGTTTTGCTTTCCCAATGTCCCCTGATGAATACAATGACAATGTTGCCCGCCATTGAATTCTTGTTGTTCTCGTATTGGCAGCTTGAGTGATATTTAGGACCTTTTGAATATCCTACAACATGGTGCTAAATAGTCTTGTTGGGCTGATGCTTTTTGATAATTCTTTTAATAGTTAAATTTTTTTGTTTACATTTTGTGACATTGTATTTCAAGTATGTGTTATTCTAGGTGTTATATAATTCATTAATTTTCTCAGGTTGAGTTCCCAGAAGCCAGAATCTACGAAGAAACCTTAAATGTTTTGTTGTACGAAAACCGTACAGGGCCAGATGCTGAACTGATGCAAGCCACTTCCACGCGGGGCGCCGTTGCACCGGTTGTCTGTACTTCAGACGATGAGGAGGAAAGGAGAGGGGGTGCTTGTTCCCAATCTGGTTTGGGCAGACTACGTTCTAACAAAAATAATTAGTCGGCTCGTGAGGAGCGGTAAAAAGAGAGAGTGGAGCAGAGACAGTACTTACATTTACAGCCATTTGGTAGCTACTAACACCCTGTAGTACCTGACGTACCATCGAGGCTACAAAATTCAATTGTAGTCTCTTGAGAAGCTTTGCTCAAACTATCAAAGTCATATGATGCTGCCAATAATAGTGGAGCTTTTTTATACAGTTTTTTCTATTTGGCTGTGGAGAGATTGACAATAAACTCCATCAACTCCTATGTACAAGCTCGTATAGTTATTTACTGATAAGGATACCCTACCTAGTTAAATGTACTGTAAAGGATCACTTCATGAAGTAGATCCTAGCAAGAAAATATGGAAGAATATAAATAAAATTAAAGCACCATGTCAGTTTGTATAAGATTTGTAGGTAAAAGTTGACTGGTGTTTCCTGCAGGTCTTGCTTAATTAAGAGGACATTTTTCTCTGCAATCCACACTCTTTATAACATAAATAAAATATTGGCATTTCCATTTTCAAGTTCAGTAAATATACATTTTTTTTTTTCTTTTTCAAAACATACAAATGTTTTAAAAGCTTGAGGCTTTTTTTTTTTTAAATTGGGTTGATAAACCAGACACTGTTTCAGTATGTTCAGTTTGGCTTATTTATAAACCAGATTAAGCAAGTTTCTCTATTTGGTTTATAGATCATGTCACACTGCTGTAACTTAAGGAGTGTCTTGGTTTGAAATTTTAGCCCAAATGTTTTCCAAGAAGCGCTTCTGTGATGAATATAGTTTAGACTGCAATTTGGGGGATACTGCAACAGAACCAAGTGTGTTCTTGTGTTGCACCCATGGGATATTATGAATTATTGCAAGAATATTTTCATGTAACTTCTCATGATGATGTGTAGGTGCTCTTGCTCGACACGACAGCTGGATGTACTGTACATAGGCAAATGGAGACTTTAGGAAGAGACAATTACTTCCAGACTTGCTCACAAATTTTACATTAATCCAATTTATACAGGGCACTGCTATTCGATAAAGTTCTCTTTATCTATAGCAGTTATATGCCTTTGCTAGGAGACTAATTTTTGTATAATCATTAAATAAACCTTGAAATGCAAGTGTTTTCAAGAGGACCAGATGTTCAATTTGTTTCCAAAGTAATTAGTTTATCAAAACAATATGTTCAGATGCCAAAGTTTGTATTGGTCTCAAATAATGTTAGTACCCATTGTTTTCATAGTTATTCTACATTACAATGGTAGCTCTCTTCGAGCTGAAACTTGTATCCATGTGTTATAGTTGGTATGTAAGGGCCAGTCTTGAAATATTTCTTTTTTTATGACATGAATAACAAATTTATGTAATTAAACACTTTCAATATGCTTATAATTTTATTCCCCTATTTGTGATTCCATTATTTTTGGCAAGTACAGTAGCAATAATTCTAATATAATTTAGTTTAAATATTTTTATTTAACTTTTCTATCAGAAAATTTGCCTGGAAATTTAGGCATAAGATCTGCTCAGAAAGGACCCTGTCTATTGGGTGTGAACCTTTATTTCACTATCACTACTACAGTACTGAAAGCAGCTAGGCACCTCGACATGCACTGCCAAACCAATGTTGTGGGGTAGGGCAGGAGTAAATGGGATCCAGTTGACAGCTGGGAAGGAAGAGCCTCTGAAAAAGGACTACCTTTTGTTACCCCTTACCCAAAGAAAACTAATCATTCACTGCCAGCCAAGATGAAGCCTGAAACTTTTACTGCAGCCAGGACCCATACTCAAAGAGGACGGCTCCAATTTAGGTGCTCCCAGCCACTTGGGGTGGACGGTAAAGCGATTGTCTTGCTTCATGCAGGTTGGCGTTCAATCCCCGACCATCCAAGTGGTTGGGCACCATTCCTTCCCCCACATCCTATCCCAAATTCTTATCCTGACCCCTTCCCAGTGCTATAGTCGCAATAGCTTGGCATTTTCCCCTGATAGTTTAGTTCCAATTTAGGTGCACAGTCCTTGATATACAGCAGGAACCAAAACATGCTTCCAGCCACACTTTGAGAGGCAAAACTAGCAACATGCATAGGGAGTGGCATATACAACCCATAAACTGAGATTTAGAAATGTACCAATGAAGAAGCAGAGGTGGTGTAAAGTTAATTGGGACGCTACATAGTTTGCCCGGCTTGGTGCCTTCTTTTGATAATTATTTACTCGCATTGGGTCGCAAGATAACACATCTGTAAAGAGCAGTAAAAACCCCTAGGACTAGTGACCAAAGAGGGTCGAAGGCTACCACAGATATTAGCCAGAGTTCCTGTGACCACCACCACCTGCTATGGAGCAAAAAGAGGACTAGGGAGCCTACATCCACATCACGGTAAGCCAAATACATAGGCCCATCATAAAGAGACGAAGGTAATCAATTAAAGACTAGCAGACCCCCCCTAACCTAGACTGTCGGGGGGGGGGAAGGGGGCTGCATAGATGTTACCTCCACTAGCTCTTCAGCAGTTAGTGCCTGCAGGTTTACAGCATAAAACTTGTCTCTGTCATCAGCTCAAACTCCCAACATGCTGAGCGAGATGAAAAAAGAAATGTACAGTGGTACCTCGGTTTACGAATGTCCCTTTTTATGAACTTTTCAGGTTACGAGCCTGATTTCTTCAGAAAATTTGAATCGGGTTATGAACTCTATCTCGGGATACGAGTTTGTTGATCCGCGTATTGCTGACCAAGTGCGTGGTAGCACAGCGATTGCGCCTTGGTTTCCCAATGCCTCCCGTCTAGTGACTATCCCACCTGAATTCTTTGCAAGGATTTACAGTTTTTTCTTAGATTTTTGGCTATTTGAACATGAAAGCCAGTGGTAAAGTACAAGGCAAGACAATACGTGAGAATGACCATAGAGGAAAAACACGAGATCATTCGTAAACGTGAAAACGATACACGTGCTGTTGAACTAGTTAGGCAGTATAACAAATCTTCAGGAGGAGGAGTTAGTAGAGGATATCCCTTCCTCATTAATTAAGAAAATGTGTGCAGTATGGGAAGAACTGCAAAGTTTTGCTGAAAAGAATCACCCAGATAAAGCTTTAGCAGGCCGTTGCATTGATCTTATTAATGACAATATGATGTCTCACTACAGACAAGTGTTACAAAGAAGGAAAAAACAATCAAGAAAAACATTGAGAATATCATGCAGTGAGCCAGTAGCAGTATGCAGGCAAAACGTGCCAGTGTGTGTACCCCAGAGAAGTCCTCACTGCCTGATGTTATAATGGAAGGGGACTCTCCTCCTCTCAGTCTTCCATACGCCAACAGGAGTCATCAGTAAAAGTAATAACTTGCACATACTTTTGTAGTGAAGATTTGGGTGAATTAGGTATAAAATTTACTTTGAGGTTAATTTTTGAGGGAGTCAGGAACGAATTAATTAATTTCCCATTAGTATTTCTTATGGGAAAATTTGCTTTGGTTTATGAAGCGTCTCCAGGAATGAATTAAATTCATAAACTGAGGTACCCCTGTACAAGGTACCTCCTGGATTCCTTTGCCAAGTGTCCAAGACAAAACAGCGCTCAAGGTTTTGTAGTCCCAAGGGTATGAGTTCGATCCCCCGGCAGAGGAGGAAACAACAAATGAACAGTTTCTTTCACCCTGATGCCCTTGTTCACCTAGCAGTAAATAGGTACCTGGGAGTTAGACAGCTGCTATGGGCTGCTTCCTGGGGATTGCATGTGAAAATTAGGATTAAAGACTTACCCAAAACACTATGCATGCTAGTGGTAAGAAAGTAAGAATTCTTTTATCTGTATACTGTATATAAATAATTAAATAAAAGTGACCATGAATGCGACGTATACAGCCAATACATAACCTCACCCGAGCCATTTCTCATGACTGGTTACAATGGTAGGAGGAAGGCCAAAGGAAAATGCTACCTTTAAAAAAACAGTATTACCAGTAACACAAGACCAAACATCCAATGTTTCAAAGATCTAATAAAAAAGGTGATTAATTTCTCCTAACACAGGCAATATTTACACTTAAATTAAAAATATTCAATCTTTATTAAATATATAATTTTCATTCAAATTAATTTTTTAAAGAAACACAGTACATAAATCTAGTAAAATGATAAAGTGGATAATATAATTTGTTGATAATTTTTTGCTATAAGGACAATCCTGCCTACCATTTTGAGTTTCTAAGTTGTTAGCATTGTCAGAACTTCGTGCTTCCTTCAAAACAACATTGTTTGAAAAAGAAGTTAATCTGATCAAATCTAGATCACATTGCTGAATGACAAAACTCCACTTAACATTCTATTCCTTTCCTCCATGTCGAATATGCTTTCTTTCATAGAATCTATTACGGTAAAGTTAGAACAATAACATTTAATAGATTAGTTTTATCATAATTAACTATAGCAGGTAATATAATACAAATATAACAAATGTTTCTGTAGATATTGTATTTCAACATATTTACATTTAAAATAGGCATCAGTAAAGTTAATAATTACCAAAAGTAGGTACCAAGTTAATTATATTCATCAGTTAAGTAATTACAATACCGAGTAAAAATTATACATGTATCTGTACTATAATTTCATAAATGAAATCAATGTCTAGTACACCTAAACAGAATTTTTTTTAAATACAGCAATATTCCTTAAACATTTAATATGGTATTTATTCACTTGCCCAGGAATGCAGCCATGGGATCATCTTCCCTCGGCCTCCTCATCTGATAGGCCTCAATCTCCTCTTCAGTTGGGGCTTTGGCATTATACATTGAATTGTAACTTCGCTCACGTTCATTTAACTTTATCATTTCTTGAACAGCATCTTCTTCTAACTTGGCACGAATTAATGCTTCTCGCAATTTCTTTTTACGCTTCACTGCCTTATCTTCATCGTCCGATTCATTGCTGGACTCGCTGCTGCTGCTGCTGCTGCTGCTGCTGCTGCTACTACTGCTACTTTCCTTCTTCTTTTGCTTCTTTTGCTTCTTCCTCTTCTTTTTCTTCTCTCTATGAATTTCAAGTAAAGTTTTTGAATTTAGTTCCTCTTCAGTAGAACAAGTTTTGTGAGATCTGGTGTTAACAGAAGAGGTAGATGCACTGGGTAATGATAACTCGGGTTTGGCCTGTTTTCCAGCTTCGCCAGTGCAATATGAATTTTTTACAAAAGAATGGCAGCAGTTATATCCCCACACGCCATCTCGCCAGTAACTTCCCCAAACACTCGTGTGATTTCCAGGATATACATCTTCTTCATATTTTGATCGGACAGTCTGCTTTTCAGCACCTTTAATAATTTTGCCATGTCTGGAGTACTCCACATAATTTTCTGTTTGGGACAACAAAAGTTCTGCTGGTGGAGCATCTAAATGTTCTTTTCCACCATATTTTTCTAAAAGATCATCGGATACTTTTTTCTTGAACTCTTCCTTCTTGTTAACAAACTGCTTTTTAAGCAATTCAAGCTTTGTAGGTTCAGCCTGTAGGCTGACATCTACACCTTTTTCATAAGCATCCCAGGCAAAGAGTTGAGCTTTAGCTTGGTTAACAGTATCACCTGAAAACCTTACAAAATTCTCACCAGCGAAGTCAACCTCATCTTCCTTTCTTCCAGTACCTTTGTAAGGGTTGTCTCTCATGGAGCGAGTCTTTGGATCATAATAAGCTGAATTAGGGTCTAAATTTCTCAAATACTTGGCTGTGTCTTCACGTATGCGCAAGTTACGCACTGTAATCCTCTGCTTACTGTCCACTTTTGTACCTGGCATGTCGACACTTTCAGCATATTTGTCCTCATCATCTTCATCATCATCTGGTTCACCATCACTCATCTCTTCTCCTTCCTTTAATTTTTTAGCCTTTATCTGTCTCTTATAATCTTCAACTTTTTTATGTTCTTCAACAACAGCTGTATATTCTGATGGGTCAAATCCATTCCATCTATCTCTCTTTCCATCAAAGTCAAGATTAAGATCTGGCAATAAAACGTCATCTGGTGCAATATCATGGGCATCATATTTAGCACCAACTTTTCGAGGCCTTTCCACACAGTCCTTCTTTTTGTGCCCCAAAGCTCCACAATTTTCACATGCACCTTTCCGAAAACGTGTTGCTGTAGTCCCTTTTTGTCCCCTGACATAATATTCCTTGAGATGATTAAACTCGTGCTCTTTTTCTGGTTGTGGACGTTGATGTTTAAGTGTTGGACCACCCGAACCAAAGTACCAGGGTGCTGTAGCTATATACTGGGGAATGTGAGGATTGATGTCTTTTCCCTCTTCATCAACAGCAGCTGGGACAGTTCCAGCTTTCCGAGCTTCTTCAAGCTCCTTAGCTTTCTTCCATTCCTCTCGTGTCTTCTTCTTCGGTTCATCACCCTCGGCTTCTTCATGTCTGGTTCGCAATATGGAGGACAGCGGCAGACTTGGAGTACTCATTTTTTTTAAATCCTGAAATTAGATATTGTATATTAATGTAAAATACAAGCATATATAAAATTTACAATCTTCTATTTGCAGCATGGACTAAAAACAGTAATGGCTACTCCTTTCAAGAAAAATCTTTATTGCCTGCTATGTGGAATAAAAAAAAATCAAGTACAGGTATGGTGCATAAGTATTGTGTACCATCTAGTATAAATATTGAACAAAGTTTGATTTTTTTTAACTTATTTTGCACATTTGTCTAAACGTTTCTAGGTTTTCCCCCAAAAAATTTAAATTTTAATGTTACTGATGATTAATTAATTTTGTGAGGCTCATAGGGTAAGATTACTGGTCTGACCCTAAGGTTGCACAAAAATTCATTTTTGGGGGGATATTTGGAAAATGGCCAACAAGTAGGGATGTTAATATGGTATTTATCCACAAATAAAACATTAGGAAAATATTTGTAACTAATAATTTAGTCATCCAGATAATATAGTACAGTAATGTTATTTTGATCAAAATAAAGATATTGAAAATTAAGAATTTTATTCCTTCTAGTAATGGGTTAAGACCCCTGTAGAGAGAAAGGGATGATAATACCAGCAGAAATATAGTGTCCAGAGACTAACACGGACAAGAGCTACGAGGAGAGGCATTAAATATGCTAAAACTATAAGACAGAAGAAAAAAAAAGAGGCGACTTGATCACTACATACAAAAATTGTAACGGGAATCTATAAAATTCTCGAGACTCGGAACTTTGAAAGACAAGAGGTCATGGATTTAAACTATAAAAACTGCTTTAGAAATACAAGAAAGCTCACTTTCGCAAACAGAGCGGTATACGATCGGAACAATTTAGGAAAGATGATGGTGGAGGCCAAAACCGTTAGTAATTTCAAAGTATTATACGACAGTTCCAAGAAGACGGGACACCATGAGTGTAGCTCTCATCTTGTAACTACAATTTGGTAATTACAAATTTGATCCAGTTTAGTGCCTTTACCATCAATAAATTACCCACTTAACTGCCAACACAATGCCCACCTGCATTTTGCCTACAATCACTGGTGCTAGATTATAGCAAAGCTGAAACCAAGAGGTTTCAACCCTAAGGTTAAGGTTCACCAAGAGGTTAAGAAACCAAGAGGTTTCAACACAAGTTTGTTAAATTTCAGTTGTCACTCATGATCTTAATAATCATATTACACTGTACTATATATTTATACTAGTGAAACAAAACATGGCTGACAACTACCTAAAGAACTGCTTGACAGAAGGTCAAACTTTTACAAATAAATATTAAGAACTTTCATTATTATGCGACCTATGACATAATGCTCATCTTGAGCCCACTAACAAACCTAACAAATAAAATTCAGTTCACTGAGGATGTCAAGCTCTCAAGTGTCCGGAGATTGGAGACTATACTCCGAAACATCGTCGAACCCTAAACAAATTACAGGTAAACATTTGACAAACACCTCTGTTACGTCTGATGTTGCAAACATCGGCCTCGTGTGCAACACAAATTTAAAAATGATAAGTCTAAGTGATTAAAAAAAAGGATAAGCAAATCCTGGGGAAATGTTATCAATAATTGGCCAAGAACCGGACACCATAAATAATCAAAAGTAGCCAAATGGGACACCACAAGATGACTTATATTGTTGATTTAGGTGTGATAATGACCCCTGGGACCAGAGGTAACCCAAGTGAACTTAACCTTTGGTCTGACACATTTTTGGCCAAGTTTCCCTTCACCTGATGCCTCTGTTCACCTAGCAGCTGTTGTGTGGGTTGCATACTGGGGAAAAGGCAGAAGCTCGACCTTTAGGGAGGGAGGAAGAGATACAAACCTAACATTCATACACATACTGCCAGTTACCCAATAAAAAAAATAATTAAATTGTTAAAATTAGCATGAAAACTGTGTACGAAGTTACATGCTTCCTTCAAGGGGCGACTTAACTATGGACACAAACCAATCACTATCGCTGTTCACGCCTCTGTATTACAGTAATTAATACGCAAGTGTATCCACAACACAACTACTTACTTTTAAGTGACCTGTTAAGTGATAGAAATATCAATGTTATTGTCCATAGTAGTATGTTAAGAGGGAGTAGCAAGAGTGCAGGAGGTGCGCGCGACGTCCCTACACACAGCTGCCACACACCACTACTTAACGCCATCTATGGACTAGTTTCTTTACTTACCAATACTATTTTAAGGGACCCTATTCTATATAGTTTCCACAGGAGACATCTCCCATCACGCAGGGTGCAGTCGCACTTTCACAGATTTCCAGTATCAGCTCTTGATACCAGTAATGACTCAAAAGGGCCACCACTTACGGGCTATTCATGCCCGTGCCACCTTTTGGGTGGCTTAATCTTCACTCAATCAATCAATCAGCGTAAATTGAGTTTACGGGCTCACCATAGCCCGTGCTACTTGAAACGTTTTGTTCTGAGTTGCTGAATCTAAAAGAACAATTTACGCTTCAAACTGTGGGTTATATACCCCCATAGAGGAGAGGTACACCTTAAATGTCCTTGATTCCTTATCCCCACTCCTGAGTAACCGTTTGACTAAATGTAGGTTCCATGACCTCTGGGATCCATTTACCAAATCAAATAAATAACCCTCGATAAATCAGGGCCTCAATTGACTCGTACTTAACCAACCAAAATGTTCATAAAATGACTCACAGCAGAGCGTAATAATAATGACCAAACCACACTCCAGAAGATGAAGATGACAGAGATAAAAGATGACAAAGGAGAACACTTATTTTTACAAAGGCCCCCATGTAGTTTAGAACTATCCAACCCAAACCTATCACTCAAGAAATCACTGCCTGACTCCCTAGCTATAAGGCTTAAAGGAGTAATATCTAACGAAGATAAACTACAAGAGGAAGACGAATATTTATGGAATCATTTTAGAAATAGAGGTTACCCGGGGAATATACTACAAGACGCCAAAATAAAAATAGATGGAAAACAGACAAGAATTATTACAACCAGCGAGATTTTTTTTAATTTGGCCCCGAGGGGCAAGTTTATTGGGCGGCGCCACTCATCCTGTGAGTGGACACCGCCATATAGCACATGTACATGCAGGCAATGAGTCACAATAACGTGGCTAAATTATGTTGACCAGACCACACACTAGAAGGTGAAGGGACGACGACGTTTCGCTCCGTCCTGGACCATTCTCAAGTTGATTGAGAGACTTGAGAATGGTCCAGGACGGACCGAAACGTCGTCGTCCTTTCACCTTCTAGTGTGTGGTCTGGTCAACAGCATCTACAACACGTACGTACTCCCCAATAGGAAGAAAACCCGCTGGGTTGTTCATCCTGTCATTTGTACGCAGACACAGCTGGGACTTGCTTATCCCGAGACGCTAACGAGAGATTAATCCTCCCACGCCTCTACTTTCCGGGAATAGCGGAACCTTTTCGTCAAGAACTGATTATCATATGGGATTGGCTTAGGCCTCCTGGGAAGAACATAAGACTTGGCAAAACTTCTCACCTTTACCTTATATATGAACGCAAGAATATGAAGGTAGAGAGTTGACGGGAGACATCTCCCGTCACGCAGGGTGCAGTCGCACCTCCACAGATCTCCAGTATCAGCTCTTGATACTGGTAATGGCTCAAAAGGGCCACCACTTACGGGCTATTCACGCCCGTGCCACCTTTTGGGTGGCTTAATCTTCATCAATCAATCAATCTGAAGGTAGCGCAGACACCATCTGGTCACCATTTGGTCCGGGAGACATCTCCCGTCATGCAGGGTGCAGTCGCACCTCCACAGATCTCCAGTATCATCTATTGATACTGGTGATGGCTCAAAAGGGCCACCACTTACAGGCTATTCATGCCCGTGCCACCTTTTGGGTGGCTTCATCTTCATCTTAACACATTCACAAGGGAGACATCTCCCGTCATGCAGGGTGCAGTCGCACCTCCACAGATCTTCAGTATCAGCTCTTGATACTGGTGATGGCTCAAAAGGGCCACCACTTACGGGCTATTCATGCCCGTGCCACCTCTTGGGTGGCTTAATCTTCATCAATCAATGAAGGTAGCAGAAAGTCTATTGGCCCAAACGAGGCAGCTCATATTTATAACCAATCACTCTCATTCATATATGAGTTATGACTGTTACAGAGTTAAAACCACGCTCCTGTGTCAGCCACAACGGGCTCACCATAGCCCGTGCTACTTGAAACTTTTTGTTCCGAGTAGTTGAATCTAAAAGAACATCATTAACAGCATATATATCTGACCTACGCTTGAAACAATCAAGGGATCCTACTTTTATTACGTTACGAGGTAATTGGTTCCACAAATCAACAACTCTATTGCTGATTAAAAAGATAGTGGCTCATGGTATTGAGGTACGGGAGACATCTCCCATCATTACCAGTATTAAGAGCTGCTACTGGAGATCCTGTTGGAGGATTGATTGATTGATGAAGATTAAGCCACCCAAAAGGTGGCACGGGCATGAATAGCCCCGTAAGTGGTGGCCCTTTTGAGCCATTACCAGTATCAAGAGCTGATACTGGAGATCTGTTGAGGAAGTTAGTGGTTAGTTAGTGATTGAAATTGAAATTTAAATAAGTTTATTGATGTAAAATACACACAAAGGGATGAGGTAGCTCAAGCTATTCTCACCCCGTTCAGTACATCATGTTTATACATACATAGATACACATCACAAACAATAAAAATATTACCAAACATTCTAAGAGATAAACATATATACATTTCCTCAGTCAGTGATTGAAATTGAAATTGAAATAAGTTTATTGATGTAAAATACACACAAAGGGATGAGGTAGCTCAAGCTATTCTCACCCCGTTCAGTACATCGTGTTAATACATACATATACACACATCACAAACAATAAACATATTACCAAACATTCTGAGAGATAAACATATATACATTTCCTCAGTTAGTGATGGTTTTCTATAGTTGAGGGAGTTTGAGGGTGCAGCCGCGAGAGAGCAGCATCACTACCCCGCCAGACATCACATAGTTCTCACCTACAGTGTCGCTTCCTTCTTAATACAACACATACAACCCCTCTTAGCTGCTGTATGTGTGTATAGTGTCCTACACACACACGACACGGGGGAGGGTTGTATACAACGCTGTATAATACATCATACATCCAGAGCACCATGATGCAGGGGGGAGGGTGGCGGCTGCTGGTGGCCTGGCCCCATCGCCACACGTGTGTCAGGAGTAAGTAAACCCAGACACTGTTTACTGTATGTAAACAGTTTACTGTAAGTAAGCAGTTTAGTGTAGGTAAACTGTGCACTATATTTAGGCTGTTTATTGTATTTAAACTTTATTGTATTTAAGCTGTTTACGGTATTTAAACTATTGTATTTAAGCTGTTTACGGTATTTAAACTATTGTATTTAAACTTTAATGTATTTAAACTACTGTATTTAAACTATTGTATTTAAACTGTTTATTGTATTTCAACTATTGTATTTAAACTGTTTATTGTATTTCAACTTTGTTGTATTTAAACTGTTTACTGTAGGTAAACTGCCCGAAACGTTATGTATTAGTGGCTTTACAAGAATGTAAAATCATTAGTGCTATGTACTCTCATGAACCTAATGTACCTTCTTGTATAATATATCAATAAATAAGTTGTTTGCTGTATTTTATTGTAGTATTGAGAGGGAGAAATTGCATAAAAGGGAATACTTACTCCTTAATGAATTAAAAAAAAAGTTGTCAAAGCTTTGCCATATTGAAAAGTCAAACTCCAAAAAAGTATCTAATAATTTCAGCTTCATAGTTTCTTATCCTGTGCTTCAATCTTTCACCAGTGTAATTACCTCATGTTAATTTGTATTGTAGTTTCATGTTAAGGTATAAATGTTTGCTATCTTTTTCATCTTGACTGATTTGTTAAGATTAAGGAGCTGCTCGAGATGCTATGTATGTTGGTTTTGTAAGAATGTACAAAAGTACCAATATTATGTGAACTCTCTAACCCAGTGTACAATAAATACAATCTTGTATTCATCTTGTAAATAAATAAATAAAAGTGCTATAATGTATTTAAAGTTAGTGAGGTGAAAGGGGGGTTGGGGGGTTTGGGAGGGTTTTCCACAATTGATATTTTGCCAGTAATATTCACTGAACTCGCCTTTATAAAGAGTGGTCTTTAATTGAATTCATTTTGGCAGGGGACAGTCGGCCTGTGTGTGTGTATATATATGATAGGCTGATATTTAAGTCCCCTTTCCCCAGGTTGAACTACTGACCCTCCTCAGGATGCAACCCCACAGTAAAGGAACTTGCCCAACCATTTCTGCCCCTTTAATAACACCATGGGTATCTCAAATAATCCACGAACCCCATCTTTTAAAGGTGGTCTTTAAATGTCGCTAAATACCTGGGTAAATACTGGTTCGGTAACAGGGTTGTTGATCTGTGGAACCAATTACCACGTAACAGAAGTAGGATCCGTTGATGGTTTAAAGAGTTGGGTAGACATGTATATGAATGAGTTTGAGTCTCTTCCTTGTGATCTCCAAGTACAAATTCTGGCCAAAGTCTTGAGCACAATCACTTACTATATTTCTTTAATCCCTAGTGAAGTTGTGAAAACTAATCACTGCTTTGTAAGACTTTCCCATGAGAACTGGTAGCAAGGTTACAGAACTGTGTATCCATGTGAAGTTTGAGCTTGCACTTGAGCAGTTCTCGTCTATTCATTTATTTTGGTGGCATTTACTTTTAAACTGTTTATCGGCACATTTACAGGACCTGATATCACGATCATGTCGGCCATTACAAGCTCTTGTGAGGTCTCCTAACATTCCTGTGCACATTCATGCTGGTGATATTTATAGACTTCACAATTAATAAGCTACAACCACTTGCTGGATTCTCTTAACCGATGACCTAGACATCCATGCACTGTTAAACTAGACTTTGGTCACAGGCCTAGATTTACATGGTTCAGCCATTATAACTGTCACGAGCGTTGTGCTCCTGCACCTCTGACAGGTCTGAAAACTTCCTGTGCCAGCTCATTTACATCTGATTTACATAGAGAGGGTTTCAGGAGATCTTTTATGCCCCTAGCCTGGCCTGGGACTAGGTGATTTGAAGGTCGATTTGCAATAGCATATCTGAACCCATTGAGGAGACTTGTGTATACATATTACCAAGTAACAAATGCTCCCAATTCTGCCGGCTCATAGTGAAATAATACCCAGTCTGTCCTCTGCAGATTTTATCCTCCCAGTTATGTTAGTGAACTAGTTTTGATGTCTATTTACTGTTCAACCATCCACGGCTAATCTGTGGTTGATAAATAGATTTATATAATACTTTACATGTTGAGATCTGCTGTGGTAATGTTTTTAATTTTTCATTCTTTGAATCTTGCAGGTTTTTATCAGAAGCAGCCCCTCACCAATGCGGCAGTTCAGAAGAAACGATCGGAGCTCTTTACTAAGGAAGCAAAACGACAAGCTGCGCTTATTACAGATGTTGAGAAAATTGAAGTAAAATATTATGGACAGCCAGAAAATTGTTCTCTGATAATGAACAAAAATATGTCTACTCCGTATCATTGTGCTCAACGTAAGTGTAGATATACACATGCTGTACAGTACTTTCGTGTATACTATGCAAATAAGCAAGATCTTGACGAAGGGTCAATCGGTTCGTGCCTTGGAAAGCAACTGGGTGCACAACTCGGTAAAGGGTTTTCACTTACTGTAGACTAATAGTCTGATTTTTAGACATAAACTGTTTGGTGCCTTCTTTTGATAATTACTTACTTACAGACATAAACCAGGTGATAATGGAGAGAGCTGTCCTTGCTGAAGTTGACGGTCAGGTATGGGATATGCATCGACCTCTAGAAGACGATTGTTCTCTTAGCTTCTTACACTTTAGACAGGTAAGAACCGTCTTGCCAAAAGCTGTATCTGATTCCACTGACATAAATTATCCAGTTCTGCTGACAAGTGGCAGAATGAAATTTAATGGTATTTAATCCTTTAATTCATACCCCTATGTTATTTTGCTTTAGTAATCACATCTTGTTTCCTCCACAGAATGATCCATATTATGCCAATAAGGCATTCTGGCGGTCAGCATCTGTAATGCTAGGGGCAATGCTAGAATCGGCATTTAAGGACAACATTTATGTAGAACTCTGTTCCTTTCCTTCGCCCAATGGTATGTGTTGATACTGTAGTACCTTTATAGTCTAGGTACATTACCTAGTTTCCTTTGATGCATAATATATATATATATGTATATTATATATTTTATTTATACAGTACACTATAGGGTAAAGTTACCAGTATTCAGATGGTCTCTATATTTTGGACATCAGCAGTTTAAAAATCTTCCATTTCCTGCATCATTCTGTAAAACATGTAAATAAATCACCAGAGTATCTGGATATATACCACAATAACTTGATTGAAAATAGTAGACATATACGAATGAACAAATGGGGAAAATTTTTATGACTAGTATCTTTGATAACCAGGTGCATGTTTATTATGAGAATTGCAAGTAAAAATATTCCGATCATCAAAATAAAGCTACAGTATTTTGACATTCATAAATGTTCAGTCGGAGAACCTGGTTGAACATTACATTACCAATAAACATTTTTGTAGGTTAAAGGATGGATGATGCATATCACAGCCTAACCCCCTTTTCTTGGTTTGGCCACTATCACTTCGCTGTCATAGGGTTAAGCCGTTGGAATGGAGCATAGTGGTAAAGTGTGCTTCCTTCCGTTTCCCTAGTTAGAAGTAGCTCTTAAGAAGTGGAAAAAGTAGTTATTTGTACATTAATATATATTTTTTAATCTCCTATTTGATACTGACGGGTGTTTGCAGTGCGAAGTGGAAGTTTTGTGTATGATGTCGACTTGAAGATTCCCACGTGGAAACCCACAAAGGTGAGACGATAACATATAGCTCCTCAACTCCTGTCTTACTCTTACTTTATATATTTGCCTGTACATTCCTCTCATCTGTTATTTGGCTTGATGTACAGAATGGACTGAAACGTCGTCATTTCTCTATTTTGTAATGTGTGATTTGGTCATCATATAACTCCTGTTTTGAGTAATGAAATTTACATTTATGAGTATTGAGAATAGAAAATGCCATTTTAAAATCTGTAATGCTAATGTGCTTTATGCTCTTTATGCATTCCTTCAACATCCCTTACAAGTGGGTATGACTGTATAGAATCAGTGCCCGATACTTAAAAAATATATCAGGTGCAGTATCACTTTCACAGTAATATATTAAATGTTGAATTCCAGAGACTGGTTTGATTTTTTTAAATGGAGGGACAAGAACATAGTTTATGAAAAAATCGGAAAATAAAATGTAGAGTTTCGGTAAGTACAGTGCAGTAGTTATGAGTATTAAAATTATGCCAATATGACCTTTCCACAAATTTCTTCATGCTGCAAACAATGATAAATCCTTGTGCATAAAAGTTATATAATTGTATTAATAAAATTAACATAGCTGCTTCAAAGAACATGCATCCATTGGCTCAGACTACTAGACTTACTATTTGGATTGATAAAATAATTGTAAAAAGTAAGTGTTGGTTAGTCAGAAATCTTGGCTTTAGCGCACTAGAAGATCAGGTTTAATGATGCATCGTTATTTACATTTCACTCTATCATCTCTCGTCTTTACGACGAGAAAAATGGATGTTCGTGCAGTCTCTCTAGAGCAGATGGAATGCTAGTCATATAAAGTGAAAAAAAAGGTAAAAAATGGTTAAGACTGCTATTTGTCTTCACTGTCAGGTAACTGTGGGATAAGGCAGAGAAAAAAAAAGACATTTAAAAATACTTTACTGTAAAAATGACGTCAAAATAAATTACAAAACAAAAAAGGATATCCAAGCTTGGCTTGATACAAATAGTGCAAATCAAACAAGACAAACAAACAATTAAATTTACGTTATGTTAATGTGCAAATACAGTACTAAGATGGTGTGGGAATACTGTGAGCTAGTCTGCATAAATCTGTTACCACACCAGGGTATGTCAACAGATCTAGTCAATGGAGCACTCGGGAGTAATCTGCTGGCTGGAGCTGGCAAGCCTCTATATATATGGAACGACGGCCGTCCAGGTGGCGCTGAAGTCATAGATAACTAGGAACCGGCTCACATTAACTACCACTGGGCTTGTTTCAGTGGTGGCGTGATCCTGAGGCATCACCAGGTGCGAGGGTCTGACAGGCCCTGGGGGAGGTAGACTGGTGGTACTGTCTAGACATCTGAGAAGTACAGTAGTAGTTGTCTTTGTTGCTGCTGTACATTCTTGATTTCTTAAATATGTAGACGTGTTGTAGTCGAATAGATGATGACGGAGCAGGCATAATCTCGTTTCTAGAGATTACTGTGACATCTTAAAGACAGCCTGGCTGGTTGACCCCAGCAAATACGTGTCCACTGTGGTAACCATATAATTGACTAAAATAGATATACACCTTTTAAAGAGGATAATGAATGCAATTTAAACATAGCCAATTTTTTTTTCTTCAGATTTTGTAGAGTATTAGTAATTGAATAACATTTTATACATTTTCAGGAAGAATTAAGAGTATTATCTGGAGAAATGGTGAAATTAGTTATGGCTAACAATACATTTGAAAGACTGGAAGTAGACGCTAGTTTGGCTCTTGAAATGTTCTCCGACAATCGTTTCAAGAAGATTCAGATTCCTCACATCGCTGCACAAAGCTCTTCTGGTATTACCTTCTAATGTATTGTAAATATAAAATGTTTAATATTATTTACATCAGGTTTTTTTTTTTACTTAATATTTTCAGTTATGTTTCTCCTGAGATCAAGCATTAGTGTGATTGACATTCTCTTTAAATTTCATCCATTCATCAATTTGTAAAGCCTTGTAAATATTTGTAGCCGATTTGTAAATACTGTACAATAAATGTTGTGTGTTAATCTAGTTGTGCTTGCGGGGGTTGAGCTCTGCTCTTTCGACAAAGATATAAATAAATAATATACTGTGTGTACAGTATATATATATAATAATGTGTGTTTTGCAGGTAACACTGTGGTTTTGTACAAAGTAGGGGACTTTGTAGAAATTAGCTGTGGGCCAATGATCAGCAATACAAGTTACCTCGGTAAAGTTTCAGTGGTTGCTGTACATCCCATAGAGACTAATGAGGGGCAGCTGTTTAGAGTTCAAGGGGTGGCACTTCCCAAAGGATTTATGGCAAGTATTAAATATTTGTGCATTTTAAAAAAAATTAGTTAAAGGGGTTCAAAGTAGGAGAAAATAGCTATAAAATATATGAAGCACATACAGTATTCTTAAAATATTTTTGCTTATATATACAATACTGTATACCAGTACAGTAGTTTGTTTTTGCTATTGAGAATGACATGCTTACAGGAGTATGACTGTTTTGTATTGTGACTGCATTTTGTGGCCAGCATTACTCTCATGGGGAGATCTTGATGATTACATTTTGTAAAATCCTAACCTGGGGCCAGATTCACGAAAGCACTTACGCAAGCACTTACGAACGTGTACATCTTTCCTCAATCTTTGACGGCTTTGGTTATATTTATTAAACAGTTTACAAGCATGAAAACGTTCCATTCAACTGTTGTTATTGTTATAAACAGCCTCCTGGTGCTTCGAGCTCATTAACTGTTAATAATGGGAACAAAGCCACCAAAGAGTGAGAAAAGATGTACAGGTTCGTAAGTGTTTGCGAAAGTGCTTTCGTGAATCTGGCCCCTGTATATTTACTTCTGGCACCCTTCTTAACCCCTTCTCTCCTCAACTGTTCTAAAGTGCTATTTTTGTATTGCTTTCACAAACAAGTGAAAGCCGTTGTTGGTGAACACCATTTTACTGTTGTTCAACAACTTGTGCTATTTTTATAGATGTGTTGAAATGTGCTGGGGGGTTTAGGTCATTCGATTATTTTCCCTGATATTGTTCACTTGTATGTGCCTCCTTCCCTCGCAGTCAATAGTTTTATTGTTGTCGACTCTTGGAGTATCTGTACTGTACTTCAATGGGTCTGGAGTCTCTCAACTCTCTTCATTCTGTAGTGACTAAAATTCAACATTGGTTTTACAGTAGCTCGTATTTAACATGTACTGGACAGTAGAGTTTTGATGGGTACCCAGTTCATGATATAATACACATTGGAAGTGTAGATGGCTACCTACCACCAATAATAATGTGCCATCAAATTAGACCTATTCCCATGAACTTCATGTAACAGTAATAGAGAGTAGGAAATGTCCTTTGCTTGGTAACCCTTTCTACCAACTCCCACTGGATGGGTATGGGGTGCTTAAGAAAGAAAGAAATTGCATTGAACTGGTTATATATCAACAACATAAGGGTTGACTCTTGGTTCAAATAATGAAATGGAGACTGGTCCCGCTCATTGTTCAAATTGTGTAGTCTCTTGTACTGTATTGTAATCCAAATCTTGGTTTAATGTAATAATTTTCCGGATGTTCTGAAAGCTGTTTAATTCTATTTTAACACCTCATTGTCTCGATGAATTTCCTTCAACAGAGAAACCGTCCTCTTTCTGCTTCCATATTGGCATTTTGAGTAATGTCTCCAAACTTTTGACTCGACTGCAATATGCATGATGCTATTGGTTTAGCACTTTATATTGATAATTACTTGCTGTAACTTACCTTATCCTTCAGAAGAATCTAATATAATTTTTTTTTTCCAGTTAAATCATTTCTCATATGGACTCTTGGAAAAGAGAGCAGAAAAACTGGTGAGTTTGGTTTTGTTGTATATACGATGCGATTTTACATTATCGAGACTTGCCACTGATCGTTTTATATTTCCGTATCATTAAAATTTCATATCTGGGTTAATTAAATGAACAATTATAAATATGAACTGGTAGATACCTGTCAGGTGTTAAGCTCTGTTAGATGTTTGTTGGGATATTTAAAAGAAATGGTGCCAAAGTGTTATTAATTCAGAACTCTGCCTAGTATGAGCCAACAGGCTTGCTTCTGTACTCTCTAAATTTTTATCCAATTCCAGTTTTAACACTGCAATGTACTTTTCATGTGAATAATATTGGAATAGAACAAAAATTTTGATTATTATTTATTAGAAACTTAGGGTTGTTGTTCCAGGCCCAAAACTGCATCATAGTTCCTCGACTCTTTTGGTGCCTACCGCTCCAGTCAGCGAGCCCTTACAAAGAGCAAAATAGCGTGACCCAAAATTATATATACATTATACACATGTACATGTACTGTGTGTGTTTCTTGATTCTAGCATAAATAAACATTTTATTTCTTCAATCTTTAACTTTATTTAAGGTCAGAAAGCATAGTTTTTTTTTGTTGTTGTTGTTGTCTTCCAAGACGATAATAAATACAGTACATTACCTAGTCGATGACATTTTGCAGTCTTGGGTACATCCCGTTCGACGCACTTCTTCATTTATCAAGTATCGAGCAAATTTATTTGTTGGTCCTGGCATTAGAAAACCAGTATTTCATATATTTGTGATAAAAGTGTGGATAGATTGATTAAAAGGAAATATTTAAAGAAGCAGCTGAGTGAGGAAGTATTGCTTGGCAGTAACACGCATCATTCCTTTCCACCTGCTCTATCAATTCCCTGCTTTTCTTCCCAGTCCTCTCACAACTACTCATTTCATAAGGATATATAAATATACAGGAGTTCTTACATTCTTGTACAGCCACTAGCACGCATAGCATTTCGGACCAGTCCTTAATCCTAATATTCCCTGGAATACGACCTGCTAAATCGTTTAACAACCAGGTATCCATTTTACTGTTGGGTAAACAGAGGCTACAGTTAAGGATTGATGCCCAGTAAATCCTCCCCGGCCAGGATACAAACACAGGCCAAAGCGCTTGCGAAACGCCAAGCTAGTGTCTTGTCACGAGGGCTGCTGCTTATATATCTATACAGTACAGTATATTTACACAAGGCCAAATTTTGAATATCCTAATAATATTAATTATTATTTATGTTAATAGGGCATTCTATCAACTTTTGTTATTTAGGATGGCATAGCACCAATATGGCCAAGAGACAGATGTAAAGAGAGAGCAATGAGTCGGGTTGGCAGATGCCACCGAAGCATACCTGCTCCATTATAGTTATACACTGCCACTCTTGCTGTCATGCACAAGATTTGTCTTGTATGAATGCTCATGCCACTAAATATACTGTGCTGTACTTCTTTCATATGTCACTTTATTTATGGAGAGAGATCCTAGATAGGTTTATTTGGTTAGGTTGGGTAAGGGTATTTTCTGTTTTTCCCACCAGGCAGTGCCGAGACTAATGGGGTGGGGGGTTGTTTCCCCCCCCATAAACCAGACATGCATCAGTTTAATGGGGCTGGAGAACTGGATAATCTGGGAACTCCAATAAAGGGGGCTGTGGATAATGAAGGTGCCACTGTGATGTCACATTGATGTTCTGCACTGTGTTCTTGCCATGTTTTATGATGAAATAGCCATGGAGGGTGTGTGCAGTAATGAGTTGTTGATGGAATAGGTTTACAGTTTATTGGATTATGGTTATAATTGCTTCTTGAAAGTGTTAGGATTGTATGTGGATTACTGTTATGGGGTGCTATTATGGATTTATTCTTTAGTGCATGCCTAATGTTTGTTTCGACATTCATGTATTAATGGGTCTATTAGTCAAAATATAATTTAATTTGACACTGAGGTTCTAAAATTTCTCAGATGCGGGGAGGGATAGTGTGAGGAAGTATTGTACAATGGTATACAGAGAGTAGTCCTGTACTGTAATTCTTATTTCGTTAATAATTAAGAAAATCTTCTTTATATTAATGTATCTTATTATTATTTTTATTACTATTATATAAATCATGATTACTATTGTGTGCTTACAGAACTCTGGGCGGATTCCAGTTATTCCGACATCGGAGAGTTGGGCACCACAAAAGGAATTATTAACAGCCTAGTTATGAAGGTTATGTGTTTGTCTTAATGTATGCTGTATCTTCTATGACACTTGAAAACTTGCATGAATTTGTATATAAAATAATAAATACCATTGTAATTAGTCTTCTTTTTATTGATATTATCTTGGTACAGTATCTGTAAACTTATTTTGTCATTACTGTATAAGAAAGTACAGTAAACACTGATTATTAAACTGACAGTAGCAAGAATTTCATGGTAAATATTAGTGAGAGTGAAGCAAGGGTAATTTAAGTAATGATTGGCAAATAGTTGAAGTAATTATTTGCTGGTTCAGCTGTGTATAGTTCACATTTGGTCAGCTTGAAGAATAATGAACAAATTTACATGAATTTACTGCTGAATATTCTCTAGTGGCCTCGATGGGGACAGGAAGCCAACAACTTGTCTAAGGTCCTCAAATATTGAAGGATGGTGGACTGCTTAGATACTGCTGATAATCCTTCAAAAATCTTGCTGGGATTTAAGTAAATGTGCTAATTAGATACCAATTCTTTTCTACCATGACCCATGCAAGGAGCCTGACAGCTGAGTGGTCAACACTTCGGATTCGTAGTCCTGAGGTTCTGGGTTCGATTCCCGGTGGAGGTAGAAACAAATGGGCAGAGTTTCTTTTACACTGATGGCCCCCTGTTACCTAGCAGTAAATAGATACCTGGGAGTTAGACAGCTGCTATGGGCTGCTTCCTGGGGGGGGGGGGTGTAACAAAAAGAAGGCCTGGTTGAGGGCCGGGGCTGTTGGGACGCTAAGCTCCGAAATCATCTCGGGTTAACCTCAAGATGACCATCTTCACAACATATTTCTTCATCTTTACACTAATAATCCGAACACATTTATGAATTTGTTTTTGCACATTACTGTATTAATATCTCTGATGTTACCTCATGAAAGTGGGAATAGAGTGAAAGTAATATGAGTGTCATTTATGTATATTTCTGATGATAAATATTGCATTACAATGACTTTTTTTTTTTTAAATGCATGTTGGCATAAAGAGAAAAGTTTCTCCTCCCTCAGTCGTAGTAGCCACCAACACATGCATAGTGTTTTTTAGTGAAAAAATATGCAATGCCCAAATATTTTATCATATTTGTGAGGTGATAACTTAACTCTAATATTCCATGTCAAACACTGAAGTTATAAATGGTAATGAAAGTGGGCTGTTCACTTTGTGTTTAAGATTGCCAGCTTTACACATGGTTTTCTACATTATACCCCCCTTTTAGTTTTAAATTTCCAATATATCACACTATACAAAATCTTTTTTAACAAATATGTAGTCTCCAATATTATCTTTATCAATCTGATAATCAAATAAATCATATCCTCGTTCTTCTATGCTGTCGATGAACTTGATGTCTTTTCCCTTAACATCTCCATGGTGCTCTATCAACAGAATTGTGATGTCAATAGAGTTCCAAGGTATTGTTTGAAGGATCATCGTCTCTGCTCCTTCTACATCTAGTGACAATAGATCAATCTGTGAAGTACAGTATAAGAATAATGTAGCTTGTTTGGGCTGCAGGATGGAGATTTCATTAAGCAGAATGGAAACCATTCAGGTATGGCAGGCATTTCCAAGTACAGTACTGTGATGTTAAAGCTTGAGAATGTTGTGTGCATTTTGAAGTTAGTCTTTATAAAGCCCTTTGTTACACTTGGCATTTTGAGATGGCCAAGAGAAGATTTCTCTTGGCTTGATTTTTAATACAAAAGACCATAAAGGTCATTGAAAAAGAGGCAGAAAGAAAAATTTGCAAGTTAAGAATAACATAAATGTGAAGAAATAGATGCGAGTTTGAAATATAATTGTGTATGTGAAACAATAAATTGCTAACCTTAGTGATATTGAGTGCCCTGAGGTAGGTAATTAAAGGGAAGCACTGTACTACAGCATAAGTGGTCTCGTAGTGATTTGCCTGGTAACGCTGGTCGGGACCTCCAGCCTCGGTCAGGAATGAGCTACCCCTGATTACCCACAATGCCTGGGTTGTCTCCGTGTGCTCATGGGTGTCCACCATCTCCAGTACCATTTCCTGGGGGGAACAGTTTTCCATATATGCCTGGAGTTTAGCTATATGCTATAGGGATGATGAGTAACCCATCCTCCTACAAAGAACACTGCTTTTCGATCATATGCATTACATAATGCCAAAAATTGTCATACTAGAAAATGGAAGCAGCTCACATAAGTGACATACTGGCCCGTTTTCTGTTCTGGGTTCTCTGGTAGGTTAGGAGAGAACGCTTTAAATTGACCGTTTTCTTGATGTTGGGAAACCTTAGGAGGACGGACTGTGATGAGTGAGTCTTGAGTTTGTCAGTTCAAGGGGACTATGATCACACTATTTTTATTTTGGTTATGGGGCAGTAACTCCTGATGCTCGGTTCAGGGTTCTGCTGTACAGTACTTAAATTTGAAGCTGCAAATGGTGTTTGTAGATGGAGAGAAGCAAGGATGTCGTCTTCATAATTCATTTCTCGGGCACAATACAGAACTGCATACGATTTGGTGGGAATATGTAATTGCAAAGAACACTTAAATTAAAATTAATTATAAGAGGTAAATGACTAACCTGTTGCAGCACTTTATCTCAGGTTTAAATCTATCATTCAGATTAATTTAGTTAAAATTAATAGACACAAAAATCTGTGGGCCTATGTTGTGGCTAAATTATAAAAATCAGAGTCAATTCCAAGTGGAATGTTATGGCTTCCCTTAGAAGATTACCTTTGGATACGGTGTTATGGCAAGGCAAGTGTTGGAGGACCAAGCTTTTCTGTTCTTCTTTACAAGATGTTTATAAGCACTTGGGTTGGCTTCAATCAGCAACCCACGCCACCCATACACCTAGGGATGCCAGCAGGTGCAATATGTGTACAGTACATTAGAACAGTAATACCTGGAAATTTATTTAGACTTTCATACTCATATCTTTCATACAGTTCACTTTACCTAAGAACACCAGCACGTTAATATAATTAATTCATTGTGTCGGGGGACAGGAAGCCAGAGTGTATTCCTACATGTTTTGGCTTTTATCGAGGTCTCCCCAAGGCCGAATTACTGTGCTGACCCCGCCCAGGATGCAACCACACAAGAAGCTGACTAACTCCTGAGTACTTACTTACTGCTAGGTGAGCAGGTGCATTATGTTAAAGGAAATGTGCCCGACTATTTCTGTCCCGCCCAGGATTTGAACCCATAATTCTCGATTGTGCGTCGAGAATGAACTCGACTGTACTACGGGGACCCAGAAGGACCTCTTGAATATGAACTCCAGGACCACCAGAAGGATTGACATACATACTGTTGAGGCTACAAACATGATAATATTTTGTAGATTGCAGTATACCTAGGTGTATATTACTGTAGTAGAATAATACTGTAGACTATGGTAATACAGTACTGCATTACGGTAAGTATATATTTGATGGCATAACCTTATCTAATCTTGGGTGAAATGTGCCGTGTGCCTAAATTGAAGAAGCATTGTACAGTACAAATATATAATTACTATAGACAATGGGGTGAAAACATAGATATCAAAGGTTGTATAATAATAATAATAATAATAATAATTATTCTGAAGGTGTGTGTGTATACAAAGAACATAAGAGTAATGTACAATTGTAGGAACAGGAATTACACATATGGTACTAATGAAGCCACTATTATGCAAAGTGTTTCGGGGTTTTCTTAAACCTTTCGATACTTTTTTAAGTACTGTATTGTTCTTAAACCCTCATCATCTTTAGTCCCAACTCTCATGCCCTAAAAGAGTAAACAATGAAATTTAAAAAGTTTACAAATGGATGTCAACAAATTAGCTAAACACAGAAAAGACCATTATATTTGAAAGCAAATTATCTAATCAATTAACCTTCAAATAATTTAAATATTGGGAGTATAATTGGGAAGATTCTTAGGCTTCTATATTGACACGACACTTTACTTCAACACTCAACACACAGCCAAAATAGTAGCTAAAACCAGTTGGCATACTTAAAATAATTTATTCCATATCGGCACTCCTTCCAATGACCATGCAGACTCTGCTGCTAAAAAATTTGTTCATGCCTTTGCCATCTCTCCAAAGGCATATCCCATACTTGGATTTCTATCCTAGCTTTCGTAATGCACTCATCTATGCAGTAATATAAAATTTGACCTATCACCAAAACAGGAAGTGGGGAAACCTATCTGGCTAAGTACTGGTCACACAAGATTAACTCAAATGCACTTAATGGAAAATAGACCTGCACCTTATTATTTGAATTGCATTGTTTTGTTACTATTCAATTCAACTCAAAGAAAGTCCTAATTTTTTAGGATTGGAAATTTGCTATCTCACTGCTTATTTATGTCTATTGTCCCTCGATAAAATCCGTGGCTAATCTTGCTTTCTTTGACATTGCTCATCTTTTATCTTTCTGCTCTAATACTGGCATCCTGAATTATATCTAGGTCCTTTCAATATTCTGTAGCACAGATAGGGCTTAGTGCTTTCATTCTAAAATTACTTATTTATCGATAAAAGTCCATACTGCACATCAAGGTTATACTGCATGGAAGTTCATGGGTAAAATCTAAGAATAGAAGTAGCAAGGAAGATTGCCAGAGATGTGTCTATTTCCATTTGAGGGCTCAACACTGACCTTCTCTAGATGGAGGGTGTTGGAGAGGTACTCGCCATCGAGGGCACCAGCCTCGATGAAAAAGCCAGGCGGGTGGTGAGCTGTCAACTTCAACACCCGATCATGCAAGAACTTCCATGACTCCATGTCCTGCCAAAAAGTCCAACCATTATACACACAAACATTATTATAATTGTAGTGCAGTACTTGATACGCAAAAGTGAAAATATCTTGTCTAATTACTTATGCTTTCAGTATTGCAGTACAGTACTAAATACACATTATTATCTATAATGTGTTCAGCTGAAAGACTTCGAACATGACAAAACAAGTATAATACAGTGAAGTACAGGAAAAGTGGAAAAGCAGGAGGGTACATGAAACATTAGCAAAACATCAGTGGACAGGGTGAATTGCTACAATTAAATACTGTATACCTTTGTTTGTTTTCCTTCAAGATCGATACAATATTATAATATTTTAAAATTAATAACTAAAACTCATGCTTGGCTAAACAGTTTTAAGTCATTTGACATCAGAGTCTGCAGCAATACATGCTTTTCTAAGTTTATATTACCTTCTAATATGTCTACACAAACTTTGTTTCATTACTAACTGACTGACACAAATGAACACAGAGTTCAATTACTGTTCCCACCATGTGACTAGTTCTTAACTTCCACCTCTGCCCATGGGTTGGGTGTGGGGTACATGATAGAAAAATATAAATGTGTAATTAGTTCAACAACAGTTAATATATCCATCCTGTCTACTGGATGGGTATAGATTTAAAACAGACAAAACTATTTCATCATTTCTAAACAGTATCAACTTCTATATGAATTGTAGCCATTTGATTTCCATATTAGCATCAGTATCGTCTCCTAAATCAATTGTAGAAGCAGGACTGTTTGCTACACCAGTTGTAGCAGCAATTATGATTGTTTCCTGCAGTAGTACAGTATTATCCAACATTAGCTATTGCAGAAGTATTATTCTGTACATCAACTGTGATTTAGAAATATGCACCCATGCACTGTATCAGCGCTTGTATTAATACAGTCCCTACATATGCAGTAGCAGGAGTACCTTGTAGTTCAGCCTGTTAGTATAATTATCAAGGTTGTATGGCTTGGTGCTGGGTGGGCGAAGGAGATGATCATGAAGGGCTCGGATTACCAAGGGGTCCTCAGCTTCCAGGGGTCCTCTCAGCCGCTCATTCCACCCATTGGAGGTCCCTATGTGCACCTCTCTCCCACCTGTATGAACAGCACCGACACCAATGTGCACATGCTCCCCACTTGTCTGTACATGCAAGCCCTTGCCACTATAGATCAGTAGCTGAAAGAAAGACATTAAATAAATATGTAATTCTAATGTATATAGTAGAATATATATACAGTATATATAATCACTATGAACTCTATATGACCCCAACCTGGATTCGAACCCATGACATCCAGGATCACCCCTAAACGTACATGGTATCATAACCACTGCATCGATTGATCGACTATACGATTAATGGGTGCAGTGGTCACTACCGTGTACATTTAGGGGTGATCCTGGTCGGGTCATATAGAGTTCTTAGTGATTTATGACTTGCATGTTCTTGCCCTTATTACACACACACATATATATACAATATGATACAAATAGGTGAGTACAGTATACAGTGGCACCTCAGCCTTGATATAAGCGTAACATGTATGACTATACACTGACTGCCGGCCCCCCCGGCACAATGATTTATTATAAATTATATAGACAAACACACCCAAACATACATAGCATATATACACTCACACATTAGGCTACAGACGATTAGAAAGGCGGAGTCCAAGAGCTAAGCGCTCAAGCTTGCAGGCACAAACAGTAAGTATATTTAGACACAACTAACCTCTTGAGGTTATCTTGAGATGATTTCGGGCTTAGCGTCCCCGTAGCCTGGTCCTCGACCAGGCCTCCTTTTTGTCACACATCCCGAGGAAGCAGTCTGTAGCAGCTATCTAACTTCCAGATACCTATTTACTGTTAGAGGAACAGGGGAATCAAGGTGAAAGAAACTGCCCATTTCTTTCTACCTCCGGTGGGAATTGAACTCGGAACCTTAGGACTACGAATCCCGAGTGTTGACCACTCAGCCGTCAGGCCCCTGTTCTCAGATATTAAAAAAAAGTAGTTATTCGAGCGCTTACCACTACTATACACATGAAATGTTACATACAAACTTACCACACCAAAGAATACACTAAACACCATCACATTTTTCAAGAACGTTCTTTTTCTGCTTATTCGCATCCGACTCAGCTGCCGGTAAAGATACATGATGCAAGCGATTTCTCAAGGTTCACTCGAAGGTTGAAACAACAATCACCCCTCCCGTATGTTCATTTGAACATGCAGCAAACATTTATACATTGCTTTCATTTGAACATGCAGCTGACTTTTAATAACACGTTGCTTTAAAATATCATTTTGGCCAAACAGCAACAGCAACTCGGTAGTGCTGGAGAGATTGGTGAATGCTAAATTAGCAAACTTTAATAGCGGTTGTGAAGGTATGTATAGGTAGCTTGCAGCTCAAACATTGCCGGCCATGGGGGGGAAGAGTGTGGAGCGCCACCTCACCAAAGATAATTTACAGCCATTATTTCCTTAAGTAAACTCGCGCCAGTCAGCAGACCATGTAGAAGAACAAGTTAAACTTGTATTAAAAGAACATTTTCGAATATATTTACGTTATGGGAGAAAAAATAAGTGTATAGATTTATAATATAAGAGTATAATAATATTATACTCATTATAGAATATACTCATTAATTATAGAATGAATGTTCATTCTTACAAGAATGTATATATATATATATATATATATATATATATATATATATATATATATATATATATATATATATATATATATATATATATATATATATATATATATATATATATATATATATATATATATATATATATATATATATATATATATATGTATATATATAAATGTATATAGGGAAGTGGGTCCCTGAACAGGTATATATGTAATGTATATAGACACCTCACAAACCGAACATTCTGAGTGATAATAAAGATATAGATTGTTTATATATATATATTAGTGTTATCAGGAGAATAATCAGGTTCACATGATTACCCCTCCCACCGGTGCTGTGTCACAAGACACACACTGATAACCACGCACTCTAATTGTACAGATAACGATAATAGACTAAGCTGGCAGTGGTATAATGAGACTGATTGAGATCATATAGTTTTTCTTTTTTTACTTTGTGTCAGATGACGGCTATTGCACTGTGTCAATAATAAAGTGAGGGGGAATAAGAATGTCTCATATCGCTGGCTATGATGGGTGGGTTACACACTCTTACAGAAAGAAGATCGGAGAGAGGATATACTAGGCTGTCTTGTTGACAATGGCGCGTCTGCCAGTTATACTCTAGGCTGGATATAACCTGAAGCGGGAGCCATGGCTGCAGCAGTAGGAACCTTTACCCAGTAGTGAGAAGGTCATGTGGCACCGGGAGGAGCCGTGGGCCGGCTGGAGTGTTCACTGGAGTAGACCAGAGTATCTGGCTGTTCAACCTCCTCCTCTCGACCATTTCTACTTCGTGAGATTTGAAGTTTTTGCTCGTTACGACCTTCTCGGTTTGGTGCCTTCTTTTGATAGTTACTTACTTCTTCTTACGATGTTTTGTAACTAGGCCATCAAGATTGTAACTTGCTTAGCTTAATGAATTGTACAGTCCCTGAAGAACCCATTATGTGCCTCTGTAACCCTTTCCACTACCGCCCACAAGATGGGTATGGGGTTCATAATAAATTAACTAAACTAACTACAGTGTTATGTCTCCAACTTAATATACGTATAATAACCTTAATCTCGTATCTCACTCATGTACGAGCCTCTTTACCTACTGATTACAAATAATCCATTTTAAATCGCCAATATTAATCCACTTATGCTCGATCTATTGTTTATATAGTGTGTAATATATATATAGGCTACCTGTCCCGACAAACTTAATTATCTAATGTAGTTATTATCAAAGGAAGGCGCCAAGCCTTATATTGCATAGCTATAAACTAAAAAAACTGCCGTACGCGTCTTGATCCAGTACGGGAGACGTCTATTTCACGGTCTGACATTTGACTACATCACTGCACTTTCTTCATTCTAGAATATAATTAAAAATCCGCATGTATAGACACATCAATTAATACCAATGTTTTATTAATATATAATACCATTACAATATATGGACGGGTTACATAAGCTGTTAATTATTTTGCTTTATACAAACTAATCAAATACATGCCCATTAAAAATATTAAAGTACATACAGGGGGGGGGGGGTATTGTAACTTAGCTATCCGTAATAGTTTGATACACAAAGGAAGACAAATGCTCATACCACACTTTGCGGAAGTTAGATCAATGCCAAATGCCAACATTATTACTGTGTGATGAAAGCATGGAGGAGTGTTGTTGGTGATGGGGTTGGGGAAGGGGGAGGTATGATTATTTCGTACACGAGACGATTCGACAAAGCTCGTTTTCTGTTTATTAAAACCGTGTATATTGCTATGCTAGGATATATTAGCTTAGGCTAGACTGTATTTTGCTCGGTTAGGTTAAGTTAGGTTGGGTTAGGTTAGATTAGATTGAGCTAGGTTAAGTTAGATAGGGTTCTAAATATGGAGGCGAATCGTCTTATGTACGATATGACTTGTATCCGTTGCCGGGAGGCGAAGCGGCGCAGGGGTCGCGAGTCGCCAGCTGAGAGCCAATCAGCGGACGGCGCCAGGTCCCGCTCGCTGATTGGTGGCTCTCCCGCGAGTCACAACAACGTTAGTCATCATCACCTGTAGCACGTAAACAAAGATGGACGAGGAGCTCGTGAGTGCCTTCTATGGCGATTATTTCCGAGTTTTTAAGAGGCGGGGAGGGCGTGCGAGGCGCGTGTAGGCACCCTGGGCGCCAGCACTTGTGGGGCCCTGAACCAGAGTTGGGCATCAGCCTTGTGTTTTGTTATATTTTGCTGTTTGTAAACACAGTCTTCCTCGCCTGTGTTGATATAACCCTTTTTTTGTTTTATTTTGTCTACGCAATTATTTTTCCAGTAGATATATGCATATATATTATAGAGATACTGATTTTGTGTAAATATATATATGTGTGTCATTAGGAATTCCCAAAGTTTGCCCTTAAATTAGGGTTTTGATGTCTTTAAGATTTACGAGACATCAATTTTACAAATGAAGGACAAGCATCTATGTCTTCACAAGAATGCTCTTTAAACAACAACAAAGTTATACATATTCTTCTCTTCATGTTGGAGAGTTATGGACTTTATTTATACTTTTAACTTCCTGAACTCCATTACCGTTCAGAAAACAATTAATTTATTTTTTAAATGAAGATAAAAAAATATACACACACACACGAATTACCATAAACATAAATTGTACACAAGCATTTTGTATGCTTGTTATTTTCCTAATTTAAAAAAAAAGTTAAGTGCAGTATATTATTTAGTTTAGGTGAGGTTGGTCTGAAGTTATTCTTCAGAATCTATTCACATACAGCCTGATGTCCAACTCTCTGAATTTACCTGTTATACATCTGTACATTAGTGACTTTAAAAATGTACTTCTATGTATTTAATATAAAAATAGTAATCTATTAGTCTCTGGGCCTAGTATACAAGTATACTACTTATATAATAGCTAAGTGCATTTTCAGCCTGGCTAACTGCTGCTGATTCTACAGTGATATATCGCTCACAATTTAAGCATAGAGCTTTATCTTTCAAAATATATTAAAAATTCAATACTTTGCTGACTATTATTTGTTATGCAGTCATCCTAAGGGTTCTTAGATTTCACTTTTTAAGTTTTACTTTCTGCTCAAAAGTCTTCAGAAGTTTCCTTTTGAGTTTGCTGCTAGTTGAAGTCCAGGTATACCCTACATGCCATTTTAAGAGCCAAAGTGGCAGGATGTTTCGTATTTTCTGAGAGATATAACTGTGTGAGAGGGAGGGATGATCTTTAATTGTATCTTACCTTGTGATGATTTCGGGGTTTAGCATCCCCTTGGCCCAATCCTTGACCAGGCCTCCTGGTTGCTGGACTGGTCAACCAGGCTGTTGGACGCGGATGCTCGCAGCTAGATGTATGAATCAGAGCCTGGTTGATCAGGCAAATCTGGGTTGATCTGGTACGCCACAGAAACGGCACATTAGTTATCTCTGAATGTTGGGTATTTTTAATTATATTACCTTATATTTATTATACATTATTATCTACATTAATTATTTAAGCATTGCACAAGTATTAATTGTGTACTCTTCATTTTCAAACAGCTTGTGTACGAGCAAGATGAGGTCTATACTCTTCCTACATCACAAGAGGAGTTGTCAGTTAGTGGAAAATTACGCATAATGGAAAGAGTAAGTTCCTTTAGTCTTGAATGTATACAGTATTGTGCTGCTGTTGTGCAATTATGCTAAATTTACTATTGAATATTGTAGTTATACTGTTTCCACACAGCAAGGCTAATTGGTGGCGAGTTGTGTAGTTAACTATACGATTCTAATATTTCATTACCGGTTGTGTCATTCCTCATTTTTTTAAATTGTTTAGTTTCATAAAATGTTCTTGAAATTCCTTTTGACAATGGGCTTGCCATTACTCAATCACCTTTTCTTAATCTTCGGTCACTATTTGAGTAAAAATATTGTTAATTTTTTAATGAACACCTGTATTGTGTTTCCTTTTCATATTAGCGGCATGGAGTAGTTGTGGAGTGGCGATGCTGTGATGATGAAGCCTCAACAGATAGTGAGTGGGCAGTTATCAACTCTGCTGCTGTTACATTTACACATCACAATGTCTCAGGTTTGCACATCAGATTTCTATTTTACCGACTTTTGTGTTAAAAAAAAAAATAGTGTGATAGTGAGTGCACATGCTGCAACCTCTTTGAATTCCTGTATCTTTTGTTCACTTAGCCAAAAATAATCATCTTTTTGGGTACAAGGCAGGCTTGCTTGCAAACTGTACTGTAATAGTCGAGATTAGTTCCTGTATTAGGTATATTTTTGTTTAAGTGGAGTATGTCTTTATTATTTCCATTTTTTCTTTCAGTGTGTCTATTGCACTTCTAACCTCTTTTCATAATAGTTTAGTTTCTGAAAAATGTGAGTCCATTTTCTTTTGAGTTTTCTAAAAAAAATTCATATTAATTTTTACTCCTGGCATGCTTTCTTTTTGATTTCCTTTTCAGTCTTGTCATATACTCATTCCTTCAAGCATTTATTCTCATTAGAGAGGAAATACTTTTTTTCTTCCAACAGGATTTTATTCAGTATCTTGGAAATGCCTGATCATGCTGGCTAAAATATTAAAATACTTTAGTGTGAGCAAAAATGTATGACTGCTTATTTACATTAAACACTGCAGTCGCCATAGTAAATACTTTTCTGAGAGGGTTTAATAGGTGACTCGCTGTTGCTACATCCTGGATAGCTCCATTAATTTTATTTACACCAGGCTCTTTATACATTTTAAAATGCTTACTGGAAACCAAAGGCCAAAACCTGGACCCCTCCCAGAGGCACAAGAAGAAGCAGAGGATTCAAAATCACTCTAACCGAAGGAAATAGATGCCAGAAAGGGTTTGTAGGTTTTTCCTTCAGCTTTTTCTGGCCCTTTGGACCATTGATGGGGGGTGGGGGGTTGCATCTTTGTTAGTTGTGCTTCTGCTCTAGGCCTGCCACAACGACTGGCTGGTTTGGGTTCCCAAGCTGTCGTTTTTTTTTTTGCGAGCAAGTGGTTTTTGGTCGTTGGTCAGTTTTTCTCAACAGTTGGACATGGGTGGAGGGGGGAGGGGGGAAGAGATTCTTTGTTCCCTTTGTAGCACTTTCTCTAGGCATGGCCCCTTATTTGCTTCCTTCATGTTCATCTTGAGGACTTTTGGGGGAGTATGTCTCATTTTGTTTCCCTTTGTCTATTGGTAGGGTAGTAGGCCTGACAAGATTTTTGCAGTAAAGTTCTTTTGCAATATATTCGCTTGGCTAGTTCCGTCTTTGCTGAATTTAATTTTTTGGTTTGTTTATCTGTGGGTGCATCGTTTGAAGGTTGAGTTGTTTGTTGTTCCAGTCTCCTGTTCCAAGGCTCGTGGACCTCAGGTCGTCTGCAGGGTTTCCTTAGTACCCTTTCATTTGGTGGTTGATTTTTACTCTCCTCCCCTAGTGAATCCCAATTTTCCATTCTCTGTGATTAGTTTGGAACACAGTGCCACTGTTTAGCCTCTTCAGATAACCAGAGTTGAATGTACAGTAATGAAATGCCTTTTTCTGGAGGGTGCCTAAGAGACTCCCAGAACCCTCTATTCCCACTACTAGGTGCATCATTCTGTTTTCTTTGGCATTGGACTGATAATTGTTGATGTGAGGAGCAAGCAGCTCCCATGGTGCTGCCACCTAGTGGTGGCCAGCTGCAACTTGGGGGTATGACCTAACTGCTGGGAGGATTGCTTGCTGAATTGTTTGCTGCATTGTTTACTTTGTTAACCTTGCAGTTGTCTGTTTTGCTTCACTTTCTGGGGGTTTGTTTCTTCAGTGAGGAGGATCATGAATCCCCTGCTCCCTGCATCTCTTAGGGGGGCCAGGTTTGGCCACTGGTCTCCAGTAGGCTATTAGGGTTAATGTGACGTGTGTGGCACTATCTCGGAGCAGCTAGCAACAGGGCCAAGGTCCAAGGTCCAACCAAGGTCCCCATAAAGAAGCATTTTATTAATTTGAGTTTTTTATATATATACTAATGTAATAGTATTTTGTACACTGTACAAAGCATTCTTGTAATAATGCTTTTATGGTGATATTTATACATTTCCTCTGTCACATTGCAATAGTTGTGGACTTTTCTAATTAAATTATGTTTACAGTAAATGGAATATATGTCTTGTACTTTACAGACTCGGTAGAGATAAGTACACCACGCCGCAATGTTCGTCCCATATCCATTGAATTAGTTGACCTTCGCAGCTATAAAGTAAGTCGCAGATTGTTGCAATTTTAATAAATGATGCCCCAAGGAATGAGGGAGTAATAATAATGAATAATGAGGGAATTTTATGGAAGGATACATTTATAGTTACTGTATTTGATTACAGCAGATCTTGAGATAGTAATAGAGCACTGCAATATTATTAGGCGTATATTCAATAAGAAAGATACTATACAACTCTCAGCACTAATACGATACTTTGACGAATAATAACTTGCAGATTGCAAATAACGACTCGCTGGTTCTGATTCAACGAGATGGAACCACTCACCCTGCTCTGGCTTTCCGCTCAGGATCCGTGTTATGTTTTGTTGAAGTGCTCCTGAGATATGTAGCTGTCAAAAGGTATGTGTATACATTTTTAGCAAGTACTGGATGCTTGGTTCTTGAAACTAATTGCGACTAGGTCATGTTCATTGGAGATTCATTGGAGTAACTATAGCATTTCATTTCTTGTGCTATTTGTGTGACTTATTTTTGTTTAGTGCAAATGATGAAATATGTGTGTATTCATAGTCCAGTACTGTATTCTAATACTATTACCACATTAAAAGAACTAATATTTTAATATAAAAATTAGCTTAATATCTTTTGTTCATTTTCAGTACAAACTTGGATGAGCAAAAGTCTCCTTGTGAAATAGGTACTATTTATGTGGTACAGGGTTGTCTTCCCTGGTGTCGGCTTGCATTTCCTGTTTCCTGGTCAGTTTCTTTTCTGAAGGGCTTGGATGTCAGACTTTCTTGGGCTTATTCTCTGTAGTTGCCCCAATGTTAGGGACATATTGTGCATGGGTGTTCCTTGCTTGTTTATAGGATTCCGCTTAGGTGGTGAATAGTGGTTTAATCCTATGGCACTGTACACGTACTGTACACATGTGCACTGTACACACAAATAATTCCAGAACTAGGTCAACTCTCTCATACAGGAAAGGCTTAGGCCCACAGGGCTAACAACACTGCAAACCAGACATAATAAGACTGATTGCATCAAAACATTCAAAATACTTAACAATTTGGAGGATGTTGATCCAGACAACTTCTTCATGAGGTCTGATGTAATGCAAACAAGGCCCAACAAGCCACAATGTCGGACTGATAACAGGAGATACTTTTTCACCCCACAGGGTTATAAACCCATAGAATAAATAAATGAATAAACCCATGGAACTGCCAACCTGCTGATATGCATAAAAAACTGCTGTACTACATTTACTGCCATAAATGCCAAAACTTGACTGAATATCCAGCTTGAAAAAATTATCAGGACAAATGAGGGAGGGGGACCTGTGACAAGCCGCTGGCTTAGTTCCCGATCGAGGCTACTAGTGTTAGTGGGCCCGCGGACGAGTTCAGGTAAATTTCTTAGGTTACGTGATGAGATTTACAAATTTTCCTGAACGTATGCCTTCTGTTCTTGCCTCATAAGCCTCAAAATCTAGTGATTTCATATTACTCTCTCAATACAATACTAACAATGTGCAAGTCTATCTTGTTTGTCATTTAGTCCCTCTCTCGTTCATATATTACTAGTGGGCTGTAGACATTCATAGCTATTATTTTTCTCTCTGATTTTGAATCACCAGTGGTGTCAACTCAACATCTCGTGGGTTTTCAAGTGTTATTTCTTTTACAACTAAGTGTTCCTTCATCAACATTACAATGCCTTCACTTATTCTGCTTGTTTGATCTTATCCCTTTGTTGAGTAGCCTTCCCTTCTCCCTTGGAAATGCCACCTCATTTAGAAGTGTCTGTAGTTTTGTCATCACGATGATATCCAGTAATATTTGGTGAATTTTATTATAGTGGAATCTCGATTCAATGAACCTCGATTCGGTGAATCTCCTGTTGGAACACACGTTTTCCATGCTGTACTGTATTTACTCATCTGATTATTCGAGCAACAGTTTTCTAAAGTAGAGACTGTGTAGGGTTGCTTAGGATGTTGGGACCAAGTTCACAGATGGAGGCAACATTACAAGAAATAGTTGGGGGCCTTGGATGTTTAATGCAATTTTGGATTTTTAAAATATAAGAGATTTGGCATCACTTTCACAGAAAGCTGCAATTTCAATGTTTTGATGGCTACTTGCCATCAGCTCTTCTTTGGAAGATTATCCATAGAAACCTTAGAAATCATTTTGAATGGCTGCATTTTGATTCCAACATGCCACAAAAATTAAATTTGCAAGCTTAGATCATTTTTTTTTGGCAGGTCAGAAAAGGATAGCGATCTGTATTTGGTGAGTGACAAACGACTTGCTGCTATGGATGACGAGCTGTCAGCCATGAACTTGGTTCCTCCTCGCCGGGGCTTTGGAGGAGCAGCAGGTCATGGTCAGTGGGGCAACACACAGCAGCGAGTATGGGGCTTCATCAGCAATTTAAAACGAGATCCTTATACAACCACTGTTGGTGCACTCTCCAAGTTTTATGATGTAGTTTGTAAGTGTGGTGATATTTTAGTACCGATTAAAAAGGGCCGTGGCGCACTGTAGTTTTTTGTTATAAGCACAATTACTAATTTATTATTTGCTCATTATTTACAGAAATGTTCTGTGATAATCTACAGTTTTGAGAATCAGCATTAGGTAGGCACAGTAGGTAGATAGGTAGGAACGTATATTGAACCATGAATCTGCCAATTTTTTATGTGAAAGTTCACGAAATGTAAAATTCCTTTCAGCACCAAATGATAAACGGCAGCAGGCATGATTCACTTAGCACAAACCCAAGCACAAGGTTGAAAGTCATCTACATGGTTCTTTCGGTCCTATTTTGTCCCTAATGCCAATTACTGCCCAAAACAACACAATTACCGTGTGATTTCTTGCGCTTGTGTTATGATTCGTATACTCTGGATTCTTTTCCTTCAATTTGGAAATGATTAAGTATTCTGCTTTTTATTTGAATTTGTGGCTAGGAAGTGGTGGATGTGTTTAGCAGTATTGTTAACATTAAGGTTTGAAAGGCAAGGGAGAAAAATAAGACTTTGAGATTTGGGATAAATCCCTATTTTTCTCTGCATTGGCCCTACGTTTGATTTGTGTGAAACTTCTCTGCAAAAGCTTCACCAAAACACTTCTCTCATGCAAATTGTGTGACTGCTGTTCCCATTTATTTGTTTGAAGATATCAAACTCTAGTTGCAGGGCTTATACTTAATACCCATCAATCAACTAATGGAGTGTTTCCCTACTCATTTGTGTTGCCATAGCTTAACGAATCCATGTATGGAGTTTCCTTACATTATTTCCCCTCTTAGTGTATTCTACATATTGTCCTTCACACTAGAGATCTGCAATCAGGATGATAAACTAATGATCATAAATGCATATAGTCTACCGCCATGCAACACATGGACAAAGGAGAAGCTGGATAATAAACGAGAAGGTCTTCTAATTTTAGGGAGAGCAGATAAAGATAGATCACGGATGTTGGTAGTTGCCGACTTCAACTTGAAATTCATAGACTGGGACACAAATGAAGCTAGAACCGATGGCTTTTGGACCTGTAGATTCGTAAACCTCATCCTGGAAACATTCATGTATCAACTTGTTAAACAAGCTATGAGGATGAGGGAAAAGGGATGCTCCCTCCATGCTGGATGTGATATTTACCTGGAAAGAGGAAGAGATATTTGACATTCAGTACCTTCCTTCCTTCCTTGGGGTAAAAGTGACCATGTCTTTTTGGGAGTAAAGTATGCAATGCATTATAATCTGGAAGAAAATAAGGAGGTTGAAGACGAGGAGGTTGGAGACGAGGAGGTTGGAGACGAGGAAGTTGGAGACGAGGAAGTTGAAGTCCAGGAGTCTTCCAGGACTGATGGCTGAGAACGTTGATGTTAATGTATGTTGATGCATAAACCAGTGAGTTGCAATGTATTGCAGGTACTCAATTAATGCAGAGATTTCTAAGATTTTGTCCTGACAAATTTTGTTTCCACCATTTTGAAGATGACAGTGGTTTCAGCCATTTGCTTGCTGAAGGAAAATACTGTAGCTGCCAATTCCTCTATGACCTGCTACAAAATATTAAGACGCGTTAGCGAATCTGGAGTGGTTGGCATCATTTAAGATCCTTCACTTTTCTTCCTCTGTTCAAAGCTCCAAACCAGTTGGGCCATTTCCAGAGCATGAGGCTTGACAACGGTCTCGCACCATTTGTGGCTTTTGTTTGGCAATGAAATAATCAGCTTTGTAGGATGCTTCAAAACAAGGCTTTTGTGTTGGGACAAATCCAAGCTTTGGTAAAGGTTCAGTCTTTACACATTGAGCCTTCTTGCAAAAAAAGATTCACACTTGTGCATTTTCAGGATAAACAAAACGTAAGGTGCTCCGTCAGCTTTGCGGCTTCATTCTTCCACTGGCAACAAACTTTGCCACACAAAAAGCATTCTACCCTCAATGTACCATCACATTCAGCAAAGGACATAAAAACCAAAGGTTATGTAAGCTTTGTTGTACTTCCTCATCCTTGATATTTTTTAAATTCTGCAAGGCCTGCAGAAGAAAATTAAGAAAACACCGAATTTGTTTAATTATAAAGGAAGTGTTCAGTTAAAGGCGCTTCAATCAGTGACACAGGTGCCAGTGTGTCTGCTCCCTAGACACAGGTGCTGGTATTTCTGTCCTTCTGACATAGGTGCTGCTATTTCTGCTCCTCTGACACACACACATGCTGGTGTGTGCTCTTATGCTGACAGGTGCTGGTGTGTGTATGTGCTTTCCTGACACAGGTACTGGTTTGTGGGTGCACGTGCATGCTCTCTTCTGACATGGGTGCTGGTGTTTCCTGTCTTCTGACATGGGTGCTGGGGTCTCCTGTCTGCTGACATGGGTGCTGGTGTTTCCTGTCTTCTGACATGGGTGCTGGTGTTTCCTGTCTTCTGACATGAGTGCTGGAGTCTCCTGTCTTCTGACATGGGTGCTGGTGTTTCCTGTCTTCTGACATGGGTGCTGGTGTTTCCTGTCTTCTGACATGGGTGCTGGGGTCTCCTGTCTTCTGACATGGGTGCTGGTGTTTCCTGTCTTCTGACATGAGTGCTGGAGTCTCCTGTCTTCTGACATGGGTGCTGGGGTCTCCTGTCTGCTGACATGGGTGCTGGTGTTTCCTGTCTTCTGACATGAGTGCTGGAGTCTCCTGTCTTCTGACATGGGTGCCGGTGTTTCCTGTCTTCTGACATGGGTGCTGGTGTTTCCTGTCTTCTGACATGGGTGCTGGGGTCTCCTGTCTTCTGACATGGGTGTCTTGTTCTGGCAATAGAAGAAATAAAATGATTCCTCTCAAGAGGCAATTGGACGAGTTCCTGCAGAAAGTGTCAGATCAGCCGTGTTGTAATGTCGTCCTGGGATTGCGGACTGCACGAAGCAACAGCCTTATAGATCAACTGTACCATTGTGTATCCTTTCACTTTCATTTATTTTTGTGTTGTGTCAATTTTATACGTGTTTACTGGTCATTGTTTTATAAAATTAAATACATTACAAGATTAAGCAGATGTAAAAATGTGAGAGAATCATATCCTACTAAGATAACGTTAGTTGGGATGTGCCTGGCAGGATGTTTGCTATTTAGGTCAGATTGTGCTGCTTGGGTAATCCCTTAGCTCAGTTGAAGGTTTAGTACCATGGGTCCCAGACAAGACTCGATACCAGTGCAGTTTGTCGTTGTTTTAACAAATGAAACATCAGCATTCAGTGTGTAAACATTCTGCCTCTAGACAAGCTCATGCTGAATGTGGTAATAAATGACCTGTCAACAGCTGTCATTCATGTATATATGTTTACAGTAATCTGGTTTTTAATGTTTAAATATTTGGTTTTATTTTTCTGATTTTATTAATTTCGCGTTCGCTGCCAGAGTTCAATTATCGGAGGTATAGTTTATGATGTCCCTTGAAATACATTGTGGAATTTAATAAGGAAAATGTGGAATATTTTAAGGAAATTGTGGAATTTATTAAGGAAATTGTGGAATTTATTAAGGAAATTGTGGAATTTATTAAGGAAATGGTGGAATTTATTAAGGAAATTGTGGAGTTTATTAAGGAAATTGTGGAATTTATTAAGGAAATCAACTCTGACCAGCCATCCTATTAGCACTTGTGTGTATTTGTTGCAAAATTTTTGTGTGGCAAGCTTAAATGCAAGTTTGATACTTGAAGCACGTTTATGGTGCCGTATCTCTAATTACTGATCGAGCCATTCTCGAGTGTGTTGACTGATAGACTGCAAATAAGTTCTTGTCATTCATTTTGGCAACATTTTCTTTTGCTGATCAAGTGCAACTTTGTTTGAGATTCCTGATATATATTTATCAGAAATGTTCTTTATATCATATTGATTTATGTGTGTTTAGCGGTAAAATGCTGTATAGATGGATAGTTACTGTTATGTAATAAAATGTGTATGCAAAAGTTTGTGTTCATAGATCACTTAGTTTTTTAATTCATATATACACTCTCCAGCTTAATTATTGACATTTTATAAAAATATTTCTCCTAAAAATTAGTTTTTAGAATTCTAAAATTACTTTTAGAATTCCTAACTTTGTTTTTCAAGATGTCAGAACAAATATTTTTAGATATTTGGGTCCTTGCTCCCAGTAAAATGCTCAGCAACCATCTAAATAAACATATTTTTTTTTCCAAGAATGTGACATCTGAACCTGCTGGGATGAAGCATGTCAGTTGCAAGAGGGCCTAAGTAATTTATGCGTATCTGAAGTTTCTTGTAGCTAGCAGGTTTCATTCCTTTGGTTATGTTATGCTGGAAATGGCTTTCCACCAGAGGAGGGGATGCACATATATATATATAATCCCACAACACCTGCTTACTGTCCCTTCAGGGTAATGTGCTAATTATAATTGGGCATTTTTAACATGCCCAATTAGGGGTCTCTTTGGTAGCAATTGAGTGTAATTATAATTGTAATTGTCCCTTCAGGGTAATGTGCTAATTATAATTGGGCATTTTTAACATGCCCAATTAGGCGTCTCTTTGGTAGCAACATATATATGATTAAATCATGGCGACAAGGTTGGTATGAAACAGAACTATTGATACGCTTTTTAAAAATTTGGATATAGTGTATTATCAATACACAGTTGCCAGATATAGATGTGGTATTTCATTAATGGCCAGAATATAGGGAAATTTTATTAGATACATTTATTTGTTCAAATATATTGTAAAGTACAGTAAATTACAGTACTTGATATATAGTATATTTATTCATACAGTATGCAGTGCAATGTTGTTTTGTAGGATGCAGTCTTTAGTAAGTATTACAAGAATGTACAATTACTAAGAGGAAGGGAAATGAGGGATGCTTTAGTATACACTTAGTAGTTGTGATTGCTTGGACAAGCCAATTATAAAACATGGTGGCTCCTTGCCTTGCCTTGAGGTTACCTTGAGGTGCTTCCGGGGGATAGCGTCCCCGCGGCCCAGTCGTCGATCAGGCCTCCTGGTTGCCGGACTGATCAACCAGGCTGTTGGATGCGGCTGCTCGCAGCCTGACGTATGAGTCACAGCCTGGTTGATCAGGTATCCTTTAGAGGTGCTTATCCAGTTCTCTCTTGAACACTGTGAGGGGTCGGCCAGTTATGTCCCTTATGTGTAGTGGAAGCATGTTGAACAGTCTCTGATGCTTGTATGTGCTGTACAGGAAAAAGAAATGTGACTTGTGATGGCATTTACCAAATATTCTCTCATTCTTTTTCAGCATATCTTGGGCACTGTATAGCAGAAAAGATTGTGACATTATATTCCTTGGTTTAAGCAAAGCCTTTTGATACTGTGCTGCAAAAAACTCATTAGAAAGTGCATGATATTTGTGGAAGTTATGTTGGATTGGGGCATAATTCTTTTTATTGAAAAGGAGGGTCAGCATTAATAGTGAATTGCAAGGGGGGGGGGGAAACTGTTGCACGTGGAGTGGCCAAAGTCTCCATTCTGGGATGCCTGTTTACCACACACATGTATAAACGATTTAGACACAGGGTTAAACAGTAATGTTATCAGATTTGCATATTATTTACAAAAATAGGGTGAGAAATCAATTCTGTTAATACAATTTAGACTTTAAGTAGAGGAAAGATTAGCTGAAGCCTAATGTTTACAAATGGATGGCTTTGAATCTAGGTAATGATAATAACTAATTGTTATTAACAGGACAATGTTGGAGTTGCCAAATTAGATTGCAAAAAAATCGATCTAAGAGTCATGATTAGCATGGACCTTCAAATGTAATATATGACTTGTATATGAATGAGTTTGGTCAAGTTTAAATAGCTGCCTCACATGGGGTAACAGGATGTCTGCTGTTATCTTTAGTGTTTCCCTCCCTCCCTTCCCTTCCCTCCATCCTTCCCTCCCTACCCTTCCCTCACTCCCTCCCTACCCTTCCCTCAATCCTTTCTCTACACGTGTTGCTTTGGTTGAGGACAGGAAGGGGGGGGGGGAGGCGGGGTGTGGTTGAAAGGGGGGGGGAGGCGGGGTGTAAAATGATCTAAATTTAGTTACAGGATGTTAGTACACTTGTGTCCTGCCTTCCCCATAATGTGTCGTTTGACATTTTGGGGGTTTGCTATGGGTTTGGCATCTACTACTGTCCTGAAACATCTAATGTTATACAGTACTTCTGTTTTATCTGGGACTTCTTCAGCCCCATTTAGATAATACAGTTTAGTTTTTGAGCACTGCACTGTAGAATAAACATAAATTACCCTTGAAAGTGAGCAGCAAAGAATATTACAAAGTTATTTGGTTCTCTTTAGCTAGAGGGACTGTGATAAGCTTTCCTCTCTTCCTCTCGCTGATAATGTTACAACATATCGTAACGAATCTCTCGTAGAGGAAGTTCCAGAAATTTTAATTAATGTTCCCTGGAAATGATAAGAGTTAGTGGGATATGACTGAGGTAGAGTATACAAATTGCTGAAAAGTTATAATAGATTTAGCTAAGTCTCGAGTGCGAGAAGAATTAAGTTATTACTAGTTTGGAAATAGAATTCTTGCTCTATGAAAATAGATTACTGGTTGACATAACAGGCACGGGAGTCACTGGAGTGTTTCTAGTATAATCAAGACCTACTTATGAGTGGGTTAAAGTAGTTATTATTAGCTGCTGCTTTACATGGACCAATAGGTTTTCTACTGCCTCATATCCTTATGTCTGCTTTTGTTGCTTGTAAACAGTGTATAATGGAGTCGAAGGTTATGTCCGTGAAACTGATGGCGACGAGGATGTTGCTGAGCTCTTCCACAGTCTTAATGGCTTTGAAGATCTTGAACCAGGTATGTATATGCATAATTATTTCCAAAAGTAACAATATAGTGAACAAATACATGAAATATGTATATACAATATATAAATATTTTGTTAGTAATGTGTGTTTTTGGTAATGACACATTATAGCATATATATATTGTATCATGACCCTGTATACAATCATTATGATTTTTACAGGCTATGAGCTTTTGACCAAGAAGGGTACTCTTGCAGAGCGACCAGAAGTAGAAAGATTGTCCCCTCTTACACATGACGATTTTCAACAGTTTGTGGATGATGATGGTCGTGTTTTGGACGTTGAGCCTCTTAAACAACGAATATTCAGAGGGGTAACTTGTGTTATTTTGGTTATTATTTACTTGCAATATACAGTATATCCCCTTACCTATCTTGAGGTTATCTTGAGATGATTTCGGGGCTTTAGTGTCCCCGCGGCTCGGTCCTCAACCAGGCCTCCACCCCCAGGAAGCAGCCCGTGACAGCTGACTAACACCCAGGTACCTATTTTACTGCTAGGTAACAGGGGCATAGGGTGAAAGAAACTCTGCCCATTGTTTCTCGCCGGCCCCTGGGATCGAACCCAGTATCACAGGATCACAAGTCCAGTGTGCTGTCCGCTCGGCCGACCGGCTACCTAGCTAGCTCTTGTTCTGTGAACATGGCTAGTCATATTTTCTTGAATTTATCTGAAAAAATACTTGGTCTTTGCCTTGTGTGTTGTTGTTCAATTTTATTTTAAAACTTATTTGAGGGTTTCAGTAGGTAGACTGTTTCATAGACTTGCTGCTCTTGTGGAAAAATACAGTACTTTTGTTTCTCCTGTTTTGTCTAAAAATGTCAGATTGTAGACTTGCATTTGTGTCACATTAGTAATTTTGAACAAGTAGTCAAGGTTGATCACAGGTGTTCAGTCTTACAGTGACTCTTGATTTGTTGCCGGTATGCTTTAATACCTATTTTAAGTAAATGGAGTAAGTAGATGGAATAAGGTGCAGTATCTTAGATTTTTAGTATGCTATACCTCTGTTGGCAGTATGTGAGGAGCTTATTATACATGCTGGCCACATTGTCTTGTTATACCGCTTGTATAACTATTTGCATTGCATTGTTTAACCTGCTTGATGGGGTTCTGGGAGTTCTTCTACTCCCCAAGCCCAGCCTGAGGCCAGGCTTGGGGAGTTCTTCTACTCCCCAAGCCCAGCCTGAGGCCAGGCTTGGGGAGTTCTACTCCCCAAGCCCAGCCTGAGGCCAGACATGGGGAGTTCTTCTACGCCCCAAGCCCGGTGCTTCATGTTGGCTGATGACGCTGATGGATGCTACATGTCTTTCCTTATTCAATTGCAGTCCTCATTAGCATCATTATAATCAAGGTTTTCCAGTTGTGGCATGAAGCACTTTTGCAGCATGCCCAAATAAATGTGCTTATTAATTAGACTAATCAAAGAAATACTTTTCAAATACTGGTAACCTTATAATGTAACACAGCCCATATGAAGAAGGATTGTGTTCAACCTATCAGTGTCGTTAGTTAACAATTTCATCATTACCTCATTTCCAACTTTCATGGGGGTTGTGAGTGTATGGCCCCCCCCCCCCAAAAAAAAAACAAAAAACTGTGGTCCCAACCCCAATTCATTGCAGTAAGGGATTTGTTGCAACTTTATATGCCTCACCTTTCACTAAGCAAAATATTAATTTCACCCTATAATAGACAACCAAATGAACATGTCTGCCTAAAACAATTTCACCACATCTAGTTTATTTCTCACGTCCTCAGCCTCAAAACTCGTTTTCAAAAGGTAGCAGGGCCATACCAAATCCAAAACAGTCAATCAAATTAACCAATCCATTTTTTCCCTCCATAATTTTTAGCAACTCAAAATGGGGGTGTCTTTGACCTCGGGGCATATGGCATTTATTTTATTTATTTATTTGTTTGTATTTATTTACAACATTGCAGGGAATCCATCCAAACCTTCGGCGTGAATTATGGTGCTTTTTACTTGGTCACAACCTCTGGAATTCCACATACATCCAGCGAGATGAGAGGCGGCGAGATAGAGAGAACCTTTACTTTACTATGAAGCAGCAGTGGAAGACCATTACCGAGGATCAAGAAAGTCGTTTCAGTGGCTTCAAGGAACGTCGTAGTCTCATAGGTAAGTAGTTGTAGTGGAGTACAGTGGAACTTTGCTCGAGCAGATGTTAATTCTGGACCTTATCCACTGCTGATGTAAAGTATTGTATGTAAAGTATTACAAATGAGTCCAAAAAAAACACAGGGAAATACTTGTATGCAGAGCTAGTGGTAAATAAATGGATCATACTTGAACTAGATTTTGAGATGTCACAAGGCGAGCCTGGGCTCAGGCCAGGCTCGGGTAGAAGAAGAATTCCAGAAAAACTCTTTAGGTATGCTCCAGGCATGTAGTGAAAAATACATAGATTCACACGTTCAAGAATGTGTGTGACAGAGTATTAGGAGGCAGGAAATGTAGAAGTACAATAGCAGAGATTTGGATCCATTGCACTAGATCTCGCTATCTGTTAATATGATTTACTGAGCGTACGAAAAAAAATTCATTTACATCTGCACATAGAACATTAATTTTTCCAAAAAGGTGCAGTGGCTTTAGTTGTACAGATTTTGGTGATAAACTCGTACATTCTCACAATGGCACTAACATGCATAATGTTTCAAATAAGTCTTAAAGTTAATATAGAATTTGTAGATTATTTTGATACAAAGTAAATAGTCAGTTTTTTTCTTCATTAGAAAGTGAGTTCCTTACATTTGGTACCTCTATCTGCATGATGTATTTGCATAAATTTAGGGAAAATATTATTTCTGGTATGATGGTCTTTGTGCGAAGGCAGGTTGCATAGTGTCGCTTCTTCTCTGTGATCTGTCATGTAATGTTATGACTATTCTGATGGATTTGGCATCCATTTTCCCTCTCATCTAATTTATTCCATCTGCCTTCACCTTTTATTTGTAAAAATAAAAGTATTGTTTACCTATTGTTCTTGTAGTTGCAGATTTAAAAAGCTTCCTTTTTTGTGTTTTTCCATTTGTTGGGATTGGGTTCTTTCTGACAGTTTGCATGCATGCTGGGGTCCTGTACATTGGTTCCTAATGTGGTTCATTTTCATTTGGGGAATCATTTTCTTCTGTGTAGTTCTGGGCTCAGTGATCTCCAGGCATTGATGGACACGGCTCTGGGTCTTGCATATACAGTATACAGCCTGGGAACCAGTAGGCACACTGACCAGTAGCACTATATACTGTCACGTGGGGGGGTGGGCGGTCCGGGGCTCTGCTAACACTCGGCTGCTAGGGGCTCAAAGGGCCCAAATACTCAGCCCCTCCGACTCCCTGGATTCACCGGAGTCTCCTTGGTCACACAAGATAGGACCAACAATGCCCACCTCCGCAGGTCTTTGCTTCCACCACAAAGGGGTGCCACTGATTCACCCTGGAAGCCCTTCAGTCAACCACGGGGAAACTGCTGTTAACAGTTCCGGCCTAGACCCGTGGGGGAGTGAAGGAAGACTCAGGCTTACCTATAACCATAGCCTCTCTGAGTCTTGCCTGCCAGACAAAAAAAAAGGTTGCAGGAACTCCTTTCCCGCCTGTCTTCTCTATCTTCCTCTTAGCAAGGTCGCCAGCTGGGTTATTATATCTGCACCCCAGCAATGCAGTTCAGTGGGTGTATCATATATCGTTTGTAGCCAGAAATGTATGCTCATAGAGAAATATCACAAATGGAGGTACACTCAAACACAGTAATAAAATGTGTGGATTTACTGACGCAAATTACATGAACACACACACACAATCACAAGTAATACATGAATATGGAATATGGATGATGAGTCTGGAGATCGTCAGCCTCTTCTTCCCCGACCTCCAACTCTCCTTCAACTGGGCAGGAAGACAGGAGTCTCACACTCTCACAGGAGGGCCTCTTCACCACGTCGGCACCTCTTCTTCACTGTCCTGCCATCCATACACACTGTCCTCTCTGACAGTCCTGGACACAAGCTGCCTTGCAGCCTATTCTACTATTAAAGTAATAAAGTCTTGCTGCCACATACACAAGTAAATATTGTGGCCTAACTAGCCTACTCATACAAGGGGTAATGGGAGGGAAAAATGATCTACCTTACACTCCTGGCTCACGACGCCTGTCCCCCGATGGTGTGAGGTTCCCACGCTTCCTTGGGTCGATCCTCGACGATCCAGGGCGTTCCACAGGTCCTCAGGTGTCGTGAAGCCTTCGCGTCGTCGCCGTTCCAATCCCTGAGATTCAGCTGCCCCAATCCTGGTTCATCGATGGGCGCTGAGCTAATCACTATCTTTCCCCACACTCGCCTCTCCCACAGGGCGTCGCTCCTTGTCCTAGGCACGGTGTCGTCCTTCCAAGATTCTCAGTGGATGTGACCCCAGTCACAGCTAGCTTGCTCGCCCACCTTCCAGACCTCAACGTCCAGCCAGCGGCGCCGCCCAGCGTCGTCGCCGACTATTTTCCAAGTTTGGGCACTTCTCTGCTCACTGAACTTGGTTCCTCTTTTGCTTCCCAGAAGCGCAAGGTCTCCAATAACTGGGATGACTGCGACAGCCAGCTCAATCCACTGAACAAGGCTTGCAGAGCCTCCAATCCCTGAGAGCAGACCGAGGCGCGTCCTGTCGCTTCCACGGTCAGTACAACTCTGACGTTGGCGCCGCCCGGGGCACTCGGTGACGTCATGGCGGGCCCTGATTTGTCGCCCGCGACCTACGTCGGCCAATCCGCGATTGGCATAGTGTCCCTTCCACAAGGTCATATCTGCCGTAGGGGATACTGTTTCATTTTATATCAGGGCGCCAACTTTCCTTTATTTACAACTTATAATATAACCTCCTTCCATTAAATGGCAGCCGGTCTGGTCGCCACATATACCATTAGACTCCCTGAACCTCAGAGAATCAGTAGGGAGAGCTGATATGACTCTTAAAGCCGGCAAACGAAAGAAATAGGAGAGGGCACCGTAACATACCCCTCCCCTTAAAATAAGAGTCATATCGGAAGAGCAGCACTCAAGAGGGCAATCTATACTCTTGCTCCCTCCGTTCCTGAAGTGTCACTCCTCCAGTTGGTGACGTGGCTCGTACCACCTTGCCAGTCACTTGCCTCATTGTATCTCCACCTCGCATAGTACCGGGTGTGATGGGTGTTCCCTGAACACCTACAAGAAATCCTCTCTCCGTGGCTACGAGTGTACTCCCACGGCTCGTTACCACTGTAAGATTCAGTGCATGCAGCGCCTCCACCGCGTCGTGCACTCCGAGATAGTCTTGCATTTCCATTGCGTCCTACAGGTACTCCATGTTTCCTCCCATGATCTCCTCTTCGCCAATCTTCTCTCTTCTCGGTTCCTCTTCTCCCGTAGGTGCGTTGTCTCCTCACAATGGCACTTGTAACCTGTACTCCATCCAGCAGCTCCCTCTCTTCCACACTAGGCTTTTGCGATGGCCCAATGCCCCTCTGGTTAGGCTGGCGCCTACCCTGGGTGTACCTATTCCCTGCTTTCTTCGTATTGCCTTTCCTATACCATTCGCTCCTTCGCTCCCGACGAACATCTTCACTCCTCCATGAGATTCTCTTCCCTGCAGACGTCTTCTTCGGTTCGTGGTTGGGCTCATCCACCTCCCTGTGGCTCACCTCACCACGGTGGTTCATCTTGCACCTACCACTATTCATCTGGCCGGCATAGGGTGCACTGCGTCGTGGTTCCTCCACTCTGCCCCTCACTGCCGTTCGCTCATCCACTGAGCTTACTTTATTCACGTTTCTGTATGGAGGGAGTGCGGTCTGCAGCCTCCTCACCGCCCCAGGCGTTTGTACAGCTGCTCCTCGCCACTCCTCCACACGCATCATCAGGCTTAGTCGGAGGTCCCCGTCGGGGTTTTCCACAACCTCCGACGACCTCTCTGCACTCTCGCCCTCGTTGTCGTCGTCTCTGGCGACGTTTTCCCTGTCGAAGTCGGCTTCCTCACTATTATTTGGAGCAACTGATACCTCACCTGGCAGGGTTGTACCGCTGCTTGAAACATAGGCACTCCTGGCCCAATCGGGTTGTATCCTGCCTCCTCCGAGGTCATTACCCAGCACCATCTGTACATGCTCTAGGGGTAACTTAGGGGCTACAGCTACTATAGCTCTCTCGACTCCATAGTCGGCAATCAGCTGTACTTCGTGAAGTGGCAACCTGTATTCCTCCCCCACACTGCGTATCCTCACCACTCCCACAGGTGAATCATTAAATTCCTTGGGGAGAATACTCCTGGTTACCATACTTATGTCAGCACCCGTATCTCGAAGCACGGCAACCTCCACTGGGTCTGACCTTCCAAACTTCACGTTGGCCCCGAAAACGAAGGGATGTTCACCCAACTTCATTTCCCAACCATTCACGTTGGGTCCACTATAATATGGGGTGTGAACAAACACTCTCTCCTCTTCCAACATTAATCCTACATTCCTTTGGTGCTCCTCACACTCGCGGGCATAATGTCCTCTCACGCCACAGTTGTAGCATCGGCTGCCTCTCCTGGGCGGCCACTCGCCAGTCACTCTGGCGGTACCACTTGCAGACGTCCCTGGGTCCTCCTTGGACTCCCTGTCGTCGTGTCCGGGACTGCAGCACTTGCTCCTGAGCTAGGTCCACTGCTCACAGCTTGGGGCTTCCTCCCCGCGTCTCTTGAGCTCTTGAACCACGTTACTTCATCGGGCACACTACTCTTGGGAGAGTCCCCACTCGTCCTCGCTCCTCCTGAACTCCTAAAGTTCCCTCCCGACCTGGGGTAAGGCGAGTGTCTGGGCGGCCCCTCCCTCCTGATATGTAGTGCCTCCTCCAGCATGTCGGCTCGATCCGCTGCAGCCTTCAGGTCCTTAATACCTGCTTCTCTCACCCTTACTCGCAACTCAGGATGGAGCACCGACATGAACTTCTCCATCACTATCAGTCGTTTAATATCATCCACCGACTCCGCTTCCTCCGCCTTCAACCATCGTAGGAATTTCCGTTCCATATCCCTGGCGGTCTCGGCGTAAGTCTTTCCCGACGCTCTTGTACACTCTCTGAACCGCTTCCGGTACATCTCCGGAGTCAGCCGGAATGAGTGGAGAACCGCATTCTTAATCGCGTCATAACTAGTACACTCCTCTAGGTCCAGCATGTTATAGGCTTCCCGGGCCTCACCAGTCAACCTGCCCTGGACCAGAGCAGCCCAATCATCTTCCGGCCACTCCTTCAGAGTCGCTATCCGTTCAAAGTGTTCGAAGAACGCCTCAGCTTCTTGTGGTTCGAACGTAGGTAAGTCACGTTCCCTTACCTTGAGGTCATCCCGCCGTGCAGGTAGTGAGGGCAGACCACGTTCAACGCGACGCAATTCGACTTCTTTCTTTGCCTTTATCTCCTCCAGTCGCAGTTGTCTCTCTCCTTCTTCTCGCTGCAGTCGAGCTTCTCGCTCCTCTCGCTGCAGCTGCAGCCGTGCTTCTCGCTCACCTCGCTGCAGCTCAGCTGCACGTTCCTCTCGCTGCATTTGCGCTTCTCTTTCCTCTCGTCGCAGCTGGGCTTCCAGTTGCATCTTCATTATTTCCAGTTGCAGGCTCCTCTTACTACAGCTGGACCTTCCACTGCTCCCATGTTCACTGTGAATTCTCTCCACACTGGTAGGCGCTTGGGGTGGCCCTAGTCGGGACGGTTCACCTTGCGACGGCTCTCCTCGGGACGGCTCCTCTTGAGATGGCTCCTCTCCCGTCGCTTCCTCTCGAGCTGTGAGCTGTGCCATGATCTCTATCCTTCGCTCCGCTGCCTTAGTCGTCCTCAACCTGATCCCAAAGTGGTTTGCCACTTGTTGGAGCTGGACCTTGGTACACTCTTCTAAAATTCTCTCGTCCCTTGTGTCAATAAATTTCTTTACTTTGTCTTCCTCCATCTCTATATCATTGAGCATACACGACAGCACAGACAAGTTAGTAGGCACTAATTTCACCGTTTCAGTCCCTTAGCTGGTTGAGTAACAGTACCACCGAATTCACTGGCCACACTGTATTAGTACCCTGGCAACACTTGTCTTGCAATTTGGCCCACACTGTAGCTTGATCCACGCTTCCTGGCGAAGTTCCCAGTTCTTGGCTACTGGGGTTCCAATCCTGGCAAGGTCGCCAGTTCTCTTGTCACGTGGGGGGGTGGGCGGTCCGGGGCTCTGCTAACACTCGGCTGCTAGGGGCTCAAAGGGCCCAAATACTCAGCCCCTCCGACTCCCTGGATTCACCGGAGTCTCCTTGGTCACACAAGATAGGACCAACAATGCCCACCTCCGCAGGTCTTTGCTTCCACCACAAAGGGGTGCCACTGATTCACCCTGGAAGCCCTTCAGTCAACCACGGGGAAACTGCTGTTAACAGTTCCGGCCTAGACCCGTGGGGGAGTGAAGGAAGACTCAGGCTTACCTATAACCATAGCCTCTCTGAGTCTTGCCTGCCAGACAAAAAAAAAGGTTGCAGGAACTCCTTTCCCGCCTGTCTTCTCTATCTTCCTCTTAGCAAGGTCGCCAGCTGGGTTATTATATCTGCACCCCAGCAATGCAGTTCAGTGGGTGTATCATATATCGTTTGTAGCCAGAAATGTATGCTCATAGAGAAATATCACAAATGGAGGTACACTCAAACACAGTAATAAAATGTGTGGATTTACTGACGCAAATTACATGAACACACACACACAATCACAAGTAATACATGAATATGGAATATGGATGATGAGTCTGGAGATCGTCAGCCTCTTCTTCCCCGACCTCCAACTCTCCTTCAACTGGGCAGGAAGACAGGAGTCTCACACTCTCACAGGAGGGCCTCTTCACCACGTCGGCACCTCTTCTTCACTGTCCTGCCATCCATACACACTGTCCTCTCTGACAGTCCTGGACACAAGCTGCCTTGCAGCCTATTCTACTATTAAAGTAATAAAGTCTTGCTGCCACATACACAAGTAAATATTGTGGCCTAACTAGCCTACTCATACAAGGGGTAATGGGAGGGAAAAATGATCTACCTTACACTCCTGGCTCACGACGCCTGTCCCCCGATGGTGTGAGGTTCCCACGCTTCCTTGGGTCGATCCTCGACGATCCAGGGCGTTCCACAGGTCCTCAGGTGTCGTGAAGCCTTCGCGTCGTCGCCGTTCCAATCCCTGAGATTCAGCTGCCCCAATCCTGGTTCATCGATGGGCGCTGAGCTAATCACTATCTTTCCCCACACTCGCCTCTCCCACAGGGCGTCGCTCCTTGTCCTAGGCACGGTGTCGTCCTTCCAAGATTCTCAGTGGATGTGACCCCAGTCACAGCTAGCTTGCTCGCCCACCTTCCAGACCTCAACGTCCAGCCAGCGGCGCCGCCCAGCGTCGTCGCCGACTATTTTCCAAGTTTGGGCACTTCTCTGCTCACTGAACTTGGTTCCTCTTTTGCTTCCCAGAAGCGCAAGGTCTCCAATAACTGGGATGACTGCGACAGCCAGCTCAATCCACTGAACAAGGCTTGCAGAGCCTCCAATCCCTGAGAGCAGACCGAGGCGCGTCCTGTCGCTTCCACGGTCAGTACAACTCTGACGTTGGCGCCGCCCGGGGCACTCGGTGACGTCATGGCGGGCCCTGATTTGTCGCCCGCGACCTACGTCGGCCAATCCGCGATTGGCATAGTGTCCCTTCCACAAGGTCATATCTGCCGTAGGGGATACTGTTTCATTTTATATCAGGGCGCCAACTTTCCTTTATTTACAACTTATAATATAACCTCCTTCCATTAAATGGCAGCCGGTCTGGTCGCCACATATACCATTAGACTCCCTGAACCTCAGAGAATCAGTAGGGAGAGCTGATATGACTCTTAAAGCCGGCAAACGAAAGAAATAGGAGAGGGCACCGTAACAACACTCAGGCTGAATTCTTTATATATTTCTGGCTTTTTATAATGAATTTTTTGTTTTTCAACATTGTATTCAATGTACTCCAAATAAATCCTATTGCTCGCACAGAACATTTTAGTTTTCTGCCACTGAATCTGAGCTCTTGTGCGGAATGGCCCATTCCACATCATGTGGTGATCCGCAGCAGCAGAACTTGTTTAAATGGAGCTAAATCTCTGCTATCATAAGTTAATTAAACAGTAATAGACATTCAGAAATCTGTGAGACACCTGTGGAACCTCTGAATTAGGTCTTCTTAACAAATTGTCTTTTAACATAATTTAATGGGAATGCAGAAAATGAAATACAGTATACATTTTATTTGATGTTTATCACTGTCTTGCCGCTGTTACTATTTACTGTAAATAACATTTTCTTTACAGAAAAAGATGTCAATCGCACAGATCGGAATCATCCATTTTTTGAAGGAGAGTACAATGTTAATGTGACTCTACTCAATGATGTTCTTATGACATACGTGATGTACAACTTTGACCTGGGCTATGTCCAGGGGATGAGTGATCTTCTTGCTCCCATCCTTTACGTAACACAGAATGAAGCGACAGCCTTCTGGTGTTTTGTAGGATACATGGATATTGTGGTAAGCATTTTTTGCCATGACTCGGTATATCATTGTGTTTTTGCATCATACTTGAAATTGCTTGATTAGGTATCCCTCCTCCTTTGTACTTTATACTGTACTCCCCCTTGCCTACTTCAACCTTAAATAGTATATCCAGCTTCCTGCTTCCACACATTAAGGCCTTTTGCACATTGCTCTTTTGTAGCTGCCCCTCATCCAGTAATGTGTCTAATGACGACCACAAGTGTGTGTTAATTATACAGGTAATGAATTAATTATTATGGTGTCAAGAATATGTATTTTTCAAGATTTTGTGTATACTAATTGTTAATTTTTCTAACCAGTACAGGAATTTTGACATGGATCAATCTGGGATGAAGCAGCAACTGAAGGATGTGCACCAAATTGTCCGTTTGGTTGATCCGGAACTCATGTCTTATCTGGAAGTGCGGGACTCTGCAAACTTTTATTTTTGTTTCCGCTGGCTTCTTGTTCGTTTTAAGAGGGAGCTGAATTATGCTAGTACATTAAGGTTAGTATTGAATAGTGTACCTTACCTTGAGGTTACCTTGAGGTGCTTCCGGGGCTTAGCGTCCCCGCGGCCCGGTCGTCGACCAGGCCTCCTGGTTGCCGGACTGATCAACCAGGCTGTTGGACGTGGCTGCTCGCAGCCTGACGTATGAGTCACAGCCTGGTTGATCAGGTGTATATTGTATTATCATATTAATACAGTGGCGAAAGATTAATTCTGGATTCTTTGCAGTGCATTGGATGTTCTATTGCCTCTGGTATTATTCTTGATATAATTTATTTTGGCAAGATAAATTAATGCTTCATGTTGCTGGGGTTGTGGAAAAAATATAATATAAAATAATAATGACAAATTTATTGATCCCATTGAACTAGATTGTGGGAGGTGTTGTGGACTGGCCATCCTTGTCCGAACTTTCATCTGTTGGTGGCAGTTGCCCTGCTCGACACAGAGAAGAACACAATCATGGAGAACAAATTTGGATTCACCGAAATATTAAAAGTTTGTGTATATCTGGGTTTACACTTTTTGAATATTGTCTTGTATATTATAATTGCTTCTTTATGGAATATTTATGGAGGGTTTGTGTAAAGCATCTGTCTCTCGTCTTGACTTCATGATAAGGAAACGTTATCTTATTTGTTAGTAGTGCACCAGATCTCGCTTCTTGCAAGTTTGGCATTTAGTGTCCACCCATCCAAGTGGCTGGTCACCATTCCTTTCCTTCGTCCTATCCCAAATCCTCGTCTTCATATCCTTTCCCTATCTGCAAGCTAGCACTGGATTGTTTGGCATTAAAAGGCATAGCTCTTCTAAGGAACTTTTATTTTTTCTTTTCCAAATTTGTTGGAAATGCATTGCCTCAACAGTGAGGGGCACTACTGTCATGCAGACGAGGAGTCATAATAACGTGGCTGAAATATGTTGACCAAACCACACACTAGAAAGTGAAGGGACGACGACATTTTGATTCGTCCTGGACCATTTTCAAGTCAATTGTGAGAATGGTCCAGGACGGATCAAAACGTCGTCGTCCCTTCACTTTCTAGTGTGTGGTTTGGTCAACACTACCGTTTACTGAAGCGACCATACGAGTCATAAATACTCATACTCCGCCCAAGTAAAACAGAAACAAGCAACACTTAGTGGGCCAGCCAGAGGCTTAGGGCCCGTGCAGGAATATCCCTAAAAAAAAAAATACTACTGTTATGCTATGCGGGGCAGTGGGTGATGTCAATAACTGCTTGTTTAGATTGTCTGGATTTAATATTCAATTGTTGACATTTGCTACCACATTCTCCATCATATGATAAGTTGAAATTTAAGTTGCCTCAGTGAAATTTGCCCATTGAAAGTGGGAAATATTACGGTACAAATATTGTTACAAGTCACATTTTTAATGATTTTTGCAGATGGACACAACACTATTGATAAACAGATGGAGTCTTAAGAAAACACTGAGCATATTTTATATATATATATATATATATATATATATATATATATATATATATATATATATATATATATATATATATATATATATATGCCACATTTACATTGATTATATTTTATAGGCATATATATTATGTATGCCTCTGAGCCTGGCCCTAGGCCAGGCTCGGGGGAGTAGAAGAACTCCCGGAGCTCTCTCCAGGTATGGTATTGAACACAAAAGCAAAATTTTATGAAAAAAAGATTTTGAGGCTGTGGCATGGAAAATAAGATAGTGGGTAAATTTCTTTACAGATTCTCACAGTTGTGGTCCATCATATGATAGGTTGAAATTAAAATTTAATTTAGAGAAATTAACTCTTTTGAGTGTGGGAGATATTAGGGTATGAAAGACAACTCCTTTAATTAATATGGCACAGATCACATTTTGAATTGTTGTAAATGAATAAAACATTAGGAAAAGCAGGCACCCATGTATATTTCTTGTCTTGAAAAAAAAAAAAATAGCATTACTCAAATGCCATATAGTTTGTCAATTCGAGGTTACACTTTTTAATAACATATTTTAGTTTTCAACTGAGGCCTGTGAGATATCTCTGATTAGATATACTATACAGGTACAGCAATTATTTAAGTTTTGTATTGTTATATCCTTGTAGTGTTGTTAATACAATTTAATGCAGATGATTTTTTACCTTAATTTCTATTTTTTTTGCTTCTGCCAGTTTGTAGTTGTCTGCATTGTTTATTTTTTTAAGTATTAAGATCAA